AGGAAAGACAGCTATGCCACTCATTCTACCTAAGCTCTGAGGTTGATAATTTCAAGGTTGCTCTCCTGTAGTGTATAGCCTCTCTGCCTACAGAGGTACACTGATTTTCATTCTGTCAGGTAATAATGGGGGAGCTTGAGAATGGGGAACTGATGCAAGATGCTGTAATTTAACCTTCTCTGAACCAGAGATTTTGCAATTATGCTAATATACAAATGTATGATTGTTCTTTGATTTGCAAACAGGATATCATCTTAGACCCTTCACAGCTTCTTTGGACCCCTTCATACAGCAATTACCAGTATATGTCCCCTGAACCACATTATCTCAGTGACCTAGGACATCAACCAAGAGGGACTGTTCCTTCTAAGGGTCCCTTCTAAGGGTTCTTCATCACATCGAGGAGGCAGTCACATCCATAAGGAATCTAGATATGCCTCAACGGGGACCTAAAGAGGAGTGGGGAGAGGCATGTAAACATAGACCTTCTCCTGCCTGCGTCCCTCCAGTGTCCAGAACCACACAGATAGGAACAGATAATGCACATTATTACATTGATGGGAGAGTTACACAGGTCATCAGACTACAGACTCAAAGAATCACAGGAACAGCTAAATAAACTGCCGATCTGTGTGGCCAAACCTCACTGGCTCCATTTTTTCAGTTTCATCTTAGGCCCACAGTCCTGCCCCCTCTTCTCTCTGCATAACTGAGCTTTACTCTACTCACAAGGAGTGTACCCAAGCCAGATAACTTACCTAACAGCTTTTACTCTTGCCTTCATCTGATATGAAAACTGGAAGAAAAAAAAAAAAACTGAAAGGATGCCTTTTGCTGACACAGATGGTTAACGGTCATAAGACCCTCAGAGAGGAAAAAGCCCAGGTTCCCATGGATGCAGATGTGCAGCTTACTTGGTAGTCAAATTCTGTTTTTAGCCTTGACCCCTTTAAATCTCAGGTATCCCGTTTGCAGAGTGCAGCTGTGAGTGCCTCTGGATCTTGGCTGTATGTAAATTCACAATACCTGCATTATGTAAGTGACATGGCTGTATGTCAGTACCCACAATAAACTTCAAACTGTACTTTATGGAGTTGCCTGCTTCGTTTTTTTCATCTCAAAGTTCTTTCTCAGTTCGATGGATATTATTCAAATATATCTGCCTTCCAACACTTTTGCATGTCAATATTTTTCCCAATACCATTGTTTGAAAAGACATTGAATGGTCTTGGCACCCTTGTTGAAAATCATTTGACCATGTAGTTCAGGTTTTATATCTGGGCTCTCTAATCAATGGTGGTGGTAGTGGTTTAGTCATTAACTTGTGTCTTTTGCAACCCCATGGACTGTAACCTGCCAGGCTCCTCTGTCCATGGGATTTCTCAGGCAAGACTATTGGAGTGGGTTGCCATTCCCTTCTCCAGGGCTCTTTTCAATGCTACTGGTCAATATATCTGTCTTCATGCCAGTACCATGCTGTTTGGTTACATCTGTAATAAGGTATGAAATCAGGATGTGTGAGCTCTCTAATTTTATTCTTCTTTTCAAGATTTCTTTGACTTCTTGGGGTTCCTTAAGAGTCCATATGAATATTAGGATGGATTTTTCTATTTCTGCAAAAAAAAAGCCATTAGGTTTTGATAAGAATTTAATTAAATCTGTAGATTTCTTTGGAGAGTGTTGATATCCTAATAATATTGTCTTCCAATCCATGAACATGGGATGATTTTCTATCCACTTGTATCTTTTTTCATTCTTTCAGCAATTTTTGTAGTTTTCACTGTACATGTCTTTTCATCTCTTTAATTTCCAAGTATTCTATTTTTTGATGCTATTTAAAATGGAATTGTTTTTCTTAATTTCCTTTTCAGACTGTTCATTGTTAGTGTGTAGAAACTGCTGAATTGAAACAAACAGACTGCCGGGACTTTTATCAGGTACTCTTGTACTTATTTTGGCTATGCTGGGTCATCATTACTGCATGCAGGTTTTCTCTAGCTGTGGTGAGCTGTGTCTACTCTCCAGTTACAGAGCACGGGTTCAGTAGTTGCAGCACATGGACTCAGTAGTTGTGGTAGACAGACTTGCTTTGCAGCATGTGGGATCTTCCCAAACCAGAGATCAAATGTGTGTCCCCTGCATTGCAAGGCAGATTCCTAACCACTGAACCACCAGGGATGCCCTAGGTACTCTTAGCTACTAAATAAGCAGATGTGTGTCAATCAGTGCAAAATACAATAAAGATTTGTTAAAGCAGAACAGTAGACTTTGTTTCAATGACTATAGAAAGGAGTTGGTTTTGTTTTTCTACACATCTGGTCTGGCAGCAAGTTGTATTATACATTTAAAGCAATACATGCCCTGAAAGCTTATATTTTCAGTTGTGTACTGAAATCAGAGACCATCTTTTTTTTTTTCTCTCTTTTTATTAGAGTCATGCAAAGGAAATGGCAACCCACTCCAGTGTTCTTGCCTGGAGAATCCCAGGGACGGGGGAGCCTGGTGGGCTGACGTCTATGGGGTCACACAAAGTCGGACACGACTGAAGCGACTTAGCAGCAGCAGTGAGTATGAAGTAGTACCTAATTGTTTTTGATTTGCATTTCTTTAATGACCAAGGATTTTGAGCATCCTTTCATATGCTTGTTGAGCTTCTTTGAATAAATAATATCTATTCAAATTCTTTGCCTAGTTTTAATTTTGTTTATCTTTTTGCATTTCACTGATGTATAATGATGTTAAGCATCTTTTACTGCATATATCTACTTTGGAGAGATAGCTATCCAAATCTCTTCCTCATTTTTTTCTTGAGTGGTTTGTCTTTTTGTTGCTGAGTTGTAGGAACTTTCTATATATCTTGGATACTAGATCACTGTCAGACATACAATTTACAAATATTTTCTCCAATTTTGTTGGTTGTTTTTCATATTTTGATGCACAAACGTTTTTAACTTTGATGAAGTTCAGTTTATCATGTTTTCTTTTGTTGTGCTTGCTTTTGGTACCATATTTGAGAATTCACTGCTAGATTATGTCATGAGGATTAATTTCTCTATTTTCTTCTATGAGTTTTATAGTTTTAACTCTTAAATTTATGAAATTGATCAATTTGAGTTAATTTTTGCGTATGGTCTGAAGTAAGGGTCCCGTTTCATTCATCTGTATCTGGATATCCAGGTGTACCAGTGTCATTTATTAAAAAGATTAATCCTTCTAAAGTAGGAGATAGATGACCCCAGGCTGAACAGTTTCTCTCCTGTGGACAGAAACTCCATAAAGCAGGATGATGGAAGAGGCTGGGCTCTGCCCAGATAAGTGATAAAAGACCACATGTTCCTAAAGTTAAGGAAACCTCCCTGCCTACACATGTGCAGAAAGGCTCCTTGGAGGTCAAAAAAGATGGGGTGTCACCTCATAGTAAGTGAGGCAATCAGCCACAGGCCTCTTCACTAGAATCCAACTTGGCTAAGAGATGCACATGCACACAGAGGAGGACCCTGAGATATACCAAATATGGGCTCAGAACCAGGCACATCAAAGTGATTGGCCAAAGAAAACTTGGAAGAAATGCCCCATAAAAGTGATTCAAACTACGATGAGGGTTCGACTCTCTCTGAGCCTACCCATGGGTCTATCCACATGTGTTATACTCTTTTTTGTCCCAATAAACTCTTGTTTCACTACTTTCCATCTTTGTGGGAATTCTTTTCTGCAAAGTCAAAAAGTTAGGGCTTTGTCACTGACCACCGGTCTAGTGGCTAGGATCCAGTACCCTGACTGCTTAGACCTGACCTCTATCTCTGGTCAGGGAACTGACGCCCCACCTCAGGCTGCTGCAAGCAGAGGTCAGCCAAGATCATTTCCTCACTGAATGTTCTTGACGTCTTTGTCAAATCAGTTGTCCATAGAAACATGGGTTTATTTCTGGACCCTTACTGCTCTTTGACTAATCTCTGCTTTTACGCCAGTACCACAGCATACTGTTCCACTACTCTTGCTTCACAGTAAGTTTTGAAATCAGGAAGTATGAGTCCTCCAACTTTGTTCTTCTTTTATAAGCTTGTTCTGACTATTCAGCATCTGTTGACGTCCATACGACTTTAGAAGGAGGAACAGTGGCTGAGAGTGAAGGAATGAAGGAACTCCAATATTACACTAACACTAACTCCAATATTACACTAACACTAACACTCCAATATTACACTAACACAGAGAAAACGATGGCCTGTCCTTTAGTTCAATTATACCAGATGTCAGAGGGTGAAGCCATCTAATCCTGAGACCACTTTTGCTTTTGGAACCTGCCAAGATTGAGAAGACAGTAAATCTGGTTGGCCCTGCTGTGGGTGACATTTTGGAAGTAAAATATAATGACAGGCTGAACTAATTACACCTTATTTTCACATAACAGCTGGTGGTGGTTTAGTCTCTAAGTCGTGTCCGACTTTTGCGACCCCATAGACTGTAGACCACAAGGCTCCTCTGTCCATGGGATTTCCCAGCCAACCATACTGGAGTGGGTTGCCATTTTCTTCTCAACGGGACCTTCCAGACACAGGGATTGAATCTAGGTCTCCAGTACTGCACGTGGTCTTCTCCACTGCAGGCAGATTCTTCACTGACTGAGCTACCAGGGAAGCCCACATAACAGCTACACAATGAAATATAATAACAGGCATTGTTTGTAAGCATACAGTATCAGTGATGATAGGCAAATATATGGGAAAATACAAGCCTCCTATGCCTACCCCAAAATGATTCCTCCAAAGGTTAGGCATATTCATCTTGATACTATTGCTCCACCTGTTATACAGATGTACACCGAATACTCCAATACTTTGGCCACCTGATGTGAAGAACTGCTCACTGGAAAAGACCCTGATCCTGGGAAAGATTGAAGGTGGGAGAAGAAGGGGAAGACAGAGGATGAGATGGTTGGATGGCATCACCGACTCAATGGACATGAGTTTGAGTAAACTCTGGGAGTTGGTGATGGACAGGGAGGCCTGGCATGCTGCAGTCCATGGGGTCACAAAGAGTTGGACACAACTGAGCGACTGAACTGAACAAACTGAACACGGAATATAGATGGTCAGACAGGTATGATTCTTTTGGCTGTAAGAGATCCTTGGTGAAAAACCAGAGTGGTTTGTGATATAATGAAGAACATATCTGGTCTTCGTCTCCAGTTACTGGCACAAAGCTTCAAAAACCTTTGTAATTCCTAAGCAATAGGAATCTCTCTGTTATGCTAATAAGATAACTGCCCGCAGGGTCCCTAGATAGCTTCAGGATGGAGGAGGTTGCTCACCAGAAAAAAGAAAAAAAAAAAGACTATTCAGGGACTTTCCTTGGCAGTGTAGTGATTAAAACTCTGAGCTTCCACTGCAGGGTGCACAGGTTGGATCCCTAGTAAAGGAATTAAGATCTCGCAGGCCACAAGTGCAACCAAAAAAAAATAAAAATTGCAGATGAAAGGGCTGGAGTTGGATTCAGTCATGTAATTTATGATTTAATTAATCATGACTCATTGAAAAATGCTGAACAATGAGGCTTAGGGAGCTTCCTGGTTGGTGAACATACTGATGTACTGGGAAGGCATACCCTCACGCCATAGAAACAGGAGATCCTTCACTCAGAACCCTTCCAGGCCTTGTCTGATGTTGACTTAAAAAGTGACTGAGCACAGCAGAGCTGAGTTCTGTAAGTCATTCTATCAAAGTATGGAAGCTGCAGAAGAAGCGTCTGAAGTTAGGGCAGTCTTACTGCAACTGTGTCCTCACCTGTGAAGTTTGGCCAGACTCTGGGGCTCTCGTAACAGAAGCAATTTAATGGAACATGATTCAATCACAGAAAGGAAAGAGGCACTGATAGAAGTGTTAGGTAGTTAGAATAGGAAACAGGAGTCCAGAATGGCGGTGGCTAAAAGACAAGGAAGGGAAAACCCGAGAAAATGGAACAAAGGAAGGTCCGAGGACCGGAGTGAGGACCTCAGGTAGAACAAACAGCACTCCTGGCCAGCCCTATTTACATAGGGCAGGCCCAGGGGGTAGGAAAAGACATGTAAAAAGAGGCACCAAAGGGCCGGGGGTCTCTCTGTCTCCCGCGCACTGGAGCGCTCCCCCACTCTCTTCTCTTTGCGTCTTTTGATCAGCATTCCCTCATGCCTTGAGGATGTATTTTCCTGCTATTTTCTAAATAAAATAGAGCTGTAACATGGAGCTGTAACACTGATCTGTCTAAGAGCTATAACACGGTCTGTTCGAGACCTATGACACACCGAGGTCTCTAACGTCCATCACTGCAAATTTTGGCTGACAGGAGACAGATGAACCGAGGAGCATTCACTCGCCTGACAGATGCTACAAGCCAGTCACAAAAAGAACACATGTGAGTCCACTTATATGAAATGTCCAAAAATAGGCAAACCTAGAGAGACAGAAAGTAGATGAGTGATTGTTTAAGGGTCAGCATAGGGTGGGGGGTAATGAGGTTACAGTAAAGGAAATTGACTTTCTTTATAAAGGGATGGAAATGTTTTAAAATTAACTGTGGTGATAGTTATACATGTCTGCAAACTTACCAAAAACCATTGAAACACACACTTTAAATGGATGAATTACATGGTATATGAATTACCTCTCAATAAAGCTATCATTTTTTTTAAAAAGAGTGGTTATCTTTTATAAATACATACTGAAATAGCTATGTGTGAAATATAAAGTGTCTGGGATATGCTTCAGAAGAATCCACTAGGGGTGGAAAGGGGAACAGAAGAAATAAGACTGGCCGTTAAGTTGATAATGGCTGAAGCTGAGTGCTTGGAGTTTCATTAAACTATTCTCTTCACAGTTAATGTCTGAAAATTTCATAAGAGGAAGAAAAGAAAAATTCCACGCAACAGTCTGACTCACTCAGAAAATAGAGGACCGTCTCTCCTTATTGTTTAGAGGCCCCGCCCAGAGCCCTCAGGTCGGGGAGATGAATTATTGAGGGGAATCTGAGAGGTACAGAAGCCATGGAGTGTGGAGAGGTGATGGGCACAGGGGCTGCTTTGGGCCAGGGCCCCTCAGCCTCCGCAGCCCTCACTGACAACCCACAGGCCCGGTTGACAGTGGTGGTGGAAGTAGAGCGGACAAGATCTGGTAAGAAGCCCCCACACATTCATCTCAGAAGTAACACAGCCTGGGAGAGCCTCCTGGGAGAGGGGGAGGGCAAGGCCATCTCACTAGGAAACTGAGGCAAAGGTTGAGGGCAAGACTCGGGGGTCCTGGGAGCTCAGTTTCCCCCAGGAGTGTTGACATGAAGTCTACCTGTCTCAGGCCCCAAGGAGACCTGCTGCCCTATGCTCCTTCTGGAGGGGGCCAAGAGCATCTGCCTATTTCGGCCTGGGCCTGTGGAGAGTCAGGTAGCTATGGGCTGGGCTGGGGTGTGTGTGAAGATGGGAGTGACACTGTTGACTCCTATCCTGCTCACAGGAACAATGCATCACCTTTGATAGAGTCCTGGGTTCTGATGCCGCTCAGGTACGGGGTTCTGATAGGGTGATGGGAGGTGGTTGGGAGCACTCAGAACCCTTGATCCTGGGGTGCTGAGTGCTTCTGAAGCTCTTTGCTCAGGGCGGGCTGGGTCAGGGCGCCTGAGTTGGGGGTGTGCCTGTGTCTCCGGCAGGAGGCAGAGCAGGAGCTGCTAGCACGAGTCCGGCCCACACTGGGCTCAGTGGGCCGAGGGTACAGTGTGGCCCTGCTGCTTCGGGGTCGGGAAACAGAGGCGCCCCGGCTCGTGCCTCAGGTGAGTCCCAGAGAAGGCATCAGGCATAGCTGTTTCGAGACTCACATGTTGCCTCCTCCAGGAGACCTCCAAGAACTTTCCCCTCCCCACCCTAGTGGACTAGATGTCCCTCCTCAGGGCTCCTATAGCGCCCCAGAGTCCATACAGGTTGTTTTGCCTGCATCAGTCATGAAGCTATTGAGAGGTCAGGGAAGGTGGGTGGCTGGGGTACATAGGGTGAAGGTCAGGGAGGGGTGATGTGCAAACATCAAATACTCAGGCAAATCTAATTTTCACTGTTCTTAGTAATATTGATAATAAAGTTGAAAGTTTTGTTTTTAGGCTTCATCAGAATGCCCCCAAACTAAAATAATTGCCTCAAAATCTTGTCATGAGCCCCTGCCCTTGCAAACATCAGGTCCCACTGAAAATATCTGCTCACTTGTCTGGCTTCCTGTGAACCATGAGCCCTGGGGCTATTTTTGTCTTGACCACCCTGTCCACGGCATCTAGCACAGGGTCAGGCATAGACTTCGCCCTCGGGAAATGTTGAAAAAAAAATTAATCCTTTCTCAATCTGCACTGGACCCCTTTCTCCACTTCAGCTGCTACAGATGCTGTTTGAAGAAGCTCTGCCCCTCAAGGGCTCTGACGCTGTGCTTAGCACTCTTAGCCTGGTACAGGTGAGACCCTGGGGAAGGGGAAACCTGGGGAGCCAAGGCCATGGTGATGCTGCCATAGTGCCTGAGACTCGAGGGCAACCTGAAGTGCTTGAGTCTCTGCTGCTCACCAGTGTTGGCTTGCCTTGCTGGGCGCTCCTTTTTTCTGCCTGAAATGGCTGAATTCTGGTGTCCTGCTTGGCTCACAGGGCCCCAGTGGGACAGTCATGTGAGCCAAAGTCTGAGCAAACATTTGGTTTGTAACAGCTGTCGTGCTTGTGTGATCTCAGCTCAGCGCCAGTGGGAGGAGCCGGGACCTGCTGACTCCAGGGGCAGGGAACATATCTGTGCTGGATGTGGCTCCTCTGGGCTTGTGAGTGTCCAGGGCCCAGTGAGGTCTGAGAGCGCTTATCTTAAGGCAGGGCTAACACCCCAAACTAAGTTGTTGGAGGCTTCTCCCCACTACCACTCCAAGGAAGAGAGGCTCTGAACTAGGGGTCATGCTTACAGGGCCTGGATTTGCCCCCAGGACTCCCTCTCACAGTCTTCCCTTCATCCCTCTCACTCTTCTCTCCACCCCATCCACTTACACCTCCTCAACTCTGTCATCCCCATTCCAGATGATCTGAGCATCTCACTGAGCAGAACTCCAGTTTATCCATCTATAAAACGAGAGCAGTCCCAACTACCTTGTTTCCCACACTGGGCAGATAAAAGGAGAAAAATATAAGATCATAAGGATGAGAGGCTTCTAGGAGAAATACTGAGCTTGGAGCCTTGGGGATGATTCTTACAGGCTCTAGGGATGCTCATGGGCTCCCCATCCAGAGGTTCTGGGGGCTGGACAGAACCCTTGTGCTTAGGAGCTGAGTTCCACCTTCCCTTCCTCCAGGGTGGTGGAAAATGCCAGTGAAGTGGAGGTATCTGACTCAAGAGCTGCCTCAGAGCTGTACTTGCGGGCTGCATGTGGAGAAGGCAGGTGAGGACAGGAGGACACCTGTCACCCCACCCCACCCTCACCCCCTGGTCATTTGGCCTGATCCTATGATCTCCATCACAGGAGCTGCTCTCTGCTCACTGTCACCATGTCCTGCCTGGGGTCTGACCCTCCTGAGGGGCCTGGGACCCAGGGCATGTGGCAAGGAGCCTTGCGGATCCTGCAGCTTCCAGGAGAAGTGTAAGTCTCATGGAGGTTTTTAATAGCTTTAGGGAAGGGTTGGGGAGGGGGTGGCTGAAATATGGATGTATAGGCCCAGGGCAGCATCAGAGTCTCCTCTTTCCCTCACCTCTGACATGTGCAAGGATTTGCTCCCTTTAGTATTTCTTGTAAAGCAGGTCTACTAGCAATGAACTTCCTCAAATTTTTTGTTTATCTGGGCATATCTTATTTCTCGCCAGATGTAGAAAATTTAGTTGACAGTTTTTTTTTTCCTTTCAACATTTTAACTATGTTATCCCACTGCCTTCTGGGATCCATGGTTTCTAATGAGAAACTGGTTTTAAATCTTATTGAAGATCCTTTGTGCATAGTAAGTCTTTCATAAGTTTGGGGTAATTTTGGAGCTTTATTTCTTCAAATATTCTTTCTACCCTTTTCTCTTTTTCTTCTACCTCTGGGACTCCCATTATGTATATGTGTGTACACTTGATGGCAGCCAACAGGTCTCTCAGGTTCATTTTCCTTTTTTTTTTTTCTTTCTGCTCCTCAGACTGGATAATTTTATTTGACCTGTCTTGGAGAAGGAAATGGCAACCCACTCCAGTATTTGTGCCTGGGAAATCCCATGGATAGAAATGTTTGGCAGGCTACAGTCCATGGGGTCACACAAGAGTCAGATATGACTTAACAACTAAACCACCACAACCACACCCAGAATTGCTCAAATCTGCCCTCTAGTGAATTTTAAATTTCAGTTATTGTACTTTTCAGCTCCAGAATTTCTACTTGGTTCCTTTTTATAATTTCTATCCTATTGATAATCACTGAGACATCATTTTCTTGATTGAGTTTTCTGAAAATATCTAGGACAGTTGATTTAAATTCTTTGTCTACTGAATCCAGTGTCTGCTTCCTCAGGAGCAGTTTTTATTTGTTTCTTTTTCTTTTTTTCTTGTGAGTGAGCCATATTTTCTTACTTACATTCCTAATAATTTTTTTTCTGGAAACTGGCCAATTTGAGTATTTTTGTGAAGACTATATTATTTACTGTGCTGGTCCCTTAAGTCTCCATTCTTTTTCCTCAGTGCTCTGGCATTTTATATATGATAACCTGGTAACTGTGAACGTTGGATTCTCCCTCCTTTCCAGGGTTTGACTTGTTGCTTATTGTGGGCATCAGCCATCCATTTATTTAGTTACTTTTCCAAACAATTTTTGCAAAGACTGTATTCCTTGCAGTCACTGAAATCTTCATTCTGCTATCTCAGTGCTTAGCCAATGACACAGAATTCCCTAACCTCCAAGAATGCACCCCCACCTCAGAAAGAAGATAGGAAAGGGAGGAAAAAGGAGAAGGAGGAGAGGAAGGGGAAAGGGAATGAGGAGAGAGGAATGAAAGGAAGCAGGAAGTGGGGAGGAAGATAGGAGAAAAAAGGAAGAAAGACAAAGAAAAAAAATCTCTAGGTTTCTACACACTGACTTTGTGTTGGGTCACTCCTTCAATGCTTAGCCAGGCTATTTACAGCTCTGCCTTAGCTTCACATCCTGCTTGCACTCAGCCCTAAATCAGCCAGAGGTGAAAGCCTATGGTCGTCTCAGGTCTTTTCTCACCATGCACACTGCCTTGGACACTTGTGTGACTTTCTAGGTCCCCTAGTACACACGGCAACTTTTCAAAAACTTTTATTCCCCCCAAATTTCACTACCCAACTTTTTTGTCCAGTCTTTTCATGTGTCTACTACTTGCCCTGTTATTTTTTTCTTGTTCTTTCATCTCTCAAAGTCTGGAGGGACCACCTTCTGACAAAGCTCCTCTGCCCCAATAAAATTCTAAGAAAAGTGAAACAAAGGGAAACTCCTTTTGACAGTCCTTTGTGTGAAACCCAGACAGTCAAAACAAACACAATTCCTTGAGAACGAGATCTACTCTGCTCCTTTCAGAACCAGGTACCGCCATCAGAAATGTGGGCTGTACTGGGGAGAAGGTTGGGGCTACAGTAACTTAAAAACATCACAAAGATCTCTTACCATAGTTAAGTTGCCTTTCTCCTGGTTAAACTTCACTTGATTGCTGTAAACCTTTGACTAACTCCTAGAGTTCCAGTAAGGTTGATTCTGATCATTTTTTTGCCAGATGCTTCTGAGGAGGGACAAAGCCCTATATTCCCTATTCTGCCATTTTTGTTAATGTCACCTTGTTTTGCCATTTTAAAATTGGGTTGCATTTTTATGTATGTGTGTATTTCCCCCCTGCAATGGAAGCACACAGTTCTAACCACTGAACCACCAGGGAATTCCCCAAGTTGTACTTTTTTTACTGAAGTGTAAGAGTTCTTTATATTTTCTGGATACAAGTCCCTTATCAAATATGCAATTAAATTCTTTTTTACCATGAGGATGTATTATTTGTGTAATTTAAAAATAATGAAATAAAGATTTATACAAGGTCACAAATCTGTCTGGTGGTACACAAAAGTGACTGGAAATAGTCAACCTTTCATCAGAGTGTGATCTGGGCCAGTTCTCTCTCCATCTACCAGTGGCCAACTCCTTTCTTCCTACCTCCCTCCCTCCCTCTGGCAGAGACTGTCCCCTGCTGCAGGTACTGGCTGGCAATGTGGCTGGTGAGGAGGTGGAGGGCTCTCTGACCTGGATTGTCTCATGGCTTCTGGAAGGAAACAACTACAGTAGCCTTCTTCTTCGCCTGGATCCTCAAGGTGACTTGGGGTAGGATGTGGTTTCTTCGGGAAGCTCTAGGATCTGGCATTAACTGTCACTCAACCAGTTGCAGCCCCAACCCTAGCAAGCCCAGAAAGGGATGGGGGGGTCAGGATTCAGAAAAGTTCCAGAAGGGTCCAGCTGCCAAAGTCTGGAAAGGCAGGGCCAACTGTAAAAGCCTCACCCTTTCAGTGGCCTTCAATGGTGTATCAAGCATTTTTATGCTGACTTAAACCTCTGATTATTACCACAACCTCATGAGGCAGATCAAATCTATGGGTGAGGAAAGGAAGACAGGTTTAATTTATAAATGAGGATCAGAGACGGGGAGGTGCTTGCCTGTTTTCACACACTCTTTAAAAGATCAAGACTCTGTGAAATATGATGTCAGAGATATGGAAGGGGTCAAGTGGAGGGTATAGAACAAACAAGAACTTAAGTTGATAATTGTTGAACCTGGATGATAAGAGAATGGACCTCCCAGACTCTGCATATGTCTGAAATTTTCCACTAATAAGAGTAAACAAAACAAACAAACAAAAAAGTCTGGTGCTCTGTCTCCAAAATCAACAGACATACATTCATTTGGCCAACATATTCCCAGGCCTCACCCTATGTCAGGCCCTGTGGAATGAGGAAAATAAGTTGGGGCAGTTCACATTCTCAAGGACAAATCAGGGAGTAATAGAAGTGTGTTTATGTACAGACCAGTTTGGGATCATGGTTAAGGGCATAGGCTTTAGTGTCAGACAGAACCAGGATTGAGTTTCAGCTTTGCCACTCACCAGGAAGTTGTTTGATTTCTGAGCTCCAGCTGCCTTATCTGGAAAATGTGGAGGGAGGCAGAGTAAATCAGAGTTGCTGTCTCATTGGAGCATTGTGTGGATAAAAGGAGACAATTCACAGAAAGCCTTAGCACAGTACCATCAAACACATGTAAAAGCCTGATAGATGTTAGCTATTTTCATGAACAATACTCTTAATAAAAATTAAAAGTATTACAAGCAGTGTGCTTTGAATCTCAGAGGAAGGAGAGATTCATTGTGTGTCTCCCCTTACTAGGCAGCCCCCTGAGCTTGTTCCAGTCTGCTTTGTTGGGGGCTGCAGGAAGGAGGAGGAAGGTGAAACATGTGAGGCCCACCCTGTGGAATGCAGTAGAAGAGGCCCGGGCCCGCCGAGCTGGTCTGAAGAGCCTGCGATCAGGCCTCCTTGGGGACGCCCTGACAGACAGTGGGCTCAGCCAGCTGGGCAGGGCACTGCGGGAGCTGCATGTGAGCAAGGTGAGGCCTGGGGGGTGCCTGAGCCAGCAGTGGCCAGAGCCTGCCCAGAATCCTTTCTCTGTAGGTGGTAAAAGCCTGGAGCCAGCGTTGGGGAAGCTGGATGCTCAAAGCAGTCAAAACTGAGGCTGTGGGGCTCCCAGAACCACAGGTACAGCTTCTCATACAAACTCTTAGGAGCCCTATTGATGTCTGCTGCCTTATTCTGTTTATAGAGCACTGTGAGGCAGCCCTTCCTTCATTCATTAATGTTCTCATTCTCAAACATTTACACTGATCACTATGTACTGGGCATAACATCATGCAGGCCCTGGAAAATCCCTCATGGGGTTTACAATCCTTTGGAGAGAAACTATTACTCCGTGATCAGTGCTCTGAAGGGCTGATCCGAAGGGTTCTATGCAGGCATGTAAGTTAGTCTTGGCAAGAGAGGGAAGGTGATCTCATGGAAACTTGAAACCTGAAGGAAGTGACTAGCAAAGATGAATGAAAGACATCCCAGGCAGAGAAAATAAGAGGAAAAGTCTCAGAGGTAAGTCCTTGGTCTCTTTGGGGAACAGCAAGCAGCTCAATCTGGTGGAGGATACAGTTTGAGGAAGAAAGTCCAGGGAGAAGGATTGGTGAGTGAAGCAGGGGCCTGGTCATGCAGGTCTCTGTAAATATATTGAGATGTTTGGACTTTGCCTTGAAGGTCAAGGGGAAGCCACAATTTATTCTAAACAGGGATGACAATACTGCTCCCACTTTTCAGCAAATGGAAACTCAGAGAAGTGATGTGAGTAATCCAAAGTCTCTAGGGTCATCAAAGGCAGCAGAGGTGCAGACATCCAAGTCTTAAGATCCAGAATAGTGCTTTCATTCTCTTAGGATGCATGGCCTCCCTTGGGCAGAAGGTGGCACTGTCTTCCATGATTTGTCACAGGGTGACTAGAAAGTAGCCTCTGTCCAACTTCTCCTGGTCCTTCCCTTTTCATAATTACTTAGTACTCATTTTTTTACAGCCCTGGGCCTTGGGGATTAGGCTTATAAACTCCAGGTTATTGAACAGAGCTGGCCACTGCTTAGTGCTTTGGGTGCCTTTTCTCATTTAATGCTCTCTACAACTTTTATCAGCTCCACTTCATGGACAAGAAAACGGAGGCTCAAAAGACTAGCCAGCTGCTTGAGGTCATATAGCTAAGAAAAGGGGGTGGGGTGGGGCTGGGACCCTGATCCTTGGAAGAAAGGTACAGACTTCTCACTCATAATATATTCTCAGCAGGCGACACATTCAACAGCAAGCCCCAGCCCAGGTCTCCAGAAGGAGCCTCAAGGTGAAGCTGGTGCTTGGGGTGGAGCTGGAGGTCTTCTCCATCTTTGGTTACTTAACTGAATTCTCCTCCAGTGGCAGGAAGAACAGCATCTATAGGACCTGATCTCCACCAAATGAACCCACTCAGGGGCTCTGAGGAACAGGTAGTAACACCCCATGTACCCCAGAACAACTGGAAGTAAAGAGTCACAGAGAGCCAATAATATGTCTCCTGCTTACCTTGTCCTAACATCAGGGAGAAATGCAGAGCTTCTGGCAAATAAAGGGCCTGTAGAGCTATTGGATTCCTAAGGATGGGCATGGGAAGGGGCTGTTTCCCTACTGGGGCTTGCATGGCACCTCTTGGCAGAAATCAGTATCTCTCCTCCTCCCTCACAGCCTGAGTCTCTGTCCAGGGCACAGGTTGACAGCTAGCCTCCTGATGTCACTCTAGGGGCTGCCCTGGCAATGGGGCTCTGCTGGACAGGTTGGGCCCTTTGTCCCAAGACTGTGTGCACACATGGGCTTCTGGCTGAGCCTAGATCGATGTCATGTAGGCCCAGCAGACCCCGGACGTGGCCCTGCACTTCTTCCTGGCTCAGGCCCAGAGGCACAGACTGCGAGGGCAGCACCAAGCGTGGATCCAAGAGGCGCTGAAGCACATGGAACAGGACGACGAGGTGGTGGCGGGTGACCAGGTCAAAGGTCTGGTGGCTGAGGAGGTGAGGAGGGCCCAGTAGGGGACTTAAGGCTCCTTCTAACCTGGCCAGGCAGGGGGCTAGGGGCTGGGGGCTGGGATCTAGCATCAAAGACTGGGTGACACCCTCTCTCATGGCCCTCACTGCTTTGTGGGGGACACATGAGGCAATTCTCAGTGCTAAGTGCTGTGAAAGAGGGAGTTAGTGACTCACTGGAACAAAGAGGTGTACCTGGACCAGGCTGGAATGGAGCAGAGATGGCATCTAAGCTGAGGCTTAAACAACAAACAAATCAGCCAGAGAAATGCACTAGATTTAGATCCACAGGGCAGTTTGTGCTCATCACATAGAGGCATCCTGTAAATGTAACTTGTTTAAACAAGAAACAAAACATGTGTGCACAGAGGTGGGGTCAGGGGAGGTGGGAGACGTTTTGAGAAGAGAATTCCCTATGAGCGAAAGTCCAAAGGGAAGCAAAATGGTTCTGGGTGTTGTGTATTTTCCATCTGGCTGGAGCCTGGCAGTTGTGTGGTCAGAGGAAAAGCTAGAGACCAGCTGGTGTCAACACTCTGCATTTGGACTTTACACCAAGGACGATGGTGAACTGTAGAAAGGCATGTCATCTCAGTCCTGTCCCTCACTAGACATGTGAATTTGAGCAAGTTAGGTCACTTCTCTGACCCACTGTTTCCAAATCTATAAAATGGCAACTACCTCAAAGGTTATCATTAGCTCAATTAAACCATAATATAATGTAGAGCCGAGCCAGGCACACACGCTGCACTCCACAGAGAGCATGTGTTATCACTGAAGGACTACAAGGAGAGGCAGAGATGGCACCGGGAGCAGACAGTGCTGAGATGTCGGCTGGAGGCCCTTCAGGCAGAACGGGATGCCGCAGAGCAGGACCTGACAGCCCTCTATGACCTACATGTGCAGGCTGCCCGGGCTCAGACATGCCATGTGCTGCAGGTCAGTTGGGAGAGACAGAGGGCAGGTCTTGAGCTGGTCCCAAGGCTACCTGACTGATGGGAAGCTTGGAATCTGGGCACAGGTATTTCGAGCCTGGCGGGGGCTGTGCGAGGAGCAGGCCATGACTACAGAGCATCACTACCGCAGCCTGCTGGCTGGCATCTTGCAAGACTCCATCAGCTTGGCCACACAGAACCAGGAGCTCCAAGCCCAGAATAAGCAACTTCGGCAGACCGGGTTGGCAGCGGTAGTGCTGGATACCTGCCCTGAGGAGAAATCTGGTGATCAGGAACCCGAAAGGGGCACTTTCTTCTCTCCTCGTTTGTAAAGGTCCGAGAAGGGAGAGGAAGGTGGGATACAACAGCCAAGCTTACCTCTACTATAGATAAATAATCACATCACTAACCAGGGCGCATTGTGCCAGTCCATTAAATGCCTAATATCCCTTATTTGATTTAGAGATTTCCACTACCCTATATGGAGGTGCAGGAGACATGGGCTCCATCCCTGGGGGTCAGGAAGATCCCCTGGAGTTAGGAAATGACACAGAGGAGCCAGGGGGGTTACAGTCCACGGAGTCACAAACAGTCAGACACAACTGAGTGCACGAACACACACACACACACACTACCCTACATTGTAGTAGGTATCATCTGAGTCCCATTTCAGAGATAAGCCTACTAAGGCTAGGAGAGGTAAGTGACTGTTCAAGGACAGTCTGCTAATAAGTGCTGGAGCCAGAATTAACACTCACGCCTGGTTGTCTATAGTTCTACACTGCAGGCAGTAGTGGTTTACAAGTTGTAGTGTATATCAGAATCACCTAGGAAACTTACTGAAGAGAAAAAAAAATAAATAAAAAGATTCCCAAACCCCAATCCCTAAGATTCTGCTTCAGCAGGACTGGTTCCCCCCGCCCCAACCCCCCACAAACTTACCAGGTATTTTACCACAGGAGTGGGGCCTGACATGTTCCTCTGGAGCATGAGAACCAAAACCACCTTGAGTCCTAAGAGTTCTCTAGCCTACAGCTTGCAGTCTTCCTTACTGAGTCCCAAGACTCCTCACAAATTCTCTATGGCCCAAGTTTTGGCTTCCCTGGTAGCTCAGTGGTAAAGAATCTGCTTACCAATGCAGGAGACACAGATTCAATATTTGGGTTAAGAAGATCCCCTGGAGAAGGAAACAGCAATCTACCCCAATATTTTTGCCTGGGAAATCCCATGAACAGAGGAGCCTGGCAGGCTACAGTCTGTGGGCTCACAAAAGAACTGGATATGACTTAGCAACTAAACAAGTTTTGTACTTCAGAGAAATTTTCAAAGCTCTGTGCCAGAGAAAATTTGGCTCCACAGAGTTCTCAAAGGAAATTACCATGTTGGCAAGAACTGAGAAAGCAGCCTTTTCTCTTAATCTGTAAGTCACCCCAGGATTAAGACACTCAGGGCACCAAAGGAATGAATTATCTTTGAGAGGAGCTGTGCAACACAGAAGACACAGGACAATCATGACCAACTGTAGGAACCACCTACACCCCAGAGCACTTTATTAAGACCTTATTGCTTATGCAGTTAGACACTGATTGAGTTAAGCAAGTTTCCCTGTGCCTGGTCCCAGGTCACTCCATGTAGAGTTTCCCCAGGCAGATGGGAGCTGGGTCACTGCGAGGAAAAGGCAGGACCCAGAGAGGGAAGGACACCACCTCCGAGGAGCTCCAGAGGGGACAATGGGCCTTGAGAGAGCCCTTAGGGTGAGCAGAGAGATCAGGAGTGTAGACTCAAGCCAGGGCCCAGGGGCGACATTCCCTGAGATGAGTCAAGTCCCAGTCCTCTCTGAGGGTTCCAGAACAAAGGCTAGGTGTGGAGAGAGCAGGGGGTGTTACCTCCAAGCGCTGCTGGAGCTACAGGAGATGGCAGAGGCCTGGGTGATGGACACACACATAACCTCCGGCAACTGGGCTTTCCTATATGACACTGGGGGATGAGTTATGTTATGGGGGAGCCATGTACCATGGTTGGGCTGGAGCAGCCAGCACCAGGCCTGGGGAGCTATGGGTCTGCTGGGGTGACAACAGTAGGCAAGGAAAGCCAACTGCTGCCCACACCTCACTTTAAGCAACTGCATTCACGCAGGATGAAGCAGCATGCCTCCTCCATTAGCATAGGATAACTTCTCAGGCCTCTGAACGGATGCTCCCCTAATTTCTTAGTCTGGAAGAACTTGTGGGGGCGCAAGAGTTTCCTTAATCAAACCCAGCCTTCAAGTCTCCCAGGGATAACCTACCTCCAGAGACTAACGTGGCTGCTCTCACTTCCCCTGCTTTTCTCACAAGGCACTTGTTACAGGGCTGCTGAGGGGAGAGGTCAGCACTGGGAGGTGGCTCTGATGGTGGTCCCCAACCTACAGGTCAGGAGTCAGGGTAGAGGTGGTGAGGGGCTAGCGACTGCCGTAGTACAGGCGTACTGCCAGGCCGATGAGCAGTGTGGCCAGGAAGAAGGCAGCGGTGAGCTGAAGCCGCAGCAGGGCGGCTGACAGTACGGCATTGACCACTAGAGAGCAGGACACGACAAAGAGGCGTGTGATGCTGCTGCCGTGTTTCATGACGGCCGACATGAGCAGTCCATTCAGTGCCTGGCTCAGCACCACGAGCGCCGCCCATCCCGAGAAACCCTCCAGGAGGCCCGGGCCGGGGCCACCACCTGCATGCAGACCTAGGTTCAGGAGCACACCAAAAGTGTAGAGGAAGAGGTTTTGAAGGGCCAGTGGCAGCCGCTGCCGCTTCAGGAGCAGCTCTGTGTACACGGAGGACAAGCCGGAGATGAGGCAGTACAGGATGAGAAGCAGCAGTCCCAGTGGAGTGATGTGCAGGGGCATGGGGCTCGTGGCAGCTGCTGAACGGGGCCCGGGAAGGGTGGTCCCTGGGTCCTGGAGGCCCCCGGCTGCATAGCAGGCTCCTGCGGCCATCAGCAGCAGCAGCGCTAAGCCCTGGCGTGCAGAGAGGCGGTGTCGGAGGCAGAGGCAGTAGAACAGGGCTGTGCTTCCAATCTTGAGATTGCTCAGCACCTGGTAGGTGCTGGGGTCCATGTAACGTTGCAGGTAGATCACCAGGTTGTTGTTGGCGCCGTACAACAGGGCTGACAGTGCGAATGGGGCAGCCTGGCGCCAGGGTGGGGTCCCCTGGGGCCACGCTTGCCAGCCCACCAAGAGGGAGAGGGCACAGAGCAGCAGCTTGGTCAGTTCAGTCAGAAGTACAGCTGAGGAGGGTCGGAAGGGGACACGGCCATCCACGTGGCACAGTGCCAGCAATGGGGCATGGGCACCGTACATAGCAGTGGACAGGAGCAGCATCAGGGTCCAGCGGGCCTGCCTGGGACGGCCCAGGCCTGGCACACCCCCGTCCTCTACACTCATGCCCAAACTAGACCCTGGGTGGCCTGTGTAGCTAGCAAGGCGGGGGTAAGGTAGGGTGGGGGTTGTGACAGTTCAGGGAAAATCAAGTTATGGAGCTGGCTCCCAGGAGCAAGGAGCCTTGAGAGAGAATACTGAGAGTCAGAGTTAGCTGCAGACTCCACAGTAAGGGCTAGAAGAGGAAGGGTGGGTGGCTCTAGAAGCCATAATCTTGGGGCCAGTCCCATGGGGTTATGGAGGCAAGGGGTTCAGGGTGTTGGCTGATGAGTCACTGTCCAGTCTCTGCAGGAAAGGAAGCAAGGCTGAAGGTGGTGGGAAAGCTGGAGACAGCAAATGGGTGAAAGCCAGGGTGGCCAGATATGACATTCGTGGCTGAAGGCCTCCACCTGCTGCCCCCAGCTGCTCATCCTGCCTCCCTCATGGAATCCAGAGCTAGTCGGGCCCTTTGCGCAGTGATCGAAGATAGTCCCTCAATGTCTTCTCCACATTGGGCACAGCATATGCCTGAGCTACATATATGCCAGTGCAGGTGCCCACGGCAAAGCCCAATACTGCTGATGCCCTCAGTTTGGCCACCACATAGCCAGCCAGGAAGCCCTTGAGGAATGGGGAGGACAAGAATGAGGCATCCTGTGGAGGAAAATGTAGGAGAAAAGTCAGCTGGGCTTTCCTCTTCTCTACCTAGGAGCTACTCAAGCTGAGCTTAGCACATCACACTACCTACTCCTCCTTACTCTGGAAAGCTGTAGTATGCTCACCAAGGTTTTTCAAGATTCTGGGGCAGAAAAAGAACCTAGGAGTCATGACCACACAATGTCAGAACCCTGAGGTCCGAAAGCTCTAACCAGAGAAGCCCACTGAGAGAGAAGTCCCTGATGAATCTGAGCCCTGCCTGCTTCTCCAGTCTTATTTCCTAGCATGCTGCCCCTACTGCAGCCAGACCAAACTGCTTTCACCTCTCATGTTCATCATGCTACCTCCCACTATGAGGGTTTTGTCTGTGCTGTTCCACCTGCCTGGAATGTTCTCTCCTCCCCTCTTTACCCTGTTAACCCCTGTTTAAGATTCCAGTTCAACTGCCATTTATAGGGAAACATTCCTCGGGGTCACAGAGAACAGGAACTCAATAAAAAACAACTTGCTGAATAAATCTCTATCACCCATACAAAAGCATATTGGATAATAAAGCCTAAGGAGGGTGGGGTGGTGATAGTAGGGAACAGGCACATCTTTCTTTACCTGGCCTACACCACTGTTGACTTCGTCTTCCACACGCTGCTGCAGGCGTTCCAGCTGGTTCTTGAGAAAAGCCAGATCCTTAAGCTTGGGAAGAGAATCCTAGGACAAAAAAGAGGCTGGCTTCAGAAGGCTGACAAAGCCCTCTACCCTGCTCAAGTCTGACGTGATAGTAGTAAAAGAAGAAAGGCATTGAAAAATAAAGAATTCACATGAGGGCCTGGGAAGGGATGACAGACGGGATCTGCACCGGTAACTTACAAACACTCTTACGGGAACTTTATACAGCAAGCAGCATATAGGGGAGGAGAAGGGACAGCTAGGGGACCTTTAGTTAGGTTTATCAGGCAAGCACCAGTCAATGAGTGAGTGTGTGTGCACTCTTAGTCTCTCAGTCGTGACTGACTCTTTAGACCCTATGAACTGTAGCCCTCCACGCTCCTCTGTCCACAGAGTTTTCCAGGCAAGAATTCTGCAGTGGGTTGCCATTTCCTCCTCTAGGGATCTTCTCCATCCAGGGATCGAACCCAAATCTCTGGCATCTCCTGCACTGGAATCTTTACCACTGGGCCTCCTGGGAAGCCCACTAGTGAGTATAAGCTACCTGTAAGTCTGTCTTGTCCAATGTGTTTGGACGCCTAACACAAGATCTGCAGGTACTTAGTAAATGTGTGCGTGGTGCTGAACTTCCAGATTAATGGTGGGTAATGGCCTGAGGCAGTTCCTTGGACAATTTGGGGGCAAACCTGATTTCTGCCTAGGCTTCTCCCCCTTCCTCCCTAAAGCCACCCCAAACGTAATGTGCGGATGTATGAGCTGGAGTTTGGTGAGGAGATAGGGAAGGTGGCTGTCTGCAGGAGCGTGAGTAAATGAATTCAGTGATTCTGGTCGCATGTAAGTATGAAATTAATAAGTGCCCAAGGAATGTGATCGAAAGGGATGTGTTTCTGTGGTCTAGAAACTTCCCGTCTCTAGAAGGAAAATTTCGGAGGCTAAGGAATGGAGTAGAATTAGGAGTGTCTGCAAGTAACTTAAGAAGCGCTATGGTCCAAGAGTGGAAGGTAGGGGGACACCTGGGAAAATCCCTGGCTTTACTTGACTGGCGTAATGCTCTGCCACCCCACTTCCCATTACTGAGGCAGCTGACAGGAGTAACTTCCCTTGTGGGCTTCTCTTGTGGCTCAGCTGGTAAAGAATCCTACTGCATTGCGGGAGACCTGGGTTCGATCCCTGGGTTGGGAAGATCCCTTGGAGACGGGGATACCCAGAACGGCTACCCACTCCAGTATTCTGGCCTGGAGAATTCCATGAACTCTACAGTCCATGGGGTCGCGAAGAGTCGGACACGACTGAGCAACTTTCACAGGATTAAAAGTTTGCCCCCAGGAGAAACAAGGGGCACCCTCATCCAGGAGCCGTTCCAACTGGCGCCTCTCCCCAGAACTAAAAAGGTGTGAAGCCCACCCCAGACTGCACACAATCCTCTGGTCCACTCACCTTGTCATCCGCCATCTTCCCTGCAGAACTTGTTGCGCAGGCGCAGCACCGCCTCCCTCCTGGCAAACACTACTGCCATCTTTACTGAGGGCACAGGTACTTCCGGGGCATTTCAGGAAAAGGTGAAGCCGCTTTCCTGACGCCCCCCTTTTCGCAGATACTACCACGTGACCTCTCTCATTGAGCAGCACCCCCAGCCGCGCCAGGCTACGTGTGCGCGTGCGCAGACGACCTGAACGCGATGATCTCACTTGTTCGCGTGTGCGTTCTGCGCCCATTCTCCTGGAGAATCTTCCGCCGCTTAATGAGCTCACAGTTGAGCGGTGATGTCAGCGTGTGCGCCGCGGTCCTTGAGCCTCCCCTAGACTCGCGGACGCGAACGCGCAGGCGTTGGGAGATCCGAACGTCTTGTTTACACGCGCCACCTCTAGACTGGAGGCGCTACCTTGGCGGGTCCTTTCCCGCCCCTAGGATCCGGCCTCTGCTCCTCCCCGCGTTTGTGCGGCTCCCGTTGGCCTGGCGGATTCCAGCGCAAAGAGGCTGGACTTGTAGGCACAGCAGCTCCGGAGGCGTGCTGGGCTGAGTGAGGGCCGGCGAAGGCCGGCGGGAACGCGACCAGGACTATGCTGGGCAAGGATTACATGCTGGCCATTATTCTGGTCAACTGCGATGGTGTGCACAGAGGGTCTAGATGGGAGGATCGGGAGCTGAGGGAGGGCGAGGGAGCGCGAAAGGCTACCTTAGGCTCAAAGACAGGGAGCCTGTCTTTAAGTTACTTGAGTACGTTATGTCTTGGGATGAGGACCAGGGGACAAATGAACCCAGATCTTTGCAATGCAGTATCCAAGGTTGGAAGCCTGGACCTTTAGACTGGACCTTCAGCGCAAATATGGGTTGGAGGAAGGGTTATGACAGTGTTATTCTGAGTCCACAAATAAGCCCTCCCTCTCCAATCCTACGTTCCTGTAGATGACTTGTGGGGGGACCAGAGTCTGGAGGGGGAGCCAGGCCTGCCCCCTGGCTGGAGGAAGATCCGCGATGCTGCAGGTACTTATTATTGGCATGTACCCAGCGGTAGCACTCAGTGGCAGCGCCCATCCTGGGAGTCAGGAGATGCAGAGGACCCAGGCAAGGTAGGTGGAGTGTGAGGACAGGGCCAGAGCTCATGTGTGGACCTATACCTGCCACACTGACCTATCCCCCTCTCTACAGAAGACAGAGGGAATTTGGGGACTTCGGCCCCCCAAGGGGAGATCCTTCTCCAGCCTGGAGAGCTCACTGGACCAGAGGTAAGGGGGATAGGCCAGGCAGAAATGAAAAGCTTGGGGTTCCATAGTACTCAAAGATGCAGCTGGACCTGTTACAGTCTGCTTTCTGGCCCAAGTTCTGGGGTGGCACAGTGGTAAGGAATCCACTTGCCAATGTAGGAGATGCAAGAGCCGTGGGTTTGATCCGTGGTTCGGGAAGATCCCCTGGAGGAGGAAATAGCAACCTGCTCCAATATTCTTGCCTGGGAAATCCCATGGACAGAGGAGCCTGGTGGGCCACAGTCCTTGGGGTTGCAAAGAGTCAGAAACTACTGAACCACTGAGCACACACACATACACACTGTGTTCTTGGTTCTGTCCCATATTCTTGATTGTCCCAGTGTTTTGTTCCTTGATCCAAGCTCTGTTTTTTGCTGTATGGTTGTTTTATGTATTCTGGGTCCTGACCTGTCATGTTCTACATCTTGCTGACTACCCTACCTTCTGTCCATGGAGGTTCCTATCCTGTGTTCAAGGGTCTTCTTGTCCTGATTTGGGGCACTGGTCCACATTTTGGACCCTACTGCATGCTTGTAAGTTTTATTCTATGTCCTGTGTGTTGAATTTTTCCTCCATTTCTAAGCCATGCTCTATATTACACTTATTTAATATGTCCTGGGCTCTGTCTTCCTCTGAGTTTACATTTGGGACTCTATATTCTGCTTCTTATCCCACATCTTGTGCCCATCAAGTAGTCTGGTTCTCACCATTGTGCCTTCTGTAGGAATTGTGGTCCTTTTACGAGCTCTGCTCTATTCCAGTAACTCTCTGTCCTGGTATGGTGAAGAATCCTACATCCAGAGAATGGAGCCAGGGGCTAAGGTAGTGACTTAAGCCGGAGGGCCAGCCCAGGACTTTGGGGAGGGTCCCCAGGGAAAGGTCAGGGGTGAGATCGGCCTGGGCAGAGGTGATAAAGGGTGAAGGGAGGTCTACAGAGGGTTTATATATGTGGAGCCTGTGACACCACCCATCCTACTTCATCCTACTTCCCTTACTCAGGGTCCTTCTGTCCTTTCCTTCAACCTGTCAGTGCTTTGCAGTCCGCTCTCTGGGCTGGGTGGAAGTACCTGAAGAGGACCTGGTACCGGGGAAGAGCAGTATCGCTGTCAATAACTGCATCCAGCAGCTGGCCCAGACCCGTAGCCGGAGCCAGCCTCCAGATGGTGCCTGGGGTGAGGTGAGCTGGCTGACCCTTCGAGGTATTCAACCTAGCATCCAGCAGAGGTGGCTGTCCCTGAACTGCCTGTTCCCCATGGTAACCACCTTCATCTGAGCTCCAGCCTGACCTCTCCTTGGCAGGGCCAGAACATGCTGATGATCCTGAAGAAGGATGCCATGAGCCTGGTGAATCCCCTGGACCACAGTCTGATCCACTGCCAGCCCCTGGTGCACATCCGTGTATGGGGTGTGGGCAGCTCCAAGGGCCGGTGAGGACCCCCTGCATCCTTGGAAATGAGAGTTGCTTCTCCTTCCCCCTTGCAGGCTGTGATCCCCACTGATGCTCATTCCCTGTATTGAACCCCTGGACACAGGTCCTCTGACATGGACCCAAGCTCTGCCTCCCCTGCCTGATCCAGCCCTGGTTGGGGAGGGTGGGCTCCAGCCCAGCAGGGACAGACGGGGGAGAGTCTGAGAGGCTGGGCTGATTCTCTCCTGTGCTCCCACATGCTTCTGGAACAGTGACAGGTGAGTGACAGCCAAGTGCCTTGAGCTCCAGCCCTGATCTCCCTGTTCCATCCCACCGTTAACTCTGACTTCCAGCCTCCTGCAGGCACTGCAGGGCCCCCACCCCTCCCCTAGCCCCATCTCCAGTCCTGCCCTACCCCCATCTCTGACCCTGCCAGGGACTTCGCTTTTGTGGCGGGTGACAAAGACAGCTGTATGCTCAAGTGCCATGTGTTTCGCTGTGACGTCCCTGCAAAGGCCATTGCCAGTGCCCTACATGGGCTTTGTGCCCAGGTAAGGGCCAGGAGTGGGGCAGGAAATATGGGTATTGAGCTGGGTCTGAAGCTGCTAAGGTTGTTGGGTTAGGGTGGTATTGGCTTCCTTACCTCACTTCTCCCTCCCTTCACCGCATGCTGTCTGCACTGTGTTTCAGATCTTGTCGGAGCGAGTGGAGGTCAGTGGTGATTCCCCTTGCTGCTCATTAGACCCCATCATCCCTGAAGACCTGCCTCGACAAGGTATGGGGGGCAGGGCTGCAATGCAAAAACGCTACTTTGGTGAAAGATGGGGAGGGGGATATTTAGTACTTCTCTGCAGATAGAGGACTTCTGAGATATCCTTTTCCCAGGGATCCCAAACCCTAAATTGGGAGAACATCCTTGGCCTTTTTCCTACTTGCTCCAGTTCCCTTAGAAGGGTGGAGAAAGGGGTCATTGAGAGAGTACCCAGACCAACTTGGTGTATATATTTCAGTGGAGCTACTGGATGCTGTGAGCCAGGCTGCTCAGAAGTACGAGGCACTGTACATGGGGACCCTGCCAGTCACTAAAGCCATGGGTGAGAACTGAGTGGGCTGGAGGGCTTCGGCTGTGTAAGGGAAGTGGACAGTGGAAAAGGAAGGATCTACCACCATTTTTCAGAGTGCTCCCATGGCCTTCTGTAGCCTGGGATGTACTGCCCTTCTCCTCTCAGGATTTGAAGCCTGGCCCCAGCTATTCTATTCCCATCTCTCTGAATCCTGTCAGTGAGGGGGCTTAGACACTCCTTGCAGAGCCTTCTTTACATCTGGGAGACACTGAGGTGGGCATGTCCCCCCAGGCATGGATGTGCTGAACGAGGCCATTGGTACGCTCACCACCCGTGGGGACCGGGACACCTGGGTCCCTGCCATGCTCAGTGTGTCTGACTCTGTCATGACAGCACATCCCATTCAGGTACCAGCCAGAAAAGGGTGAAGTTGGGGGCTGTGGAGGGGTAGGCGGGGATGCTAAGGGGTTATTGCTTGCTGTTGGAAGTGCTCAAGGGGTCTGACCCTTTAGTGACTAGGCCTGATTTGGGCAGGCAGAGGCTGGTGCAGAGGAGGAGCCACTGTGGCAGTGTCCTGTGCGCCTCGTGACCTTTATTGGTGTTGGTCGTGACCCACACACCTTTGGTCTCATTGTCGACCTGGGCCATCAGAGCTTCCAGTGTGCAGCCTTCTGGTGCCAGCCCCATGCAGGGGGACTTTCTGAAGCTGTGCAGGCAGCTTGCATGGTGAGTTAGGGGTGGGAATGGGTGGGTGGTATTGCCCTGCAGCTGCTCTATTCTGTTCACTGGGGTTCAGGATTAGCAGCCTCTCCAGAGATCACAGACCAGCCAGGCCAGGGCTGACTGTGGTTCAGGAGTATTTTATTTGACCCTCACGCTGTTTTTAGTAGGTTTTAACTGTCAATATTTAAAGACCAGGACATTTCACATAATAATAGCTATTCCTGTTTTTCTTTAAATATCAGAAGCCCTGACACTTGAGTCCATATGTGTACATTTCAGCATTCAGCTGAAATTGTGTAAGGTATAGGGTGAACATTCTCTTTCCTGTTTTCTCTCATTTGGGTTGTTTTCTGGTATCTGGGCATATGAATGTGGGACATTTGCACTCAGTTCAATTCACTTACTCACTGAAATATGAGTAGGTGCCAGAACTCAACCATACTTGACCCTGGGAATTCAGTGGTATGGAAGGCATGGCCTTTTCCCTCACAGAACAGTTAGGTTAGAGCAGAGATAGATGAGAAGGAAGTTGTATATCACAGGATGCTGGAAGCTTTGGCCCCTTCAGAGGTTCAAGGAGGCTCTCTGAAAGAGGTGATAGAAAACTGAGAGTTGCTGGTCCAAAGAGGGAAGTTATCCAGGTGAAGGGGAGTGGTTTCAAAGATGTGCTGTCAAGTATAGGGAACCCCAGTGGTCAAGGTGAGAGGGATGTCAGTGTCTGAAAGAATGTAGTTTATATGGAGTGCATGAGGTGGGGGGCAGGGCTCGGCGGGGGAAGGATGGATAGAATGAGAGACGGGCAGAAAGAATGGCAGAATCCAGGTCACAGAAGAACTTACAGGGTAGGGTGATGAGTTTGTTTCATCCTGAGGCACGTTGAGCCGTTTAAAGGTTTTGAGCAAGACAGTGAAGTCAAGTTTGTGGATTTGGAAGATGACTTAAACTACAGTATGGATTTAAGATTTGGAAGACACCAGAGAAGTAAGAAGACCTTGTAAAACCCTGTTGAATTCAGGAGAGAGAAGAGCAGGGCAGTTTTGCACAGGGACTGGGTTGTAGAACGTCCCCTTGATGAGGAACTCCACTTTGCCAGGGGCCAGTCCACTGTAAGGAGAGAGAGAGAAACCAGCATAGTGATAGGTATGGTTAAAAACACAGGCCCTACAGTCAGAACTAGTTTTGAATTCCGTTAATTTCTGACTCTGTTTCCTTGGGTAAATCATGTATTCTCGTTGATTCTCACTTTCTCATTTGCAAAATGGTGATTATAACACCTGATAAATAACTGGATCAAGTAGAGTATACAAAGAACTTAACACAGTGTCAAGCGTTCCTTAAATGCTCAGTAAATGCCAGGTTTTAGACTTTTTGTTATTGAGCTACCTGTGACTGTTGTAGGGGCTCCAGACATGGCAGGTTATCTGTTTCTTTCCTCCTGATGCCTTGTCCTGCGGAAGCTTTCAGGGAGTCCAGGGGCCAGAAGGAGCTGGATCCTCACCTTCCTCTTCTCCCTAGGTTCAGTACCAGAAGTGTCTTGTGGCCTCTGCAGCTCGAGGCAAGGCCTGGGGTGCCCAGGCCCGTGCCCGCCTGCGGCTCAAGCGGACCAGCTCTGTGGACTCCCAAGGAGGTCCCCTGCCACTTCCCCTGCTCAAAGGAGGGGTTGGGGGTGCAGGGGCAGCCCCTCGAAAGCGGGGTGTCTTCTCTTTTCTTGATGCCTTCCGGCTGAAACCCTCTCTGCTCCACATGCCCTAAGTTAATTGGGGAGGACTGGGGAAGGAGGCTCTGGGTCCACGCCCAATTCTGTACCCCTTCTTTTCCCAGGGGCCTGTAGCCTCTCACCTTTTGGAGCCTTCTCTGCGTGCCCCACTGACACTTGCCCACCCTCTGTTGCCCAATTCATTGTTTGTATGGGTGATTGAGAGGCCCTGTACCACAACCTAGGCTGCAGACTCTCCTTTCCCTGGGTCCCTGTGTTCCTTGCCCCTGTCCAACCCTGGACAGTTGGCTCTACCTCAGCAACACTTTATAGCAAAATCAGTACAAATAAAAATCCCTCAGTGACCTCACTGGATGTAAGTATATTGGGCCTGGGACAGGGTTGGGGGTATACTCAGTCTGTATGAGATGAGTGTCTGTATCCGTCCTTGGTGTTGGTGGCAGCTGCTAGTCACATAAGAGAGTTGGAAATCTGACTTCATTTAATAAGTATATTTCTAAAGGACTTCTCTGTGCTAGGCATTAAGGTCGGCATTGTAGGTGTAATCAAATAGGGGCTCCACCTTCTGAGACTGTCAAATAAACGAAAGTCAAGGACTGAAGATAACATGCAGTACAACTGGGAAATCTCAGAAGGTTGTGGGAGCTGAGGTGAGACTCCTCAGAAGTACCTGGTCTGAGACACTTTAAAGTGTACTAGGCTTCCAGATAAATATATTCCAACCAAAAGAGTGTAAACGTTCAGGGAAGTGGACAGAAGTTCTGGAAGTCCACTTGGCTAGACCACAGCGGGGCATATGTGGGGCAGGAGCTTCTGGTGGTGTAAACTTGCTTCTGAGAGCAACTGTGATTTGGAGAGGGAACCCACAGGGGTCTTAAGCTCCTAGAGCAGCACCTCCTGAAAAACAGCCTCATTTCCTACCATATAGTCAGCACTCCCGAGTGATAACTAGCTGGAATAGACGGAGTTGGAGCAGGGCGATTTTCAGCGTTCCTGAATTGTCCAACCTGGAGGGTTCCAGGAAACTTGCCCTTTTGGGGGCGTGTCCCAGTCGGCTGGGTGCGGCCGCCCCGGAAATGACGTGATGCCCCGCTGGCCTTGCGGAAGTGGAGATGGCGGAGCTGTATGTGAAGCCGGGTGAGCGCGGCGGGTGGGCTGGGGAGCTTGGTCCTTCCCCGGCCCAGGCTGGGGGCGGTTACCGTGTGGGGTGCGGACCCTCTGTCGCCCCCCCCGGGATCACTTCACACTTCTCACTTTCGCAGGCAACACGGAGCGCGGCTGGAACGATCCGCCGCAATTCTCCTATGGGCTGCAGACCCAGGCTGGCGGACCCAAGCGCTCGCCGCTCACCAAGAGGGTCGCCGCTCCCCAGGATGGATCCCCCAGAGGTGCGTGACGGCCCTGTGTGCCGAGACCGCCCGAGAATGGGCTGTGCCGAGATAAGCTTGCCCCGTGAGCCTATTTTTCTTTTCTGAGGACTTACTGAGGGAGAGAGGTTGGAGTCCCAGAAAGGGGCTCAGTTCAGGCCTTTTTCTGAGCTCATCTGTTGCCCAGGTTTGTCTCCAAAGAATCTGTGCTTTCGTCCTAGGTGACCTCATCCAGACTTACGGTTTTTAATATAGTTTTTGTTCCCAAATTATTTTCAGATTCTATTTCAAACTTGGATCTTTTCTCGGAACCCCATGGTGGTACACCCATTTGTATGTTCTACCGCGTCACTGGACTATATGATAAGCAACTCAGACTTAACATGTCATTCATTTAATCAGTATCATCTACTGAGCACCTGCTGTTTGAAGGCAAACTAGACAGCAGTGAACAAGACAAAAAGTTTTGTTTTCTTGGCGTTCACAGTGTAACTTTGGAGAAAGATGAAATGGTGATAAGAACTCTGCAGAGAAGTAAAACAGGGTGATGTGAGAGTGATTGGGTAACTAAGGTATCTGAGGGGCTGACATTTAAGCTGAAACCTGAAGGATTAAAAAGGCAAGGATCAGGTGCAAGAGCATTCCAGGCATTAGGAACAGCTAGTGCAGAAGCCCTGAGATAAGTTTGGCAAATTTAGACTACAGGAGTATCTGATGGCTAGAGCATAGTGGGCTAGGGATAGAGTTGAAGATGATCTGTGGCACTGAAAGGGCTTCCCAGGTAAAGAATCTGCCTGCCAGTGCAGGAAATTGAGGAAACACAAATTCTATTTCTGGGTCAGGAAGAGCCCCTGGAGTAGGAAATAGCAACCCACTCCAGTAGTCTTGCCTGGAAAATTCCATGGACAGAGGATCCTGGTGGGCTACAGTTCATGGAGTTGCAAACAGTGGGACATGATTGAGTGACGACTGATGTGACCTTGAATAGGGGGCTCAGATTCAGCTCTTCTCACCCCTCTTAGCCACATCTATAACACTGCAGAGTTTTTGATATAAATCAGTTTCTTAACCTTATCACTACTGGCTTTTGGGGCCAAATCATTCTTTTTTGTGAGGGATTGTCTTGTGCATGTCAGTACATTGTAAGATGTCTGCAGCTCCCTGGTTTCTACTCACTGGATGCCAGTGGCACCCACACACAGTTGTGACAGTCAAAAGCCTCCAGATGTTTGGAGGCAAAATCTCCCCAGACTGAGAAACACTGATTGACTTACATCTTTAAAAAGATCACTGTGTTTACTCTGTGGAAAATAGATTTTAAGGAAGAAGTGAAAGGAAAAACTATAACACAGGTAAAATATAATGATAATTTGGCCAGGGGTGGGAGTACTAGAGGTAGTAGTAATTGGGTGGATATGGGTATGTTATGGAGGAAGTCAGTAGGAATGAGTAGCTACAGTAGGTGAGGTGAAAGAGGAGGCTATGTAACACTTCCACTTGAGGAACTGGACGGTGTTGTTCATTGATACGGGATAACTGGGTTTTGGCAGGGGAGGAGAAAAGCAAGCTTTCTGTCTTGGCCATGTTGAATTTGGGCTGCTACTTTGGGGAGAGCTCTGGGCCTGAATTATAGAAATGTGTCACTATCATATGAATAGTATTTGATGTCGTGAACATGAGTACAAAAAGTAAAGACAGGATTCAAGACAGAACCGTAGGGTTCTCTAGCATTTCAAGGTTGTGGCCAATGAAGTAAGACAAGTACAGTTACTCTGGGAGAGAGTAATATCTTGATTCAACCCTGATGAATGCTGCTGAGAGGTAAGTAAGATGGAGAAAAGGGACTAGTTGGTTTGACAAACTTAGCAATCACCAGTGATGCTAACAGAAGCATTCAGGAGTGATGAGAAATAGGGCAGTACCTGAGGATGGAATGTGAGGTAAGGGAGAGTTCTGTATGCTGATGGGATGGTTTAGTAGAGGAAGAACTGATGGCACAGGGGAAAGGGGATGACTGCAGGAGGAAAGCCCAGAGAAGACAAGAGAGGTGGGTAGAGTCTGGCTGGAGAGAGAGCCTCTGGGAGGAACAGGAGCCTTTCCTCTATTAGAGGAGAAAGGAAAGCAGCTCCAGGTGCAGGTGGGTAGGCAGAGCTGGTGGTGAGAAGATGAGTGTTCTGTTTGATGACCTTTATTTTCTTGGTGAAATATGAGGCAGGGTCAGAAGTGTAGACATCAAGGAAAGGAAAATAAAGGGAGAAGGTAGAAAAGCTTATAGGCGATAAAATGTGAAAATAATTGTTCTGAAGAGGAGAAAAACAAGGCAAAGTACAGGATTTCCAGGCAGTGTTAGATGTTTTTTTAAAATCTGTAGCTATGAGTTTAAACCCATGTTCCTTGCAATTGAAGGTGGATTCTCAACCAGGGAGACCACCAGGGAAGTCCCTGTAGCTATATGAATTTAAAGGGAGTGATTTTAATGCACCTTGAAAATCTGAGTAACTGTGCTAGAGGGTTAGGAGGGGTGGGCACTGTTGTTGAGAACAAGGCAGATGATGAGAGGCTGAAGGAGAGTGGTCACTGGAGGTGAGGTCAAATTGACAGACCAGTTGGATGAATTATCATCCATGTGCATGTTAATACCTGAAAATAATTTTTGACTTTTCTTCTCCAGTATTCTCATTTTTCATAGTGATTTTGCCATCATGTCATTAAAGTCAGAAACCAAGAATCACTGCTGGCTCCCGTCTTTCACCCCCATTCCCATCAACATTTGTTCTGTCTCCTCCTAAATAAATCAGACCTCCTCATTTCCCCTTGTCTACTCTTGCTCTAGTCCATGCCAGCATTCTCTTTCCTGGACTGTCGTTAACCTCCCAACTGGTGTCCCTGCCCTTCTTGACCTATTCTCATCAACTTTTCACAGACTATACAGAGTGAACGCCATAAAAAACAAGTTTGGTGACATCACCCCCTGCTTTTATAAACCTGGCAATGGTTTCCTGTTACCATTAATGGAGTAATAGCTCAAAACCAGGCTTCCCTGGTAGCTCAGCTGGTAAAGAATACACCTGCAATGCAGGAGACTCCACTTCGATTCCTGGGTCAGGAAGATCCCCTGGAGAAGGGATAGGCTACCCACTCCAGTATTCTTGGGCTTCCCTGTGGCTCAGTCAGTAAAGAATCCACCTGCAGTGCAGGAGACCTCCGTTCAATCCCTGGGTTGGGAAGATATCCTGGAGAAGGGCATGGCAACCCACTCCAATATTCTTGCCTGGAGAATCCCCATGGACAAAGGAGTCTGGCAGGCTACAGTCCATGGGCTCACGAAGAGTTGGACACTACTGAGCGACTAAGCACAGACAGCTCAAGACCAAACTCCTCCAAAGTCCTGCAGGGTCTGGACCCCTACTTACCTTTCCAGTGAAAGCTCATAATTTCTCAGTGTTAAGCATTTCTAGCCACACAGACCTTGTTTCTGTTCCTTGAACAAGTCAGGACTTTTCCCTTCTCTTGGGTACTGCCCTTACCTCTACCCTAGTATCTGGTTCCTTCAACTCTTTATGACTGCATCTATCTTATCCAAGTTCTTAACTTTGTGAGCACTTTTTGCTACCCACTTTAGCAGCTGTACCTATATTCTTACACTCAATCATCTTTGTAACCTTGTGAAATAAGTGCTGCTACTGTAATATCCCCGTTTTATAGAAGAGGAACCCAAACTCAGAGGTTAAAGGTAACTTGCCAGATGTCACATAGCGTAAACATAGTGTAACATAGGGTAAACTTTGACATCAACTTAGAAGGCCTTCCTTGAATACTCAGTCTAGGTAGGGTCCTCTACTACTATTCTGCTTTACCACAGCATGCATTTTTATTTCTTTGTATTTAAGTCATGTTTGCTTGGTCCTGCTTTATCTTTTCAGTCCCCACCTCAGAGACATCTCCTGGGCTCCCCCCAATGGGGCCTCCACCTCCGTCAAGTAAGGCTTCCAGACCACCCCCATTTGTGGGGAGCTGTCCTCCCTCCAGAATGGAGCCCATGGATTCCCCAGTCGTTGAGTCTGAGATTCTGCTAGAAGATGTACTGAGACCTTTGGAACAGGCATTGGAGGACTGCCGTGGCCACATAAAGGTAAGTTGGGAAAGCTCCCATCAACAGTCAGATGCAGGTGTGGCTCCCAAAGGTAGACACTCTGATCCTATGAGCAGTCTTAAAGAAAGGAAAGTAGAGTGGTCTTCACCTCTTTGGCCCTTAGAATCCATGGACAGAGGAGCCTGGTGGGCTACAGTCCATGGGGTTGCAAAGAGTCAGATGCAACTGAGTGACTGACACTTTCACTTTCCTTATTGTAAAGCAGCACTATAGAATTAATTTTTAACCATCTGAAAAACTCCAGAAATTAAAAAATTCTAGCCATACACACATTTTCCTTGAAAAGAGATCCATAGATTTCATCAGATTCTTAGTGGGGCCTCTAATCTTTGCGTAAAGAACCATAACTCAGACTGAGTGTAAAGTTCCTGGACCAGACAGAGCATGTGCTGCCTACCCTGCCCCTGCAGGGCAGGCAGCACTGACTTGGAGGGTGCTTCTGTCTCTCAGAAGCAGGTATGTGATGACATCAGCCGACGCCTGGCTCTGCTGCAGGAACAGTGGGCTGGAGGGAAGCTGTCAATGCCTGTAAAGAAGAGGATGGCTCTGCTGGTGCAAGGTGTGGCGGGGTCCCTTGGTATAGCCTAACCCCTCATCCTGCCATGGTTGTCCAAGTTGGACTAGGTGCTGAGATTTTGACTGACTTGGGGAGGGAGGAGGAGTGGCAGCTGTATCTTTGGCTCCAGGTTGCTTGCTCAGCCCCTCTCTCTCCTTAGAGCTTTCAAGCCACCAGTGGGATGCAGCAGATGACATCCACCGCTCACTCATGGTTGACCATGTGACTGAGGTCAGTCAGTGGATGGTGGGAGTTAAAAGATTAATTGCGGTAAAGAGGAGTCTGTTTTCAGAGGAGGAGCCCAATGAAGAGAAATCCATAGCCACAGCTGAGCAGAACCAAACTGTACCAGGTGTCCAGCTTGACTGTGATCCTGTGGGTTCCCCAGACTCATCTCACACCACCTCCTGTGCCTTGGCATGGGAGGCTTCTCTAACTTGACTTCTTTGTACCACTGGGGAGATGGTCTTCCCATGGGGAACTCTGGCCTGACCCATCTCTGGGGGAAGAGGTCCCACCTAGACCACAATGAAGTTGCTTGTTACCATACCATATGCGTTTCAATAAAAACATCTCAATACAGTGGGCCCTGGGTAGGAGAGATGAGCCCTTCCTATGTTCCCTCTGGTGTCCTTGACTACTCTGCTCCTTGTTTTCCTCTATTCATCATGAATGGCCTTGCTAAGCATGAGTAGATTACCACCTGCCACTTTCCCCCAAATTACATGGAAACATACATCCCTTTCTGGGCTGAGTCATCTATGTTTGGATGACTTTGTTTCAACATGGAAACAGGCTCAAATAGCATGGGGAGATTTTTTTCTCTCAAAAGGAGGAGACTGCTTATTTGCATTGCACCACCCTTGACATATGCAAGTGCTACAGAGATTATAACATAGCTATATAAACTGAAGGAGAAAAAGACCAGATTGCTGCAATATGGGAACATGATTTTTTCCCCATGGGGGCAGGGGAGGGGGAGCAGGATTATGACTCTTTATCTGACTCACCAAATAAGCTGCTGCCTCGGTTTGGGCCCTAAGGTCTTCTAACACTTTGAGGACAACAGAACCAGGTGGAAGGGGCCAGGAGGTTCACATCATGCTGTGAGAAGGGAGAGTACAGGTTTTCAGTGTTGGAATAAGGTTGGTACTTACAGGTGGGAGGCAGAAAAGGCATGGGGAAAGACCAAAGAAGGCTGTAGGCTGGGGCAGTGCCTCTTGTTTCCTGCTTTGAAACAACTAGGGAGGGACTGCTAGAGAGGCTGATTCCGGCAATGGTGCTTCCTGGAAAGGCTGGAACTGCCCTTGGCAGGGGTCAGGCTATTGCTGTTTATGGTTTGGCAGCTCCTATGGCCTGTCCCCAAAGCCTGCCTCAGGGTCTAATTGCTGCTGAAAGTGGGCCCAGAGGGAGCTAGGAAGGGACCTGGGACCTCTGATCCTAACCAGGTTTGCTGGGCCCTTACATTATGGCTGAGCTGGGAAGATCAACATTGAGGAGAACACTGGAGCCAAGGCATTTCTTTGAATGTTTACTAAGCAGTCAGAAAGTGACATTCTCCATTCCCCTGGCCCAGCCTCAGCTGGAGCCCAGTGCCAGGGGTTGGGAGGAGTGCCTACAGACCAAAGAGAAAGTAGAGCTAAGGGCTTGGCAAGTTGCCCACTCCTATCCCTGGTCTAGCTGCCTCAGACCCAACAGGGAGGCCCAGAACCAACAGATCACCCCCTTCCGGATTAGATGAGGCCAGTAGGCCTTTGGATACCCCAGAGAAAGGAGGTAGCGGCAGCAGCCTGACGGATTCCTCTCATTCCACACGTGGTCATCTGCATGGGATTAGATGTCCATTTCAAACTGTGCATCATCTGGGGAGAGAAAGGGCGGGAGGACTGGTTGCTGGGCTGGCAGTCTACAGCCTCAGTGTTAGTTCAGACAGCCCCCTCAGAACTGACCCCCGCCCCCAATCTACATAATTGGGGGTTTTGGCTTCAAAGCCATATTAAAATTTTAGGTCCTGCTTTCCTTACCGGGTATCTCTTCCTCTGTCTCCTTCTGCTCCGTCAGCTCCTCTAGCTTGGGGGGTGGGGCTGTTGGAGGAGCTGTGACCCCGGGAATCTGAGGGAGGCAGCAGGGAGGCGTCTGGGCAGTGGGTGAGTTCTTGCACTCCAGCAGGAACTTTCGGTCGTAGATGATCCTGGTGCCTGTCAAGGGGTAGGGGCTAGGTAAGAGGCAGGAGCTTGGGTACAAAGCTATTTGGGACCCCAGACATAGGTCTTTAAAGGGCCAAGGGGTCACATCTTTCCTTTTCTTAAGGGCTACTGTTCTGCAGCCCAGTCAGGATCTCAGCTGACTAGCCCTCACAGCACTTGAAGGCTTCTGGGCCTAACCAAGATGTGTCTGAGCACCATAGAGCAAGTGGTGCATCCCAGCTGGTCTAGGCAGGGGCTTTTGGTTTAGGGGGGCTCCAGGAGCACCACCAGACTTGGAACTCAAGAACTTCTGGAGGTTCCTGTCCTCTGCTGGCTCTGAACTTCACCTATTTGGTTCAAAAGGTAGGGCCTAGCCCTTCAGCCTCAGTTGGATGAGGAAGCCAAAGAACAGATGTGAAGGCTAGTACTGCCACCTGGGCTCAGAAAGGGAGGGGCATTGCTCCTCCTGTGAAACCCCTCCCAAGTCCTGTCAGGCTCACCTCAGCCCCCAGGACTTGGCCCCTGCCGTGTCCTCACAAGACCCTATCCTCTTCTCACTCCTCCCCTTTGCCTGCCTGGCAAGAATCCCAGAGTGGGTATGATTCCAGGCTGCTTCACCAATCATCCACTAGGCAAGCCAGCCAGCGCAGCGGCCTAAAGCCCCTGCCCCGGACTGCTCCCACCTCCAGCCCCTGATCCCCACCACTTGCAGCTCTGCAAAACCCAGTTGCTTCCTGCTGAGGCCACACAGCCGAGGGGCCAAAGCTCCTGCTCTAGCTCCCAGGTGGCAATACTGGGAGGGGTAGGTGAACAAGGAGCCCAGAACTCAGGCCGCAGTGATATCTGCCCAGAGTCACCCGGAAAACAGGTACAAGGCCATGTTGCATCACTTTGAGGTTTTAGGGAACCGAGCTTAGGTTCCAAGAACCCACCCCGCCAAAAGCTAAAACCTGCAACGGGGCCTGCAGACAACTCCAAGCCCGCACCTCCCCGCCCACGTCCCGCGACAAGCACACGCAGGCCTGCCTGCTGCCTATCGACCCTGGCCCGGCCCTCTGACCTCCGGGGGTAGTGGCGTATAGCGTGCCCCCCGGCGTGCTGCTGTAGCAGTCGGGCAGTCCTTCCCTGCCCCCAGGAATCGGGCAGCTGGTGGACGAGGACACAGAGAACGGAAAGAGCAGGAAGGCAGCGGCTGGTGCTGAGGACGCAGAGCGGAGTCTGTGGCGGACTCTACCACGTGCGGCCGCAGCCACAACACCGGGACGACGTCACGCCGGGGGCGGGCCGGCTGTCACTCAACCCGAAGATCCCGCTCTACCCTCGCGGGAGCAAGCCCCAAACTCAGCGAAAGTTGGAGCTTGTCCCGGGACCCGCAGTGGCCTCCAGTTCCTCCTGGACCCAAAAAGGCCGGCCTGCTTTTGCCTATGAGCGCTGCAAAAACTCAGTCATTTACTATTTACTGTTTCCAGCGGGTGCTGGGAACACGTGAGGTATGGCACACGTTTTTTGCTTGTATTCATCCATTCCTCTTAACAGTTGGATAGTAAGACACTATTATTAGTTACAGTTACAAGTGAGGACACCAAAGCCCAGAGAGGTTAGGTCATGGTTGGAAGTCACGGATCTTGTATTAGGAGCGGGAGATAGGATTCATACTTGAGTGTGTCTGATTCAAGTGTGTGCCCCTAAGCACAGCTATTATGCCCCCCATTAATCAGTTTCAGTACAGGGTTAAAGTGCCTTAATGGCCTGGTGCACAGACATTAGTTGAGGAATAAGTGGGCTGAATAAAGGATGAATAAAGGTTGGAAGATACTATAGGCCTGTTCTTTGATCTCTGCCACAGCTAGCCTTAGTTCAGTTCAGTCTCTCAGTTGTATCCGACTCTTTGCGAGCCCATGGACTGCAGCACGCCAGGCCTCCCTGTCCATCACCAACTCCCGGGGTCTACTCAAACTTATGTCCATTGAGTGGGTGATGCCATCCAACCATCTCATTCTCTGTCATTCCCTTCTCCTGCCTTTAATCTTTCCTAGCTAACTTCACAACCTCAGAAAACTAAAGAAGGGATGGGGGCTGGAGAGGAGGGCTTGGTTTTTTAGCCCTCTGGCAAGATAGTGTGGCTTTTTTTTTTTCCCCCAAGTCTCCGAGCATGTAGGATCTTATTCCTCAATCAGGGATGGTATCCAAGCTCCCTGTGCTTCAGGAAGCACTGAAGTGTGGAGTCTTAACCACTGACCTAAGAGTGGCCTTTAAAGAGATTTTTTGCTGTAGGCACGGTGATATGAAAGGAGGCAAGAGAGAGATGGTGAGAGAGTAAGTACTAAGTCGAGTACATTAAAAATCTCAACTTGATCTAGTTGTTTGCTGTTTGGCTTCCTCAAAATCAGTATACCCTTCACCAGTGTCTCCCTTCTCCTCCAGCCACCTGATTTCATGGCATTTATCAGTATTACTTCAGCTCTGGCTTCACCAAATTTTCCTTCAGCTCTGATTTCTTTACTTATTAAAAAAAAAAACCAAATGGTGTTTTACAAGTCATTGCTTCTCAAATTTTACTGTATACATAAATCACCTGGAGATCTTACTAAAATGAAGATTCTGATACAGTAATTAGAACTTGAAATTCTAGGCTTTTAATAAAATCCCAGGTGATGCAGACCCTTAGGTTTGCAATGTCCTTAGAATCACACTTTAGGTAGCAAGGATATGTATGTTTTACTGTTCCAAAAAGGCTTTTGAGTCTCTTAGAAAGTGGTATATGCCTGAAAGAAGTGTTTTAACAATAAGTGCTGGAGCATAAGGCTTGGGATCAGATTGTGAGGAACCGTCTATGACAACTCAACTTTTAAGCAAGGTAAGTGGTCTAATGAGGGGAGTGAGAGATGGGATGGAGGATAGTGAGACTGAAGGTGAAGACTCCAGCCTAGTGAAACGGGGTGGGCAAGACAGTGGCTGAGAGGATGGAGAGAAGTGAAGGGGATCCAGATATACAGAGGAGTAAGGATAACGTGATTGACTTAAGGGTAGGGTGGGAAGGAGATAAACTAGGATAATTCCCAGTCTTTTGACTTGAGAGTCTTGGTAGTTTATAGTACCAACTAATATAATAAGGAAAACAAGGGGAGGGGCATATGTTATATTGGGGAGTATATAATGTGTGTGGAATGTTCAGATGGAAAACACTGGAGAATGTTAAATAAGGAGCCAGATGTACAGATTTGAAGCTACAGAGGGAGAACTCTGGGCTAGTGATTCAGATTTGGGTGGAGTAAAAATCTAAGGCTGTGGGATGAGATTCCTTGGGGAGAAGATACACCAAAAGAGACCTGGGCACATCAACATTTCTTTAAGGGGTAGTAGAGGAAGAGGATTTCACCAAAAGAGACTGGGAAAGATGAGTGAGAGCAGAACTAGGAGACAAGTGTCAAAGTTTGTTAAGAAGGATCAGTATGGAAGTGAGGTCTCCCATCTATTAATCTCTTCTATAGAACAACAGCAGCAGTTTCTACTACTATAAGACTACCACCAGAAGCTTACTTTTCTTGAGACACTGTGCTACAAGGGTTGGAGAACTAGAGAATAGGTAGTTGGGTTTTAGAGAGAAAGCCAGATCTGTCATCCATTCAACCTGCATGAAGGACTAAGAAAGAGCTTGAATCAGAGGGTTTTGTCAACACTTATTGACCATTAGAGTACAGGAGCTTTAAAAAGAAAAACAGCTTAAACTCAGAGATCTGATTACACCTGTAGGGAAATACCAGGTCTCTGCCACCAGGCAAATTACTTTGAACTAACATCAGTATCATTAAAATAAGACAGGAAGAGATGAAAAGCAATCACAAAGTAGGTTTGCAATCTCATCATTAGATTTACAATCTTGTTTTCCAAATTAGGTCTTCAAGCTCAGGCTCCTGCCTTTATTGGATGTGGTCTTAACACACTTGAGTTTTGGATACTCAACCACTTCCTACAGGAGAGAGTGAAGGCAAAGTAACCTGTCAATAACATTGACACATGGTGACAAATCTTTGAGCATGAATAGAAAATGCAGCATTATTAGAGTCCCTCACCCCAGGACAGGGTCCACTGGGAAGATGTCACAACCAGCCACATTTCTTGGTAGAAGAGCTCCAGGACTAGTTAGAGAACAAGATGTTCAGAAGCTGTTTTCATACAGTTTGTTTGCCTCTTCCTAGGTTTACAATGTGGTACAAAGGTCTTAAAACAGTGGGACAGAACCATGTATACTAAGTAGTCCTCCCTGTCTGGCTTGAAACTCTAATATGATCAGCCTTTCCCCTTCTAAAAGCCACCTCAAACTAAGGATGGTACCTCCTATACTAATTTTGAGGTTGGGAAGACTTGGTCAGAATTTACAAGATGGAAACTATAGTTCCAGGTCCTGAGATCTCTTACCTCTGGTTAGGAGAGGCCACCATTGGCTGTCCAACTCTCTTCTTCGGTCTGGTTAGCTGAGCTGATGAAATTTCCCCTTTGAGAGCAGGGACTGAAGGAAGCAGACTGGCCTATAAAAGGGCAAGTCAGCACACTGTAGCCATAATAGGTTTAAAGGGTCTTAAAAACATCAATACTGTTATTGGTGGTGGTATTTTATTTTATCGAACACTACTTGAAATAAGTAGGTTCAGAAACCTTGATGATAGTTTTATTTCTTGAATGAGCTCTTATTCATAGGGTTTGATCTATGCCTCAGCGGGATGTTCCTTTTATTTTTTCTTTTGTTTCAGCAGGATGTTTCTTAATGACTTGAAGGCTCACTATGGATGTGCAAGGTTTTCTTCTGCCTCCAATAAATCCCCAAAATCAATAATGGCTCTCACAACAGCAGGCTTTTGATTCCAAATGGTAGGGGCTCTCAAACCTCAGCCATGTATCAGCTTCTAGCAGTCCTACCACATATTCTCATTCATGAGACAAGTAAATCTGTTAGAACTAGGAGACCCTTTTGAGTTCAGTTATACTAAATTTCATTTTCAGATGAGGAAAGTGAAGCCCAGAGATGAGAAATGACTTGCCTAAGGTCACACAGTATTGAGTAGCAGAAATGAAAAGAGAACTTAGTTTTCTGACACTTGTTCCACTCTACCCACTCTGCCTCCCCGCAAATCCCTTGTATATTTGAAAGTAATTAAGTTCTTACCTGAGCTAGATTTAATCCAAGGTTCAGGTTGGTAAAATAGCAGTAAAGTAATGCCAGGAAGAGGCAAGACAGAGGAAGAAGAGATTATAGCAGGCAAAATGTAGTGGGGAGTAGGCTACTGGGATTCAAATAGAAAAGAAGGCAGTACAGATAAGAGGGCAGGAAGAAGGGTATCCTAAATAACTGCTAAAAACTGCACAGCTGCTATTTGTTCCTAATCCTCCTAGGGGTTTCTCATAATTGTATCCTCTTATGGGTTCTAGTTCCTGACCTGAGATCAAGTTTCTCATTCTGTTGTCCTCAGGGTGTAGAAGATATTGGAAAAGCTCTTCCAAAAATTCAAATGTACTTTAATTAGTTAGGATAGACCACCACTTAATTTTTGTCCCACTGAATAATTTACTTAATATTATCTCTCACTATACATTTCACCAAGAATAGTTCCATTCATTTCACTAATATTAGGCGATTTTTTCTTTTGGTTTGTTTGTTATTAGTGATAACTGGAAACAGCAAGATATGTAGGTGATCCTAGGGGTCCTTTGTTCCCCTCAAGGTGAGGTCTCTTCAGACTACCTGATGTGGTTATTAAGCACTACAAAGGCAACAGCTTCAACACCAGTGATAATTTCTAAATCCAATCAAAATAGAAAATAAGAAATCTTTCATATGCAATATGATATAGAAGACAAAAGAACCAGGTATGTAAAAAAAAGAAAAAGAACCAGGTATGTCTAAGATAGAACAAACATGGTGTGTCTCATCTAGTGGTGGCTCTAGGAGAAGGGCAGAGAAAATTAAGAACTCCTGTTGGTATGAGAGTAGAAAAATGTTTCTGGTATGGCTGTGCTCCTAGTTACTATTTTTCTGTGCAACCTTCTTTGCCTTAAAGTATGTTCTGGCTTCTCTATCAGTCTCCAACATTTTGTTTTATTTTTTAGATTGCTTTTATCTAAGACCAAGTAATTCAACCACATTACAACATGAACAAGTTGATGACTGTTCTTTTCATTGGGATAGTTTTTTTTTCTCTATTGCATCCAATTCTTGGCATAGCCTATAGTTTGGCCAAAGCAATCCATTCCAGGGTTCCTGAGTTTAGCTTGTTCACCATATTGGCTCTTCATGAAACTAAACTCAGAATTAGTCACATATTTATAAACATTCAGCTGATCTGACAATATAACAGAATTATATGAGTCACCCCACCCCCTCCTATGTCCCAACTCAAAACTTAAACACCTATAACCAAAATAAATCTTTAGATTAAAAAATCAGGAAGCACAAAAGGAATCTGAAAGGTGATCTGGGTATCTTAAGTTTGTTCAGTGTCATCTGACTGAAATCCTATTGTTCTTATTAACATACTCATATGATCCACAAAGGGCTAAACCTTTTAATGGCCTATCTGCTAAAATCAGATAGGATACAGGGGCTCGAAATATAAACAAGGAATGTTTAACAGAGTTAAGTATACAACTCATTCTAGAAGTGCTTTTGCAAGGCAATCTAAGAATGGACTCTAAAAGTGTAAAATGTGAGAAGCCTATTACAAATATAGTATTAACAACCTGGTTCAATATGATTGTGGATTGGGCAGTACCTGCATGACCACTGAAAGGATCACACCCCACTTCTAAACACTGTTCATCTTTTTATTGAATATTCTGGTAAATATTTCACATTAATACAGGCTACATTAAGTAGAGCCACTATATGACAAGAAATTTACTCAACTTTTTCCTTTTAAGTATGTAAACAATTGTACATGTATTTACCACCCTAAAAGGTTGAAATATGTAATCATCTAATTCTTTTCTGCATACAAGTAGCATTCAGTATGTTTAGCCCAAAGCACTAATTTCAAAATGGCTAAACTAACCAGAGAACATAATCAGGTGGTTAGGAAATCAATTTGTTCTTATACAATGGGCAATCAAATTTCCATTGCTAAAGCCTCAGAGAAAATTTCTTAGGCACATTAAAAAAAAATCCCCAGGGTTCTTCCAAGGTCAAAATTTCTCAAACAAGGCTAAAGAGTAAGACCGTCTAACTTAGTTGACATATTTGAGATGCATGTTTCCAATATGAGGTGCCCACGTGCCAGGCCAAATCTGAAAAGGGGGAGGAAAAATTGGAATTTCTAATTAGGAATCTTTAGACATTTACAAAATGAATATATAAATGCAATGGCAATTCACTGTTTCTGCCTAGAAAGAATACAGTACATGAAACAAAATGTTAAGTAGCATCATTTTGATATTGAAAAACTTAATTCAGATCAAAGTGGTAAGATGTCTTGACTTTTGATATTCAGAACTTGTTATTACCCAAAGAATTAAAAGGATGACATGATAAATCTGAAAAATAAAAGAGCATTAAGTTCATTTTACCTGCTGGGCATCAGTGCATTCAGTTGAATTTTGAATAACTTTTATCATAGGGTTCCAAGAAGGATCTGGGTTGTGAAGTCCATTAAACAGAGGGCCTCCTGGAACATCAGCAAGCTGAGGATGGGAGGGTATTATGGTGCCTCCATACATGGAAATTGGTAGACCCTAAAACAGCAGAAAGGTGTAATCATGAAGTGACTATAAATGATGATTCCATAATACCAGCATAGATCTCTCTCATTTCCCTTCATTCAAAGAACTCTATAGAGTATGTGGTATGTATAGCACCACTGTATAGTGTTGAGAAACTGAAAGTAGTTATCTACATCAGCAACACTTTTTCAATGACGATAGAGAAAACAACTAAATCCAATATTCAAAGATTGGGAAATTTCCAATATTTTATGAACATATAATACCCCAACTTTCCCACATTTTAGACTTACTAATAAGCTTGTGCTAAGAAAAGTGAATTCTACATGATAGCTTGCAGCCACAATCTGGCTTTATGGCAGCCTGGAAGCTCTCAGAGCACACAAGAACGCAATGGTGAGCTCAGAGCCAGCTTTCCAGAGAGGGAGAGGCCTCCCTTCTCAGCTGTGGCAGCCAGATGCAAAGCAGCAAAAGTCAAATCTTCCAAGTTTGGAAAGAAGATGGCAGCATCTTCAGGATAGTTCAAGGACAAACTAATGTAAACAACATAACCCACTTTTGAAAACAGATGAAAGATCTGACAAATTCATAGAAACAAACTAGTTATACCAAAAAGGAGAATTATTTTAGTACAAATTACTCCTTAACATGTGACTACATTGGCTGGCAAAGTGTTAAAGAAGTTACAATGATGTCTGTCAACTCACTTTAGAAAAATCCACAAAACTGCTTGCCATAGGCTGATGAAAAATGTTAGAGGGGGCTACCATTCCAGAATCATCCCTCTCCATTGGCTGATGCTGAGAGAATGTGCTTGGGTCTGACAATTGTTGATGCATTGGATGGTTCCCTATCACAGACTGTGACCAACCTGATAAGCCTTCTAGAAAAAAGAATTGAATTCAAGAGTTAGATATTTATCTGGATAAAATAGCAAAACATTACCACTGGAGTTTTTCATACTAAATTTAATCAAAAGCATTCCTTTGGTAGCTCAGGACACATTCATAAAAATCTTTGCAATCCGAAAAAAAACCAAGTTCCTGTAACTGGATGTAGTCTTCGGAATATCCCAAACACTCTACCTTGTCCTTCAAAAGATTAAATGCTCTCTGAAAGAAATCAAATAATTGTCCCACTCTCCAATGAAAAGCTTAAGAGGGAAAGGAATTATGCTTTTAATTTCTAATCAACTCTGTATTTATTATTTTATATTTATTACTATCATACACATTACATCTATTATTAATATATAACCCCAACAAACATTCCAGACTTTGAGACTGGACTGGGCTCCTCAAAGGTTTAAACAATCCTATTGGTGAAGTGTAGGAATTAAGCTTATTTATTTAGATAAGGAACTAAGTTTAAAAGGCAAAATCTCACACTTGACTCAAGATATCCCTCCAGACAGAGGGCACTGTAACTGTACCTGACATGGCATTGACCCCAAATGACCAGATTCCACTGTGTCCAACAGGAGCAACAAAACCGGTTCCCACAGGGGCTTGTGCAACAGACCCTCCTTGTCGAATCCGGGCTAGTCTCTCTGTTCCAATGGGGGGAGGGATTTTTCGATCCTGACTGGCACTGCCTCCTTTTGGTTGGCCCAATGTTGGTGGGGCAGAAGTGGCTGAAAGAGGTGAAGATGATCCCGAAGAAACAGATGGAATAGGAGAGTCACCTGGTGGCAAAATATTTCTCTATTGTTTTATTACATATAAAAATTCAAATTATAAAAATATGAGAAACCTTGTTGGAAAGATCTATTCCATAACACAGGTTCTGGAAAGAAATTTTTCATTTTGCAAGATCATTCAAATGAAAATAAATGAGTTTTATAAACATTATCCCATACTACTAATGCCTGAAGCAAGTACAAATAGTCTAAAAAAAACTTTTTTTAACTGAACTGAACAAGGCTAGAAAGAAAGGCCCTATTTATTCTTGCTGAAGTTCTTTTGTCAAAGGACCAATATTCACTGACTACCTCATGATGCTCATCAAAAAAAAAAATCAAATCCTGTTCACATCGTTTTAGAACTTCATCTATTCAAAATATTGAAATAAATAAGTCAGAATGGGGGAATATTTTTACTTATAAATGGCAATACAGTTTCCTCAAATGTAAAAATAAACAAGGAATCATACCAAACGGATTAGATATTTAAATAAAACCATTTCACAATACTGTCCTCAAAGCATCTTATAAAACTACATCCCTTTTTCTTTTCTCTTTTTTTTAACTCAAGGCAGATATACTGAATGAGTTAATAACAAATAATGCTTAGATTGCTATAAAGTAACTAGATCCTTAGGTGGTGGTTTGGATACTAAAAGAGGTGACTCTTGATAAAAATGCCATGGTTCATCAGAAAATAGAGGATACAAAAAAGCTGAACTCAAACCAAGAGGGTTTGAGCAGCCTCTTCCTCAGTTTCTCTCTTTTCTTTGTACCTCTTTTCTTGATCCAAGTTTCAGTGTAACCTCAAATCTGGCTTGAAAGAATAGCCTGACCCTTCAATGACTGATAATTTGGGACATGACTGCAATACAAACCTTGGGTATTTGCATAAAACTTAGATTACTTAAAATTACAATATGGTGTTCCCTATAACAAATGACTTAATAACTTATTAGAGGCTCTTTGGGATGATTTCCTCCAGGATTCCTACATGAGTTTGAGGCGCTCGTCCAAGGGTGGGGAGAAAAATGTTGTCTGTTGAAACTAGGGGTCCCAACAGGAGCTGGCCCTTGCAGGAAAACCCGAGTTCCTGGTATGCTGGAAAAACTTGTCAGAGGAGCAGAAGAAGAAGATGGGGAGCTGCCTGATGGGTCAATGGACGGTAATCCTGAAATAAAACAGGTCCAAGACATCAAATTAGCTAAGGCTTTAAAAAATGAAAGTCCAAAGTTTACTTAATTCCTCTTTAAAAAAGAAGAAAGCACACAGTTTATTCTGTGGATCACAGCAACAAGAATCCATTTATACCACACTATATGTCCCAAACCCATTTTTTTTTCTTGCAGTCGAGAAGAATACCCCAGGCAACACTAGATATAGAAAGTCCAGTGTTTAGGAATGGCAGTCACCTGGAGTATGTTTCAGATAAATTTCAAAGCCTTCATTGGAGGGGATATGAAATGACAGCATGTTGTGACTAAGTGTTACCTATTACTTGGAAGAATAGCTATTCATTTCTATAACTATAGTCATTTCCTATGCAAGATGAATAACAAAATCTACCAATTTTTTGCTTCCTAACAAGGAGAAAAAGCATACTATTAAATTAAAGATAATTTCAGAACTCCATCTTATAAAAAAAAAATCAAAAGTTGCAAACTACATCAAAATTTCTATCAATATCTAGTTTATATAAGTCTGAATTTGATAGTCTTCTCAAATTCCATTGCTTTCTCTTGAGAATGTAGTAGGGAAAGAGGGCAAGGATCTGGAAAAGGATTATAGGTGCTCATTTCAGGAAAAAGTAGTTAACATCAACGTAAAAAATTCAAAACTTCTCAGGCAGGTTTTTAATTCAAAGGCTTTAGTATATTCACTGGGCTGTGCAACCATCACCACAGTCAATTTTAGAACATTTTTGTTCACACTAAAAGAAAATGTATGCATTACCTGTCACTCTCCATCCTCCTTTACCTGATCCATATCTGAACCTTTAAGCAACTACTAATATATTTTTTTTCCTCTAGATTTGCCTATTCTAGAAATTTCATATAAAAAGAATTATACAATATGTGGTCATTTGTGACTGGCTTCTTTCACTTAGCAAAATGGTTTCAAAGTTTATCTGTGTTATAGCACAAATAACTACTCCATTTCTTTATCTCATAATACCGAATATACATTATACTGAGAATAATATCTTATTATATAGATACACCACATTTTGTTTTCCATTCATCAACTGATGGACATTGGATTGTTTCCACTTTCTGGCTATTATGAATGGTGTTGCTGTGAGCATCTGTATACCAGTTTTTGTGTAGGCGTGTGTTTTCTCTTGGGTATACTTAGGAGAAGAATTACTGGATCATATGGTAAGCCTTTTTAATTTCTTGAGGAACTATTTTTCCAAAGTGGCTGTAACATTTTAAATTTCTGCCAGCAGAGTTAGAAAGTTCCAATTTCTCTACATGCTTTCGTGTCTTTTGAAAGAAGAATATCAACAAAAGAAACCACCCAGGCAGTTAAGAAATGAAGCCAAACTTAATCAATCCTGGACCCTGGAAGGAATGTCAAGGATTAATGCTTGCTTTAAAAAAAAAAATTTTTTTTTTAAATTAGTAATAAGTAATTTTGATGTTAAAGACCTGAATAATAAGGATCCCAAACCTGGTTTACTACCAAATTAGATGGATGATTTCCTTGACTTTCTTTTTTCCAGTCATTCATAATCTGCACATCTTCTGGGATATAGTATTAGAGTACAAAAAACTCAAACACTGGAATATGAAAGATCTCAAGCTCAACTCTAGCTAAGGCATCTAAATTCACGTATTAGTTAGTGCCAGTCATGTGAAGGGTTAATTTAAAAATTAATTAAATTTTACCACAGTCTGAGCACTGGCAATGAGCTTTTCTTTCATCTTGAGGCCTCTGAAAACTTTATTAGTTTGACCAAAATGAAAAGTTAAAGTAGTAACTATTTATAGAAAAGAAAAAAAAAAAAATCTTGGAGATTAATATTTTTGGCCACGGATGGTCTTATGTAACATTTATTTCTATTTGAGCGACGATATAACAGCTATGTTTTCCTGAAAAGGTAAGTAAATGGAAATGTATCTGATAGAAATGCTAAGGCTATGCCATATTAGTAAACTCACAAATTTTAAACAACTTAGTTTATAATTAATAAAAAGGAAATGGGCTCTGGGAAGTTTTCCAACTGGAAAAAAAATGCTAAATAAGTGGCACTATTACTTCTTACCCCCATTCTAGGTCAGCCACAATTTCTAATTTGTCTTTTAGCATTTATTAGAGCAGATTGGACTAAATCAGAGCATAATAGAGCAGACTGGAACACAATTTTGGCCCTTAGACTCTGGAAAATGGATTCTGGCTTTCCAAATATCTCTGAGCCACCACTATCTTCTTATCTTTCCAAATCTTTCTTATACTGCCTCAGCAGCGAATTTCTAATTTCAAGGAACAAAGAGCTGATTTGAAATTGTTTTTTAAAAATAAGAGCATATACACTGGATCTCTTCAAGCAGCTCCATCTACTATAAGCAAGATGGGTTAAGACATCATTTAATATTCATTCTGAGTGCCCATGACTGAAAACAAAGAATGTAGATTCTGAATTGTAACCCAACCTTTTTAAATCTAAGAAATGCAAACACTCACTTTGATTTAAAAAATGTCTGTGAATTTGGAATCCTTGAAGCATCCTATGGGTCCCTTTTATGAATATATTGTATCAATTCTAAGAAAATGAACTGACACAAGGTGTAACTTCCTTGATAACAGGTACAGAGAGATCATAAAAAAGGATATAAAGCAGTTCATATTTGAATGACTTACCTACAACTAGTTTTTTGTCCATTCAATCAGCAGTCATTAAGGGGTCTTTACTGTTTATGATATACGCTTATTTCTTCATGCTCATGCAATAAACATTATGTATAAAAGAAATGCTTTATCATCTTTGGAAGGTTAGATTATGCTGTTAAAGCCCAAAACTGCGCAGTCATGATAGTTACCAATAGCTTACCAACTGGACTAGTAGAAACTCGCTGGGAAGGTGATCTGAAGCCAGGTGCCTTGGAATTGTCAGGGTGCACATTCTCCAAGTGTCCAAGTACAGAGCTACCCAGAAATGCTGACTGAACAGTGAAAGAGGCATCTGCAGCAACTCGTGAGGACAGAGGACCATCTCCCCAACCCTGGTTAGCTGGCACCTGACTGCTATCAAAAAGACTACTGAAGTGATTGAAAAGCGTGGCCGGGCCAAACGCAGGTGGCAAAGATTTATTTGCTGGGTTAATGTGCATCTGAGAACCATTCATAATGTTCATGGCTGAAGAAAGCTGCACTGTAGCTGGTGGGCCTTGAGGTGGTGTTAAAGGAACTGGATTTGTAACAAAAATGGACTGGGGATCCTGGTGAATAGTTGCATTTGGTACCACTGAGTAGAAAGAACCTCTGGGTTGCAATCGATGAGAAACTCGAGGTGCTGGTACAGCTAACTGAGGTAAATTACTGGTATCCTGATTATCAGCAGCAACCAATCTAGGTGATGCCAAAGTCAATGGAGCAGGTTCTGAATTAGATGCAAAAGGCATTGACATAGGACTTAAATCAGACACACTGGATGGCTGTGCTTCCTCCTGTGTGTTATTGGACGGAGGAGTGGGACTACCAGATGGGTGAGTTTCTGGAGCTCCTGGGGTGTTGCTGGCAGAGCTGCTGCAGTTGTTGGCAGTTGAAGAGGGGGGACACAGGTTTGCTGTGGACTGGTCCTGTATGGACACTTTTTCTTTGGGGGCGGGCATGGCAGAGAAAGACTCCATCTTTTGTGAAGAAAGCTGTGCTTGAGAAGTACTTGCAGGCAGAAATGTGGTGGGAACTTGCCCACTAGTGATAGGTGCAGAGGAGACTGAAGGCAGGGAACTACAAGTGCTTGTCATAGAAGAAATCACTGTTGCTGGAGGGCTTGTCTTAGGCACACAAGCAAACAGCTGCTTTCTGACTGATGAAGGAGTCCGGGTATTAGTCACACATAGTTGCTGACTGGCAGCAACTACAGAAGAGACAGTGATAGGGCAACTGGCAGTAGCTAGTCCAGTAGACTCTGAGGGCAGAACAGTTCCATTCTGGTTAGGTAGACGGCCTGTATTATTATGCTTTGGAGAGCTGTTTGTGTTGCCAGGATTCACAGGTCTCACCGGGAATGGTCCCCAAGTGTTAGGAGAGGGTGAAAAGGTTCCTCCAAACTGGGCCATGGGTAAGCGAGGATGCCGAATCTGTTGCATAGTTTGAGCAGCCAACAGGGCAAAATGCGGGTGGGGATAAGCTAAGGGGAGAGAAACTGGGAAAGAAGAACGTACATTTGCTGGAACGTTCTTATTAAGTTTATTAGTGGGCTGGAACGTGGATAATGTTGTTGCCTGTGATGTTACAAGACTTGGAGCACCCAAGGGAAATGCATTTTTACTGGAAGCTGCTGTGGTGCCTACTCCAGATGAGAAGTTTGCATGAATGGCTTTGGTGCTGGCAGGGGTTCTGATATGGTTTTTAGGAATCAAGTCTTCCAGTTCCTTAGCAGGATCTTGAATAAGTGCATTAATAAGTTGAACTGCATATCTTGTTGATTCTGTACCACCCCTGGGGAGAAAACAAACAAAAAACAAAACAAGATCAAAATCATAAAAAACTAGGTAATCTTTACCACGAAATAAAATTCTGATTGTACCATGGCTAACGAAAATGTGCTTCTAATACAGTTTAACTTCCTCACAGAACTAACTATATATATATATACACACACACACACATATATATTTCACAATTACCTAATTGTGATCATTCTCTCGCCATTCTTATCTTTTTGTTTATCCACATCAATGTGGGCACCAGTAACATCTTGAATTGCAGTGATGTTGCATCCTCCTCTTCCCATTATTCTGGAAACCACTGAGGCTGGAACAGATAATTTCTTTGACCTATAAAATGAAGACCACACACATGAGCATATGAAATCAAAATGTTTATTAAAAAAACATGTCTCAGTAAGTATGTTCATGAACATCTGGAGAATACTATTTATCAAACCTTAAAGAGGAAGTTACTAGAAGGTTTTATTTAGAAACTGACCTCTTATTATATTGAACTTAATTTAGTAAAGATGAAAAACACATTGCCATTTGAAAAAATTATACTTAAGTCACTCATGATCTCAGCATTCAAACTATCACATGTTAACTGAATGACAATGATCATATATATTGATACTTTCAAAATTAAAATAATGCATACCACATTGTTAAACTCTATATGAAAATGAATACAGGCAGGTTATCAGTTTCAACGACTTATAAGCCTCGGAGTTGAATTACATAAAAAGCAATTCACAAGTGTGTGAATTCCACTTGTGTGAGGCAAGTGGAATTAGAACACCAGAGGCTGACACTGGGATCTGACAAGATGGCCTGGCTCTCTTGCAGGATTACTGTGGAAACCCAGTGTTTGCTGGCAGCACCAAATGAAAGCAACATCCATTATTTTCATGTGGTCACTGCTGGCTGTCAAGATTCTCCCCTTGGAGATTCCACCCTCAAGCTTTGAACTATACCTTCCAGAAGAATAACCAATTGCAGACTCTAAAATACATTTCATGATCAAAATTTAATATGATAATGTAGACAAATTGGGAAGACTATATTTAGACATTTTGAAAGCTAGAGCATAGACTAGGCCATAAATAATATAATACTTAAATCAATCTAATTATTAAGTGCACATCATTTCTCCTGTTCTGCCAAGACTTCTTCCTTTTCTGTTTGCTTCTAATGGACAAAACGTCTTAGAAAAATTATACAATAAAACCTCAGACATCTTAGTCCTTTGGGGATTAAGTGCACACAAGTAAATCTGTGTCTTGTCCTAATTCCCTGTTGTAAAGCATGAGCAGTGGCTTGAAATACCTTCTGGATTGTGTGAAACATTTTAAAGCACTGGTCCCTCTCTGTTTTTATTCATCAGTTTACGTATAAAGCAGTGTGAATAAAAGGAATTGTTAAGTTAGCTGTAGGGTGTTGCTATTTGTCTTTATTTTTTTGAGGGAGAAAGAAGTTTAATTTTATGAGCTCTTTCTCCACCTTTTATGGTGATCTAACTGCATTAGTTAAAAGCAGACAACGGTTCTTTAGCGAACTCTAACATTATTTAAATACCGTAGATGAACAAACTCGTCTGACTCAAAAGGGGACCATTAAACAAATATCATAGCCCTCACTAATAACATCGTGACTTTGCTGTCAAGTGAATCTCTCTCTTAGGAAGTTTGTGACCTTTTTCTATGATTTGTCTGTAAACTGCTATATCTTATGCTTTAATAAAGTATTTTTTTTCTAAAGCCAACATTTCTTGTATCATATAAAATATACATGTACAATTTACATACTGTTTCTAATTTCTAATTTTAGTCTACTCTGGATATAGTATGGCATTGTAGTTGAAATCATATTCAAATTAGTCATTAATTAACTGGGTAACCATCTCACAAGAGGAGAAAACGAGGAGATAAGTTAAAAAGATGAGACTAATTGTACTTACCTCCGGACAACTTCTTTCCATCCTTCCTCTCTTTTTTGCCCCCTTTTAGGGCTAGTCAGATTCAGCTTTATGTTTGGAGAACTTAATGGCAATGACACTGACTTGTAGGTTGTTGATAAGGAATTAGGATTCACTTCGCCTTCAAGTCTAAGAGAAATATCAAAATCCAATAAAAGATAAATTTTAAGATAGAAACTCAAGAGATTTGCTGAAATATTTGAATTAAAATTTGGTACATCAAATTATTAGCAATTCAGAAAAACAGAAATAGGGTAAAGAGTTCATCATTTATTTTAGTATTAAAATGGATTCAGAAGCCAAAAGGACTATATATAATCAATGAAAATGACATAATTAAAGTAAAACCAAGGTATGCAACATTTTCAACTTCAAAATTAAACCTTAAAAGTTCTAATAATTTCTTTTCATAACTAGCACATGATTAGGAGGACACCGGTTTTAAATGTTTCAGTTTTAAATGTTGAAGACAGATAATGTGGTAGACTTAAATTGTTTAACACAACTTGTGTTACTTCAAGTTCTTGTGCCAAGTATGCAAAAGGAAAGGTAGGTGCAGAGTTAACAAGTCAGAAAATTTTACCGTGTCTGAGTTTTGGAAGCAGCGGTACTTGTCTTTTCCTCTTGGGAATGGAGTAGCAGTGAGGGGTATCTCCTATCACTAGAGGAATTCACATCCATAGTGAAATTTAACTCTTGGCTTTTACCACCACTGCTACTCTCACTGTTGCAATCTGTGCTGTCCAAGTTATCTGAATCACTATTCCCACCTGTACCACCACCTTTGCTTTCTCCGTTTACTTTATTTTTATCTGCCTTTTGCTGTGCTAAGGATATATGTTGTTCTGGTAATATTAAATGTGCAGTGGGAGGAGTCTCTTTGGTTTTGTTCTTCTTATTTTTCCGGTTGGTGCTAGGAGTTGTCACAACATTGGCCCTTTTTTTCCCAAACACATTTGTGAATGTTGCAGATGTTGCAGAGATTCCAATTGTGGTGGTGGTAGTCGCACTAGGAGGTTCTATGGGAATTTCTTGCTCCACTGAAATTATGAAAAAGGATATAAATCACACTGAGAGCCACGGATCTCAAAACAAATTGTGACAGAATATACCTAATAATTCATAAATCACTCTTAGTCATATTTTCCTTTTATCAGTATTCATTAGTAAATAAATAAATCTTTACAGTTGTGAGAATGAAAATATATTTTGATGTCTAACTCAGTACAAAACATTAACATTCTTAAGCTTTGAAATGCTAGTCTCATGAACTAACCAAAAATCACAATACAGATTGGATTTAAGAAGTTTTTATTTTTTTTTAAGAAGTTTTTAAAATAGCATTTTAGAATTAGAATTCAAATAGAGCAAAATCATTTGCCTGTTACTATAATTGCCAGATTGTACAATAAACAATTCTTTGAGAGTAATGGGCCCCAGTGCTATACAGCTTCAACACTAAACCTTAGTTTAAAGTTTACTGAGGAACCAGACCTCTCCCCAGTTTCTAACTGGGGAATGAGAGAGTAAGGAAGAACCTGAAGAAAAGCTGGCAAACCTCTTATGGTATCAGTTTAGGACATACATAATTTTTACAGGGAACTTAAATTACACCTGAATGTCTTCCCCTTCTGTTTGTCTATGTCACTTTACAATGTAAAATACTTAGAAATATTGAATATAGAAGTCATCTGTCAATTTCAGATTAAAGTAATTGAATATTTAACTAGAATTAGTTTTGAGAGCAAAAAACATTCAAAACGAAGCTGATAAACACAAAAGAATTTTTATCATTAATTCAGATGGTCCATTTCTCACCATCTTCCTCATTCTCCTCTTCATCTTCATCTTCCGGTAGTTCTGAATTCTCCTTAGGTTTGTTTTCCTCGTCTTCTTCCTGCTTTCTTTTCTGCTCCTCTTTTTTCTTTTTTCTCTTTTCTTTTCTTTTCTCTCTTTTAGCTGCAAGAGCCTGCTTTCTGCTCTCCTCTCTTGACTGTGAATAAAATTGTTGTTTTAGTCACAAAGTCCGGCCCGCCTCTTTATCTCACCTTAACAATAATGCAATGATTCAAAATAAATAATGAAATGATGCTTTTGTTTATGATACATGGGATTTCCCATGGGTGTCACTCTTAACACACATTTATAAAAGCAACAAAAGAAGAAACAGATATGCTGGACATCATCAAAACTAATAGTTGTTGTGCTTCAAAGGGATCATCAATAAAGTGAAAAAACATAATAGGAAAAAATTTTTGCAAATCTTACATCTGGTAAGGGTTTTGTATCAGGAATTGATAAAGAACTCTTATAACTCAATAATGAAAAGACAAATCAGTCAATTAAAAATAGGCAAAGGATCTGGAGACATTTCTACAAATAATATACAAATGGCCAGTAAACACAGAGGCTCAACATCACAAACCATCAGGGAAGAGCGTATCAAATCACAATGAGATACCCATTTCACTGTCACTAGTATGGCTCATCAAAAAGACAGATAAATCATGGTTAGAATGAGAAGAAACTGAAGACTTCATACACTGCTGGTAAGATTATAAAATGGTGCAGCTACCTTGGAAAACAATCTGGCAGTTTCCCAAGTGGTTAAGCACAGAATTGCCATATGAGCTAGCAATTCCATTCCTAGATATATACCCAAGAGAAATGAAAACATATTCATACAAAAACTTGTATGCCATGCTTGCTTCAGCAGCAAACATACTAAAAAAAAATTGAAGTAATACAGAAGGTTAGCACTGCTCCTGCATAAGAATGACATACAAATTCATGAAACATTCCAAGTTAAAACAAAACAGACAACTTGTATACCTATGAAGTGGAAACAAACTAAATGTTCAACAACTAATAAATGCATAAACAAAATGTTGTGTATCTATATAATGGGTATTATTCAGCAATAAAAAATGAAGTAATGATATATGCTACAATATGGATAAACCTTGAAAACATGAAGCAAAAGAAGCCAGTCACAGAGAACCAAATACTGTATGATGATTCCAAATATCAAATGTCTGGAATAAGCAAATCCATAAAGACAGAAAGTAGATTACTGACTAGCTAGATTTATGTGGCAGTGTTTAATTAAAATGCAACTATTACAATCTTTATAAGATATTAACAAATTTCACTATGAAAATATCCATAGAAGGCCATTATAGAAATTATTTATTTTCAGAAAGGGGAACATGACAATGGTTGACTCACATCATAAAGAAAGCTTGAAACAAACAGAAAACATCAAATTACTCACATTTCTATGGAAATTATCTAAAAAATCCTTACCATATGAAACTGTCAATGAAGTCCAGTTGTCCTGGTAATTAAGTAAAGCACTTTCCTCAAAACTGTAATTTGTCATTCTAAGTCACAAATAAGCTATTTTTAACATTTTTATTTATCCAAAACCAGGTATCAGCAAATTATGGCTTGAATGCTAAGAATAACTTTTACATTTTAAATGGTTGAAAAAAAATGAAAAGGCAAACATTTCGTGACATGTGAAAATAATCACAAAATTAAAATTTTGATGTCTATAAATAAAGTTCTACTGGAACACATTCATTTAACCACTGTCTGTGGGTACTCTCATATTACCAGAGTCAGAGAGTCATGACAGAGTTTGTATGGCCTACAAAGCACAAAATTTTACTCTTCTGCACTTTATAGTGTGGCCAAACAAAGAAAAAAATAAAAATTAAAAAAAAAAAATAAATGAAGTTTCTCAACTCCCTATGTAAATGAGAAAGGGTCTGAGGACTGAAAGAAGAAATTACATATTCAGTTAACAATTATTTTATCATTTTTGTAACATAAGAGCAAAATGGCTGTTCAGGGAATTGCTGACCATACCCCTGGGTAGTTACACAAAAATAAAATTACAGACATGGAAGGAAACATAGAAGTCATCAAACTTTAAACTTCCCTTTATTTTAAAATGGTATTATTTTTTCCACTTGTGATTTTAACTGTAATCAAGTTTATCATGGAAGTATTAAAATTTACTTAATTTCCTAATGATAAAACTTTAAGGTTTTTACCTTTCCCCTTATTATAAGCAATTTAACAGTGAATGTCCTTTAATACACTTGCATCTTTGAGCATTTGTCAAAGTATTTACCTTGGCTAAATTTCTAAAAGAGGAATGGCTGGAGTAAAGGTATGCACTTTTTAAAATTTAATTCATCAAATCATCTCCATTAATAATTACACTAATTTACACCATGTATCAAAAGTCATACCAGAATGCTAATTTCTCCACATCCTAGCCATCAACAGCTATTATCAAACCTTTAAATTTTTTCCCCCAAACATTTAAATTTTGAGTTTCCTTAGTCTAGCAAAGGTGAAGAAGGAAATGGCACCCCACTCCACTACTCTTGCCTGGAGAATCCCAGGGACAGGGGAGCCTGGTGGGCTGCCGTCTATGGGGTCGCACAGAGTTGGACACAACTGAAGCAACTTAGCAGCAGCAGCAGCAGTCTGGCAAAGGAAATTTAAATCACTCTTTCACTGTACATTTCTTTGTTTATTCATGAAGCTGAGCCTTCTCCATCTATTTACTGAAAATTTATATTTCTTTTTCTGTGAATTGCCCATGAAATTATTTTTCATTCTGGGCAAGTTATCTTTTGTCTTATTGATTTTAAGTAACTTTTTATTCTGTTTTTTAACAAGTTTGTTTTTTTTTTTAAACAAACTAAGAATTGGTATCAAAATTTTAGCATCTCTAAAGTGATTTTTCCCCTTTCTTTTATCATCAATAAAATATCTGAATGTTAAGCTATCTCCCACATTCTAACTCTACTTGATTATAGTATTTATTCTTTTAATAGAACTTCTGGGTTCATAAGAACACCCTCATTTTCTGAGGCACACTGAGCCTCAGAAAAGTGATCTTTTAAAAAAAAAATTTCCATTATACTAGCACATCCAAGGAAATTTAGACACTTACTCTTTAAGAATTCAGTAAACCACCGATACCCCAGATCTTATAATAAATGAAAGATTTCCAATGTTTTAATAAATTTCTGCATACACTAATGGTAAAACAACTTAGGCAATAGTATCACGTAGAAAACTGTGACATGTTTAAAAACTAATTCTTCACTTATATGGTTAAAAATATTTTTTTGTATAACAGGTTAGAATAAAAAAAATTGATGGTAGTTTGATAATTTATCATTTTATAAAAAGAGATTTTGTTAAGATTATAGTCAAAGTAGTAGCAAATGTATTCTACTAGATTTTCAACCAGTTCTAAAAAGGAAAATTATATTTCTCACTCACCTTTTCCAGATCAAGTTCCTTTAAAAGAATACTTGCATTCTTATTTGCTTCTGCAGCCTGTTGGTCTTTAGCCTTCACAATTGTCTCAACACATTGGTGACATTTTTTCAACAGTTCCTATACCAGAAATGGAATTATATAAATACAGAAACACATAAAGAGGCCAATAAAACTTGAGCTGCTAAGTATACCAAAGTTCAGGGCTTAAAGTCCAAATTACTGGATATTTACTAAACCAAATCAAGTTATCCTCTGAACCTAGAGTTTGACTGAAAAATCAAAAAAAAGCTACCATTTCCTTAAAAAGCTTGCATTCTTAGAAAACTGTCTTATCAGGCTAATAATCTAACAATAAAGTTTAGATGCAGTTGCTGTAATTACAGTCCATATTAGGAAGAAAATCTCAAAATAATTTATAAATTATACTCATTCTTCATTTGCAAATGGAGAAACTAATCATTGAAAAATCAGGTTATCTGTCTTATAAAGGATGAAAAGAACAGGCTGTTAACATATACTTTGGTATATAATTCCATAAAGAATAAAAATGTGCTTCAACAGCATATTAAACCTACCTTATCAGTGATTGTTGCTATGTATCTCATGCATTCTATATCAGAAGGGAACTGATTGACTTCCTTAACCAAATACTGAACAACTTTTACATGACCCTGTAAAAAGTACAAAAAGAAGTACACAAAAGAAACCAATGAAAGCTGGCACATATCCTCAAAAACTTAAGAGTAAAAGGTATAGTAACACTTCAGAATTTACTAAACTTAACAATTGAAACTATGAAAATATGAACAGAAAGAGGTAAGTACAACATGCTGGGAAATACATGGAAGACCAAATGATATTTCTCTTGAATTTAATTTGCTCACATCCCACTGAAAATAGAAATACTTCTGAACAGAAATAGAAATAAATCTATTAATAAAATAAAAACTGGTGATGTGAAATCTCTCTCATTATAAAAGGGAAATCAAATCTAAAAGAGGATGTTCTAAATTCCAAAGCATTATTTTGCCCCTTTTTGCCTTTTCTTACTGTTCATGGGGTTCTCACTGCAAGGATAGTGGAGTGGTTTGCCATTCCCTCCTCCAGTCAGAACAACAGTTAGAACCTTACATGGAACTGGTAATTTTGACTGGTTCAAAATTGGAAAGGAGTACATCCAGGCTGTATATTGTCACCCTGTTTATTTAACTTATATGCAGAGCACATCATGCGAAATGCCAGGCTGGATGAATCACAAGCTGGAATCAAGATTGCCAGGAGAAACATCAACAACGTCAGATATGCAGATGATACCACTCTAATGGCAGAAAGTGAAGAGGAACTAAAGAGTTTCTTGATGAGGGTGAAAGAGGAGAGTGAAAAAGCTGGCTTAAAACTTAACATTCAAAAAACCAAGATCATGGTATCTGGTATCACTGTGGACGGTGACTGTAGCCATGAAATTAAAAGAAGCATGCTCCTTGGAAGGAAAGCTATGACACACCTACACAGTGCATTAAAAAGCAAAGACTTCACTTTGCTGACAAAGGTCCATCTAGTCAAAGCTATGGTTTTTCCAGTAGTCATGTACGGATGTGAGAGTTAAACCATAAAGAAGGCTGAGTGCAGAAGAACTCATGCTTTCGAGCTGTGGTGCTGGAGAAGTCTCTTGAGAGTCCCTTGGATTGCAAGGAGACCAAACCAGTAAATCCTAAAGGAAATTAACCCTGAAAAGTCATTGGGAAAGGCCCTGATGCTGGGAAAGACTGAATGCAAAAGGAGACGGGGGTGGCATAGGCTGAGATGGTTAGATAGCATCACAGATTCAATGGACATGAATTAGAGCAAACTCCAGGTGATAGTGAACGACAGAGAAGCCTGGTGTGCTGCAGTCCATGGGGTTGCAGAGAGTCAGACATGACTTAGTGACTGAACTACAACAACAACTTTGGCTCTATCTTACTAAACTAAACAAGGTGGACTGTCATATTTATTTGAGTCCTATGACTTGAATCTAGGTGAAACATTTTCTAGATGGTATTATAAGAGGCTTGATGATCTGTAATCATTAAAAGTACATCTATTTTAACAATGAAACTTGCATAGTTTCCCCTAATATTAAGGTTCTAAAACATCTTCAAGAAGTAATCTGATGGGAAAAATTCCCTGGTGGTCTAGTAGTTAAGGTTCTGTGCTTCCAGTGCGTGTGGCACGGGTTTGATCCTTGGTGGGATAACTATAAATAAAATCTTGCATATGCCATGGTGTAGCCAAAAAATAAACAAAAAAAAAAAGAATTAGTCTGATGGTGGCAAAAGCCAGAAAAGTGGTTGCCTCTGGGGCAGGGAATTAACTGAGAATGGGCATGATTAAAGTTTCTAGGATTATGGAAGTAGTTTCTATCTTTATGGGATGTGGGTTATATAGGTATATACATTTATTAAAACTCATTAAACTATGCATCTTAGATTTGTGCACTTTTAATATATATAAATTATATCTCAATTTAAAGAAAAAAAATTGGAAAAAATATTTAAGATTTTTTAAAAGACAGGTAACTTACACTGCTCTCATTCAATAGCTATTTACTGACCATCTAGTGTGTGTGAGGCACTGTGCTGAACAACTAGGTATAAATAGTGGTGAAAAAGACAATCATGAATCTTCACTTTCATAGATCTTCCAGTCTAATTAGGGAGTGAAAGTGAAAGTCACTCAATCATGTCCAACTCTTCGCGACTCCATGGACTGTAGCCTGCCAGGTCCCTCTGTCCATGGAATTCTCCAGGCAAGAATACTGGAGTGGGTTGCCATTTCCTCCTTCAGGGGATCTTCCTGACCCAGGGATCGAACCCAGTTCTGGGGAAGATTCTTTACTGTCCAAGCCACCAGGGAAGCCCCTAATTGGGGAAAGGAGCATTAAAAAACTAACACATGTTTGCATGTACAATTACAAAATGAGATAAGGAAAATAATGGTGAACTATAAAAGAGAACAAGAGAAACTTTTCAGATTGCAAGTTAGGAAAGGACTTTCTGAGAAATGATATTAAAGGAGTAGACATTAAAGAATGAGGAGAAGTGAGCCAGGTGAAAAGCAAGTGAAAGAATATTTCAGGAAAAGAAAACCAGTGAGCAAAGGGCCTCAGGAAGTTAAAAATTTAGTGAATTCTAGGCCAGTGGCTGAAGTGTAGTAAGCAAAGGGGCAAAGGGGAAGGGCAGTAGAAATGATTGGTCTGAGGCTGGCATGAGCCATATCATACAGGGCCTTGTAAGCCATGTTAAGTAGTTTATAGTCTATCACAATTTTAATGGGAAAGCTTTGTAATATAGAGCAGTGAACCTTAATATATATACGAGGTATAATAAATTTTTATGAGAGTCTACTTGCTTTTGTTCCTCTTAAACATCTATCTACTTGTAATATCTGCCCCGAAATCTCATGTTTTATGTACAAAAATACAACAAAACTCTTCAAGATACGAAGTTATTTAACAGCAAAGTTGCTTATAGGGAACTACTATACAGCTCTTAGATTTGGCCACAAAGATAGTACAACATAGCAGAGGTGTGTATAAAGAAACAGTGTCAATTCCTCAAGACCAATCTTTCTCCTATGACTTCAACTTAAAATTCAGTAGTTTTAAACAAATTCTGTCATTTTTGTCCACATCGAGTTACCTTGCGAAATGCTGACATAAGAGGTGTGATTTTCCGGTTATCAGCTCCATCCACATCAGCACCTGATCGCACTAGCAATTGCACCACTTCAAAATGACCACCATTGGATGCCAACCAAAGTGGTGTGTTTCCCTTCTTGTTGCGAACATCAATATGGGCTCCCCTGTACAAATCAAAGAATGTTAGTATGGCTTGCTTCCTATGAGAAGGGGCTAACTTTTCCTTTCTTTCTCTAATTTATCTTTTTTCTTTTATAAAGTTCAAACAAATACTCTGTTCTTTTAAATGTCAAATAAAGTAAAACAATTTTATTAACTGTAAAGGCTCTGAAAAGTGAAAGGGATCATAGGAAATTTTTACAAATATAAAATTTACCTACCTATTAATCAGGAGCTCACAGAATTTGTAGTGACCTTTGTCCGCTGCTATTGTTAAAGCAGTGTCTCTTGAGGAAGGCACAGGAGGGGCATTGACATCTGCTCCTTTATCTAGGAGAACTCTTCCAACCTCTGCATATCCTCCAGAAGCAGCTTCCATCAAGGGGGTAAGACCAGTCTGTTTAAACCAAAAAATTATGTGGGTAAATTATATTGATTTCTTTAAAGGACTGAAAAATGACTTGTAAGTGGATTCTATTTCTGATTTTCTCTCCCAAGAGAGCTAAGCAAAATTCACTCTTAAGCTCTACTAAAATAGCAAGGGAAAATTGTTAGGTTCAGTTAAGACATGCTAGACTAAATTAACTTATCTACCTTATGGTAATAAAAAACAGTTCATAACATCTCTGTTGTTATAAATCTACATGAGACAGTAACTGTCTCTTTTAAGAAATAAAAAAGTGATAATCAGGGAAAAAAATAAGAGACTTTCATTCAGACATTTTCAATCTGAAATGACTACTAGATTGACCATTGTCTGGTTATAAAGAATTATACATGAGCTACGTGTTTCGGGGGCTCTAAGTACCTAGTAGTTCTAAGAAGAGAAATTATAAACACTGAAATACTAACTCCTACTTTCTAAATGCTACACTGTCATGAAATTGTCATAATCTGTTACAATCAGATTATAGATGCCTCAATTTCAGTTCCCTCAGTTTTATAATTTATAAAGTAATTTTTGATTAATTTTTGATTGAGATTTTTACCAATGGTTAAAGCACATGTCTCATTAAAGGAGATCTTAGCTGTCTTTAATAAAGTTATGAACGGTGACAGTGTGTCACCGACCACTGGATGGCACTATTCTACAATCCTGCACTGGGGCAGGAATTTCCTAATTTTAGCTTAGGAAAATTTAAAATAGCACATTCAATTTGAGTGTGCTATGCCATGTTATATTATGCTCTTTCTATTAGAAATATGTCTGAAGTAGTTGATAAGTTATAAAATGCTTACCTTTGCCCTATGTTCAACATTGGCTTTTCGATCCAGAAGCAAGCTCACTACTTCTGCTCGGCCTTGGAAACAAGCCAAGGTGAGAGCTGTGTTCCGATTGGTCTCTATTTGGGCATTAATATCTGAACCCATGTCAAGCAGCAGTTTCACTGCAGGAACATGTCCATTCATTGCAGCCAACATCAGGGGAGAAATACCTAGTTTACTCCCAGTCCTAAGGGGGGAAATGTGCTCAGAAAATTAAAATAATATGTTGCCTTTTGTTTTTTTAAAAGCAGAGAGAACATAAAAAATGAAAAAGTTTCAGTGAAAAGAAAGCTTTCTACCACCAAAGAATAGATTTTGTTTAGTCTCATAATTAGAAAATCTCATAATTAAGAAAAATCTCACAATTAAAAACACAACCCCTGTTCAGAGACTATAAATTTCTAACTATATATATAACAAAGAGTTTTCTGAAATGAAACCTCTTTGAAAACAGCCATGTTAGCTGAAATAAGCTCTGATTACCACAGGAATAATTGTTGGCCTTGCAACTTTAGTATTATCTTGCTTAAAACTGGTATCTGTCTAAATATTTAGGAGAAAACGCTTAACTCCAAGGTCATAATTTATTAATCATGAATAATAAAATGAACAGGTGATAGATACCTTGAATTAATTTCTGCCCCAGCATTAAGCAGAATCTTAATGATATTAACATATCCTCCAGATGCAGCTAGACTCAGTGGTGTATAATCAGATACATTCCTATGTTCTTTATTTGCACCCCGAGCCAGCAGCAAGTCTACCACCTACAAAGTAAAACAGGAACAGAGAAATCTAGTTTACACCAAGGGTTCATCTTATAATGAAAGAAGCACAAAGAAATGGGATCTTTAAGTTCTCTAAATATCTATCATTTTAATCAGATACTAAATATTCAAATACCAGTACTAGATAAATGAATTCAATTTTTATCAAGGAATTCAGACCTATGAAATCCTAATTATACTGAAATAACAAGTTGTTACTCTTTCACTTCCTCAATTATTAAGCGACAAATTTACATTTCATGTGTCAGGATTTTGCTCCATTCAGACTCAGCAAATGTAAGCATACAGAGAAATTCTATTTTGCCTAAAAAGGCATAAAATAGATTCTTTAAAAGGACATTTACTATTCTCATTAAATTTAATATAAAGAACATTTCAAAACACATGCAAGTTTTATTCATTGTAGCTAAACTACTAAGCACATGCATATTTAAAATACAAATAAAATGTTTACAAAATGAAAATAAACATCAGCATACTTCCTGACGTCCACCAGAACATGCTAATGAAAGAGGAGTATCCTTAGTTCGTTCCGATTGGGCTTCTATGTCTCCACCTTTATCCAAAAGGATTTCAACAACTCCAACATGTCCTGCTGTTGCTGCCAGGATCAGTGGTGTGAAACCTAAATCAGAAAAAAAAATCTCGGTCAAATTTGTGTTTTTTACTTATTAATCCACTGTTTTTTAATTCTTTATTGTTTTAGGAGGAAGAAGTCTTTAGGACAGACACTTAAAATCATAAAACTCCTTTAAAAACTCCTTTAAACCCTAATTTGTTACTGACAAAATCGCATAAATACTTGATAAAAAGAAAATGCTAAGTCAAAGAAAACTATTCAAGTTTATACTCATAATAAACTTTGATACCTTTGTTTGCTCTACTTTTGGACCAAGGAAAAAGCAAACACAACTTGCTGTACTTCCCTGGATGATCTATAATTTTTGAATTTCTGAATAATAATTTGGCTCTGTAGATGAACAAATCTGTATATACTTAATTGAAATATGCTAACCCATCTTTTCACTGAATAGTCCAGGAACTACTTACCCATAGTGAAAAAAAAAATTGTTTTCTGACACTCAAGACTTTATTTCTAACACTTCTTACCTTTTTTGTCTCTGTGTTCAATTTTAGCATCTCGTGCTATGAGTACAGATACAAGCTCTTCATGGCCACCCGCACAAGCTAGGGTTAATGCGGTGTCATGATTGCTCTCAGTCTAGGAAAAGGAAACAAAAAAAGGTAAACTTTTTTTGTTTACGGTGGTGTTATTGACTGAAGAGCCAATAATGTTAATTTCCACAATTAATGTACAATGAATTTTTTCCTTTCCAAAGATAATTGGAATGTGCATAAAATAAATATAAATAAAGCAGTCTACTTACATGTGCATCAATGTCAACTGAAGGATACACAGGGGGTATAGACTGGGAAGCCACATTGCTTGGAGAATGAGAACAGGATTCAGGTGTAAGACATTCTGTGTTTTGAGAAGAGCTGTTCGAGCCAGTGGGCACTCTGCTACTCACAGCTGAAAAACAATATTCATATTGCTGAATTCTACTTAAAAGAATAAAGTTATTTTTATACAGAAAAACACAGAAAACAGAAAATTTAATAGCAGTAATACAATGTAGTAGTTAAATCACAAGCTTTGGAGTCAGATGGACATATGTTTGAATCCCAGTTCTACCAATGACTTTCTGATCTTGGGCAAGTAATTTAAACTCTCAGAACCTCAATTTCCTCATGTGTAAAATGAGATGATTAGTACCTCCATTGTAAGGTTGTTGGGAATTGAATACTGAGCATGGTACCTGGCATTTAGTGAATACAGAAGAAACAGCAGCTTTTTACAGTGTCAATAGGAAGAAAATAGTTTCCAATTTAAAAAAAAGGAATTGTAAATCTTAGTTTGTAAAAGGCAGTTATATACAAATATCCTGAAAATAATGCAAATTTTAAAACAAGAAGAAAAATAGAAAGAAGATGTAGAAGAAGGGAAAGAACAAGTTAGAGTATCTCTCTCATAAATAGCAGAGAGTATGTATTTTTAAAATTCAATATTTACTCTGAAAATTTGCTAAAATGAATCAGTGTCTGAAAACCAAACTGCTTTAAAAATGAACACTGGAATTTTTATTTGGGACCTCAAAAATCTAGTGTCTGAAACTGAATTAAATGAAATTATATCTTTGTGGCTCTGCATATTTCTTCTCTTTCATAAAAGACAAGAGTTTGCCCCATGGAGGGGGAAACAGGACCCATCTCAGAGGGATGTTGTGAATTGTCTGTGAGATAATATATAAAAAGCATTTAACACAGTGTTTGGTATGGTAAGTGCCCAATATATGTAATTATCAGATATTTTATAGGACTTCAGTACTATCAATCACTGCACTGAAAAATAAAACATTACAATCACTCAAGAAAGAAAAAACTCAGAAAAAATATATAATCAATAATATAGAAAAAGACAACAAAGTTTTAGTGATGGCAATTAACTTCCTCTTACCCATGCTAAAAGTCAATCAAAAACACATAAGTCATAAAGGAAAATGTTAAGCATTTCAATGGTTGGAGAATATTTTCTCTCTAGAATTTTAATATGGCTGAATCCCAATCAAGGATACTTATGACCACAACAAGTATGAAAGATTAAGTGTAGTATGCTACTTCTTTATAAATAATAGCAAATTTTAAGGATGTTTCTACAGGAGCTGTCCCTCCCTCCTCCCAACCAATATATATAAAATCATCTTGTTCATATGACTTTCTGCAGCTTCCATTAGCACATAAATATACACAAATAGTTAGCCATATGGTTATAAATAAAAATGATTATAAACATTTGTTTTGTCTTACAAGAATGTGCATGATGAAAACAAAGTTTTAAAAATCTGTCACTGAATGAATTAAAAGCATAGTATTTTGCTGCCCCCGTCAAAACAGCTGATAAGATTGGAAAAAAGTTCCAGAAACAAGACACTAAACTTTGATATATAGCACTTTTTTAACAGTAAGATTTTAACAACAGTCTCATACTCATTAACATATATTTACTAAAGAATTACTTTTCTATCGTTGTTAAATTTGTTTATTCATGCTATCTCTTTTTGTGATTATGAAAAACAGATATTAAAAAAAATTTAAATAGTTGACTGGAGTGCTATGTCAGAATGTGATGGTATAAGACTTTTTTTTACAGAGTTGGTTTTTAAAAAATACTTTAGTGCATTTAACAGCTCTATTACCAAAAAAGTGTTGCTACGTTGATTGTGCATTTTGGTACAACAGTATCCTAGAAACATTTTTTCCTCCTGTAATAATGACAATCAGAAACATTCCACAGAAGTGACTTTAAAAGGATTAATTACCTATGAAAAGTTCTACAGATAAAACTAGAAAATAGCAAAGATTTTAAAAGTATATGTGGAATAAAGGATTTATTAAGATAAAATTATACCAGGACTATGACAATTTCAAAAATCCTAAAATGCTTCCTACGTCTTAACAAAATGTCTCTGAAAATGACCAAAACAGATCATTATCATGAAAGTCACTACATAATTCAAATTAAATTTATGTACTATCCTAAAATGGGGTGATATTTTACTTAATTCTTTATAAAATTTAAGACAGTTTTGTAGGCAATATGGAAGATAGTAATGCTGCAAGTTCTTAAGACATTAAATCACTGTAATCCAATTTAGGTAACAGTAACTGTATTAAATATTTCCATATAAATAACAATCTATAAATACAATATTAACATCTACTAAAAGAAATTATTAAAGATATTTTATTGTAAATTCCCTCAAAGATAATTTTCAATTCCTTTATTCTAAAACCTAAATTGACTATCACCAGATTGCATAAAGCAAGATACTTTTGAATTGTAATGTGTTGAGAGCCTATTAAGATGCCAACAACATTAACAATGTTCTAAAGTCACAAAACTGTATTAAACCATATACACAAATCATATCTTAATATAAAAATAATAAGGGAAATTGTTATTTGATAAAACTTAGAATTCGAATAAAATAATATCTTAAATATAAACTCAGAACTTCCAGTTGAATCAAATGGATGCCTACTGTATCTACGGTTCTTAAACCTGGCTGAATTTTTGAATCTTAACATTTAGCTAGCAACTTAATTTCCATTAGCCTCAGTTTTCAACAGAAAAATAGATGGGAGATGGACTTATTTTCTAGTATTACTAAATAGCTCGTGAAATTACATATATAAAAGCATTTAGCACTGAGCTTGGTAAATGGCAAGCACTCAATAAATGTAAATAAAGTGGTATTAATTTTTTTTAACTAAGGAACTTTATATATTAAGAATGAAAATTTTGCTAGATGTTTCTAGAACTGCTCAATGGTCAAAGCTATTTTGAATTTCTTAAAATTGCTGTTTATTTTCAGACCTTTATTCTAGACATTTGAACTGAGAATCACTTGCTATTATGATAACTTCAAAAGCCCAGCACTTACTTTCAGAAGAAATGGACCTGAAGAACCATGTTTCCAATCCGAAAGTATACATATATTCTGTTTGGGACTATATCAAGTATGATACATCTAAGACTATATACTAAACTGCTGTCAGTCAACTACTGAAGTTATAACATTAAGAAATTATATATCTAACTAACTTGCTTTCATGACAAGTATTTTGAGATAGAACAGCAGTTAAAAAAAAAAAAAAAATCCTGGAACTTCCCCAGTGGTCCAGTGGTTAATTAAGATTCTGCCTTCCAATGCTGGGAGTGAGGGTTCAATCCTTGGTCAGGGAACTAAGGTCCCACATGCCTGGCGTGCTGGGAAAATTTAAAAAAACAAAAACAAAACCCTCCTAGAGTAAGATTTACTGCTATTATCTAAAGTAAAACTGTAAGATGTATTCTCTTTTATTAATAAGGCATGATATCATATAAAGGCATGATAACTAGATTTGATATAGGTAAAATTAATTACATCTTTGGCCTAACCTATAATTTTACTGACATATTAACATATCGTATAATCAGGGAACTAGGTATTTACCTAATTCATCCTTATTTAATTTTTTTCACCTTCAATTAAGAAATTAAGAGAAATTCAGACTTAATAAAATAACATTTTAAATTTTGAGGCAAGTCATCCTTTTTGCTATATATTTTAAAATATAAGCTTCAACAAAATGAAAAGTTTTTAAAAATAAAGATAATTTTTAGGGAATTCCCTGGCAATCCTGGAGAATTCCCTGGACAGAAGAGCCTGGCAGGCTACAGTCCATGGGGTTGCAACAAGTTGGACATGACTGAGCAATCAACACTTCACTTCACTGGCAATCTAGTGGTTAGGACTCGGCACTTTCACTGCTGGGTACCAGGGTTTGTTTGATCCCTGTTCAGGGAACTAAGATCCCACAAGCTATGCCACATATAATTTTTAATGTATTGACAGATTTATATTTTAAAGCTTATTAACAAAAGAATATTGTACAATATGGTGGGCCAACGGTGTCACGAGACATTAATGTCTAAAAGAAAGTAAATTTTATTCATTTAGATTAATGTTAAATATAATTAAAAGATGTTTTCTAAACTGAGTTTTTGAAGTTTCATGTGAACTTTATAAAAGGTCACTTCAATTTAACAAATACTTCAGTGGAATAAACAATATTTGACCTCCTCTACAAAAAATAGCCTTAAATACTACCATAAAGTTAACACCTACAAGTACCCTTTAGAGATGTTTCCTCCATTCTTTAAAAATAAAAAGGACAGGTCCTAAGTTCCAACAAACTAAACTGATCAATAATGCGGATTTCATAACAGCAAATGGAGTACTTAATTAGGAACATTATAATGATATTTATAGAACCCTAAGTCTTAAATATGTTCCTTCCAGGTCATGAGTTTCATTATTATTAATCCTAATCATACTTTACACTCCAATATCTGCTTTAAACAAATTAGAAATCAGAACCATAAATAACTATAAAGTTATTCAATATTTATAACAACTTGCAATGCTAATAACACAAAGTTAATCTGAGTGAAGTGGTTGTGGGCTGAAGACATAAAAAATAAAATTAAAGAATAAAGAATCTAACTCCTTAAAACATTTCCTAGCATTTTAATTTTCTTTATGAAAACTAAGACATTCCTCCTCTGCACAGCAATACCTACTACATATCAGAGGAGCCTCAAAGGCACTCTTACAATAAACACTGGAAGTCATACACATGCCCAATAAAATTCCTGAATTAAGTAATTTTATTCCACATTTAAAAGATTCAGTAAAGTTTAGGAAGACTAAAGGCTCACAGAAGAAGAAAGGAAACTGGGAAAGCATAACTGGGATGAGAGAAGGGGAGGAGAATATGACAAGAAGAAACAGACAACAGTAAAGAAAAAAAAATGTTGCAATCAAGAGACAGAGGACTGGCCTGCCTTTGAATATCACTCCAGCTACATCTTAGTTCTTGGTCTTCATCCACTGTCAACAGCCATTCTGGCTGCATTTCTGAACTGCGCTCTCATGGAGGTGATACATTCACCAGCCATCTTTAGGAAGGTAAATGATTAATTGCACTGTTTTCCCACTGCTGCAAGGACAATGAAAGGGAAAGTAAACTTGTGCACCTCATTTCATATCTAGTTGTAATTTTCCACACAACAATAAACAGAAACATATACTTTAAATTTATAAGGCTGGTCTCTTTTTTGCTTTGGTGATTACCCCTGTGTGTGTTTGAGTGTGTGTTGGATGTCTGTGTGCTTTCATCAAGACAGTTACTACAAAAAGCCCAACCTCCAAATCACTATCAAATGGACAATACTTTCAATGTATATTAAATCTTCTAATCACACATATTTTAACAATATGGAATGCTTACAGTTTTTTTCTGAATATCCCTTTAAATTAGAATGTTTAAACTGATCTAATAAAATCATGAAGAAAAAGCAAAGTGATTTAGAGTTCTGATTTTCCAAATATGAAAATCACCAATAGGAAAATTAAATGTCTAATCTTATATGATTATCTCTAAAGCCTGCAAAGAAATTCTACTTTGAGATCTCCTACCCAAGATATGAGACAGGGTGATTTTGATACCAAAGGTCTAAAATAAAGGATCATGACAACTTTATTTCTTTGCTTTTGCAAATAACGAAAAAGAAGAGGGAAAGCACACTTTTGTGTTTTAATGCTGTTGAGTTTAGTTAAAGTCACTTCCAAAACACCTCAAGAAATGATTTTAAAAACATAGTTCTAAAAAAGGAAAAATACCAAGTTGGTGTTTTTGGAAAGTTGTGTAAAGAAGTTGAGCACAAAAATTAAAGAGAAATTATTATAGGTATATTTCTTAACCCACCTGCTATCAGGTCATCAAGAGTGTCGGTAAGCGTCTGGGCTGGAGTTGCAACCATTAGTCCATCTGGTTCTTGCACTAACAGCCCCTGATCATGTCCAGTAATAGCAATCTGAGGCTGTCCTATAATCTGATGATTACCTGATACTTTCTGAAGTTCAAGAGAATTTGTCCCATTAGAACCTAATTCACTGGAAAAGTTACACTGTGGAGATGATAAAGGCTGGACTGGGACAAAATCAATTTGTTCTGCCGATGGTGGAGACTGTTGCTCATCATCAACATCATTATCTTTAAATAAGATTGTGTCAACCTGATGTAACTCTGAAAAATGATCCTCTGGGAGACTACCATCTCCTTCCCCTTCTGGGAAGACTCCTCTATGAGAGCACTGCTGGTGTAGAGATACTGTGTCTTTCTGACCTTTGGTTTCCAGATATTCTTTGGTAAATTGCTGCTGTGTTTTCATCTGCAACTGCCTTTCCACTTTCTGCAGTTCTTTCAGTATTTTCTTCTTCTTCTGGACTTGCTCTTCTCTGTTCTTTTTAAGTTCTTCTATCTTATCTTTGTTCAGAGGTTCACCTTGAATTAACTCCAATGATTTAAGCTGTGCTTTTTCAATAGCACTAATTCTTTGTCCCAGTTCATTCAGTTTTCCTTCAGTCTCCTCTACTATGCACTCCAAAGGCTGGTATGGGTGAAAAGGTGGCAGTACGTCCTGATCTGCTACCTGCAGGGAACTGGACTTCTGCTTGGATGTACCTAAGCACATGAAAAATGTTTGAAAATGTGCCATGCTAAAAAAAAAAAAAAAAAAAAAAAAAAAAAAAAAAAAAAAAAAAAAAAAAAAAAAAANNNNCCCCCACCCCACCCCCCAGCATCCTCCCTCCCAAAACCCATATAACTAATGCTGTAGAATGAATGCTCAAAGATTCATACCAGTTGTAGCTAACGACCAAACTCTTAGATTTTACATAGCACAAACAGGGATGTTGCCAATCAAAAAAATGTGACTTTTTTAAATTTAAAAAATGCAATACTTAGGATTGGATGATTTTGGAAAATAAGACAGGGGTAGGGAGAAAAGGAAAATCAAAGAGGAAAGAATCTCAAAATTCTGCTTATTAAATTGGACTTTCTAGAGAACATAAAATCTAAAGCAGAACCAAAATAATGTTGAGGGTATCATAAATGTTAGCTTAACTGCCCAATTTTTCTTTTTACAATATTAACTGTGTAAGTACAGATTACTGTAAGAAATTATAATTTGTAGATCAAAGTGGGGAAAAGTGTTTTTCAAATTACCAAAATGTTTATTATTTTAAAATATAGGTTGAAATTATTCTTAAGCTATAACTTTCTAAATTGTTCATTAATTAAGTCAAACACTTCCATAAGTGTTTAAGTTCACTACCTGAACACCCTATTAAACTTATATTACAAAGGACAATTATTCTGAGTTTAAGTAAACACTTCACGTAAAAATCTATGAGAGAAACAATGAACATTACCTGGGAGAAAATCAGACTTCCCATACAGGAGTACTCATATTGGCAGTGTACATTAAAAATGAAATAATTATACATTTACGTCAAGGTTTTCAGTTACACTTAAATTTACTCCCCAAAGGCAAAATAATTATCAATATCAATAATTCTAACATCTGGACATAAAATGGAAGAAATATTTAATAACCACTTTGAGGCCAGTTTAAGGTTTAATCTTGTTTAGGAAGAACTGGGGTTATTCTACAGTAAAAAGGAACAAACTACTGATATATCCTACAACATGGATGAACCTTGAAAACATGCTACGTGAAGAGTCCAGGCACAAAAGAACATATGTTGTACAATCTCATTTATATCAGATCTATAGAGAAAAGGCAAATCTAGAGAGACAGGTAAGGAAAATAGTGGTTGCCTGGATTATAGTGGTGAGAATGCAGGCTGATCACAAAGAAGCATGAGAGATTTTGGAGTGATGGATCCAAAATCAGATGGAGGTGATGATCACACAATTCTGTAAATTTACTAAAAGTTATTGGATTGTACATTTAAATGAGTGAATTTTATGGTATGAAAATTAAGCAATATTAAAGTTGTTTTAAAAAAAACTAGGTGGAAAATAGTTGTCTATTCTCAAGGATTGTGGTCAATATATATGAATAACATATGTAACTTCAGAGTTTCAAAAACTAGCTCATCCAATGCATTCAAAATGATTCCTAGGTCCAAAGGAAAAAAAATAATCCTTTAGATGTTTAATTGCTCTGAACTGCCAGAGACTGACAAAACTACTGGACAAAAAAAATCAGATTTAACTGCTTCTTTGTTAGAAGAGGAGGACTCAAAACTGCAGGTAGCTCAAACAACTGCAACATGTTATTATCATAAAAAGCCTAACAGATTTGCCCCTAGATACTGTCTTTAACAAGGTCATACAACCAGTTCCAAAATCACTACGATAATTACCCACATTTAATTTTATATTTCTATCTGAGCAAAGTGGTGGGAAGAGACTTTATCCTTAAAGAGCAAAAGCTGTTAGCCTGTGAGATAATTTTATACCTATTTCCATAAGATTATATAGGAAACCATGGTTTGCTTTACTTGTTCAAAGTACCTCATGACGACAATTAATGGTAGGAAAAAGGAGTTTAACTGCCACAGAATCTGCAAGCTCAGCAAGGAAATTTTCAGTTGTGTAACAAATTCAATGACATCAGCAGAGTAAATTCTTAAGTTCAGCAAGCTCCTCCAACATTATTTTAAAACACCCTTGTATAGTTCCTACATAATTTATATTTAAGATTAAGAAAACTAGGTTAAGAGGTCAACACTAAGACTGGTAATTAATTATGACCACATTGGACATTCTCTGATTTAAAATCTTACATAAATAGTAAGATCCAAAATAAGACAAGAATTTTGAGAATAGTAACAGAAAGAAATGGCTCTAACTTGTTAACAAATAAAATACAAAGAGCAAAAGATTAAAAAGAGTAACTTATTTAACTGAAATTGAGACGAAAACCCCAAAATTTAGGCAGCAGGAAAAGCAGAGAATGGTGAAATAAATGCACAAAAGGCAGTTCTTCCCCAAATATCCAATGACTCAGTATCAGTAACCATAGAAGTGTGCGATTGCCTAGATACACATCAAAGCACTAATAAAAGCTATAATATCATGAATAAGTCAAGTTGGTGAAAAATATTCCTAGAAGTTGAAGCAACTCCTTCAATTTGGGGGGAAAGGAGAGAATGTTAAACAAGTGTCCTTTTAGCAACAGTTTTCAGTATGTAGGAAAGTAGCAGCATAAGATGTCATTATATAAAAGAGCTCCTTCTTCCTCAAACATCTTGCACTGTCAGAGAAATAAATAAATCTATTCATTTGGTAGCACTGAGTGATATCATAAATTAATATTTAGGAACATAGGTGAAGTTACCATCTTATCTCTTTGGCGTGGTTTCTATTCTACTTCCTCAACTTTCACTTTTCCTCCATTAATTAAAAATGTTTCCAACAGGATAACTATGATACAGAGAGAGCTTGGAACGTGGCCTTTATTTTTTACTGGAAGTGAGAAAATGAGATGGATATATACTTGTCAAATATTTAGTTTACTATAGAAATGAATTTAATTCTACTAATCATTTTTGGGTCTAAACAATTAGTCCACTGGGAAACAGAAAAATAATGGCCAAAGGAAAATAATGAATGACATACAACTGGACCAAGGTTAAGTCAGTGTCCAAAAATAGAGTATCTGTGTTATACGCCAACAGATTAAATCAACTGCTTTTACTATAAGCAGTTATATGTGAAAAGATATTAAATTTGGGCAAATGTAAATCCATACTGCCATGATTACTAATGGAAATCTACTAGAGAATATTATTAGTAAAACTTCCACAGGAATATTCAACCTCATTTACTGTACATATAATTTTTCTATATAATTTTTAACTGAGAACTTTTCATGTTACCTACTCCAATAAACAACTCAGGGATATAAAGAAGTATGTTAACCTAATGCTTGCTTTTAATGTATAATTCTGTTTTCAATCTTTACCCTACAGTTTAGAATACTACTTCTTAAGTTCTTAAACATCCTCTTTAAATACAATGTTACTCTGCTTAAAAATTCTTAATAAATTTCTCTTGCCTTCAGAATAATCTATATTCTTATCCTGGCATTTATTAATTTATTCAACAAATATTTAACGGCTAGTACAAGCAAGCCACAGTGGACCATACAAAGACAAGCAACATAAACCCTGCCCTCAAAGAGCTTACAGTCTAAAAGGGGAGATAAAAATGTACAAATTGAAGCACTGGCAGGTATGGAAATGCAATGGGGTGTAAAATATAGTAAGCTAACAAATTGCTGGTGGGAGTGTAAACTGCTGTAGCATTCTAGAGAGTGAATTCATAGTACTTTGTCATAAAAACATTATGCATTTCTATGACAGGCAATTCTGCTCCTGAGTTTATCCCAAAGAAATTCTCACACAGAACCATAAGGGGACTGTACCAGAATTTTCACCATAGCATTGTCTGTGTTGGTAGGGAATGAGAGACAATCTGGGTACCCATCACTGAGAGAAAGGACAAGTGAAAAACAGGATATACAGGATAAACACAATGCTACAGGTAGAAACAATCCAGAGGTAGACATATGGATAGATCTTAAAAACAGTGTTGGGCTTCCCTGGTAGTCCAGTGTTTAAGAATCTGCCTTAAAGCAGGGGACATTAGTTCGATCCCTGGTCCAGGAAGATCTCACATGCTGTGGGGCAACCAAGTCCATGCACCACAACTACCAAGCCTACGTGTTACAACTACTGAAGTCTGCACACCTTGAGCCTGTGCTCCTCGATAAGAGAAGCCACCTCAATGAGAAGCCTGCACACTCTAAAAAAGGTCCAGTGCAGCAAAATATAAATAAATAAAAGATATTGAAAAAAATATTAAATGAAAAAAGTAAAAACCAAACAGGACATACAGCATAATATCACTTGTGTAGATTAAAATATACATAAAGAAGTGAACATCTTATAAGAACCTGTAAGAACAAAAAAATCTACAAATTAAACACATTAGAATGACTGCCTAAAGGGAAATACGTATGGGTATGGAGAGAGGGATAAAAAGGAATAAAGTGAAACAAGACAGGAACCATGATGACAAAGTCCAGGAATTAAGTATGATTAACCCAACCTTCCATACTTGAAGTTCAAAGGGGAAGTGAAGGTGCAGGAGTGACCACAGACAGAAGGAAGATCCAATAAAGTACCACAGGAATTCAGGGAAAAGAAATGACTCCTCAAGAGGGGTTGAGGTGCACACTAAAGAAGTATATTTTTTATCTTGATATCATTTTAATGTTTTGCAATAGATTAGTTAGTTCTAAGCTATACAACTGCATAGAATAATCAGACTCATAATTTAGGATCTCAGTAGAGTCAGTTACTACAAATAAATTACATGCAAGAAGTGGCTTCAGTCAACAAATTTCTTTACAAAATTAAATTTGGGTGGTGGTGGTCCCTGGGAAGCAATGTTCCCTGATGGTCCAGTGGTTAAGAATTTGCCTGTCAATGCAGGGAATATGGGTTGATTCCTATTTGGGGAACTAAGATCCCAATGCCACAGGGCAACTAAGCCTTGTGTATCACAAGAGAAGCCACTGCAATGAGAAGCCCGCACACTGCAACTAGAGAGCAGCCCCTATTCACCACAACTAAAGAAACCCATGTGCAGCAATGAAGACCCAGTGCTGCCAAAAATAAATAAATAAGCAAATAAATTTATTTAAAAATTAAATACGGAAAGACAAAGGTTTGATATTACTTATGTATCCTCTCCCAAGTGTACTCATAACTATAGATGATAAAGCAAAGCAAAGCAATGCTAGGAAACTGAGTATATCACTCTTACCCAGCTTCATTTTTTTTTTTTTAATAAAGGTGTTTATGAGGCCTTTATCAATGTCAGCTAGGATCTCAAATCTTTGAGAACTAACAATGGACAAGTGAAATTAGTTGCCTAAACCAGGAGACTATAGTCAAGATGGATGGAGCCTGGACGAATGGTGCACATGAAAGAAGAATGTTTGAGTAGAATATATAAAAAAACACCTGGGTAAGACTTCCAGGCATGAATCCATTTTAAAAGGATGCAAATAGGCATAAAAACTTGAGATAGGAATAAAATGTTATAAACTTGAAAAGATAATTGCTAAGAGGAAAAGAGTCCTAGAGAATAAGAATCCTCTCTCCAACCCTAGTTACATATGCAATGCAGATATCTATGGACTTAGAAAAAACAAAAAGGACCAAACAGCAAATTCATCACTCAAAGGAACTTCTCCAGAGACATAAGTGAGAAATTTTAGGCAGGAAAATTAAGAAGAAAATAATATATCTTTAATAATTTAAGATAGCTTTTTCTATCCACACAGGTGTACTTTTACATCATCAATTTATTTTTCCTAATTTATAGTCATATAATATTCTATGATGCACTCAAACACAATGCATTATTACACCTTCATCCTGCAAAAAAAATGTTGGGGTTGGCAATACCGCTTGGTATCTGGCAACAGCAAGTGCCAACTGTCTAGATACAAGTGTTAATTTTTTCCTTCCCTAATAATTTAGTAAAATGAAAGATTCTGTAAAAGGTATGTTCAGTTTAATACTATTCAGTAAATAATAAAACATCAAAGTGAAGAAAATAAGTAGATACTAAGTATAAGAAGATATTTCAGTAAGCAAAAATACGATTACTCACTTGAGTATCAACTTAAAAATCATGTCCCAAACATTTCAGTTGACTTACATAGTAGATCTAAATTAAAAATGTCTTACTTCCTTTCTGTACATACTGTGTCCTTCCTAGCTCATTTCTTGGTTATTCTGTGGCTCTGTGTCAATAAATACTTTTTCAATTATTTCTTACTTGGTACTGAATTTCCCTAGTCAAAGTTACTACAGTCCTCTATAGGATACAGTCAAACAAAAAAACAACAAAAACTGAGGCTTTTAGGTTGAAATACTTTACTAAAGTCTATTAGTTGGTTAGGATCCTCAGATTCTTAACAAGTACATGCTTAATTTGCTTTTTATTTCTTAAGACTAAAAATAGCAGTCTTCATTTTCTGAGTTAGAATAGCTTGGAAGCCAATGGAAAACTGCTAGAATTAGCTTAAGTCAGAGAGACTACAGGTTTTTTATTTTTGAAATTAACAGTTTAGAAATGAAGTAATCCTTGGTAAAGGCACTCAATACTCTAAATTACTAAAACTGACATTAATTTGAAAGAAGCTTCTGTTTGGTGTTGTACAGTCACTCCTTATCAACTTTACTTAAAGCTATATTTTTTAAAAAAGTTGTATTAAAGATACTAAAACATACTTACACACTTGATTATGATTTCAAACATCTACAACTTGTCATATAATGAATGAAATGTGCTTATAAGTTGGTTTTATCTGTAATAGTTTTTAATACTTTACATACTACCTATTTATTTCAGAGAGCTCAGATATGACAACCATACATGATTATCAAGTGTAGGTACTTTATATCTACAAATGAAAATATAGCAGAAAAACAACAGAGCTCATAAACTTGAGTCCTTTAAACAGTGTATTGTCCTCCTTAATATTCCACTTGACTGTTACTCATATACTTTTTAATAGTTGTTTGTCTATGTTCACATACTAACAGATGTTAATCCATTCAGTAAAATGGATTTCATGAAAGAAACTAAATATAATTCTTTAATTGACACTCACTGAATTGCATCAACAATAATAGGACTTGACTGACAGCAAACACATATTTTCATTCTTCATATTATAGTATTATTTAGCTAAAGCATTGTAAAATGAAAAATGAATGCCTGATAACATTTTTGCTACTTTAATATAATGAAGTACTTGGTATATGCTTATTTTTGGCAGTGCCAGATGAAAACTACACCTAGAAGTATGTTACCACTTTAATAAATCATTTTCCTAGTACTTCTGTCTTTTCTATTTTAAATGGTATATAAGATGATTAGCATTTGTCAGAATTACCTACCTCAATTCTAGATATACAGTAACTGTGTACCATGAAAGTATCTTTATGAATTCACACATTAGGTGATAAAAATGCCCATTTTAAGGAAAATAATTCAAGAACTAACCTTTTTGTACTCCTAAAACGGCAGGAGAGTTCTCCTGTAAAGTTCTGTCAGGCTCCTGAGGAGGTACAACCATGGCGAGAGTATGCATTGGCACACGTGGAACCTAAAAAATCAACTCAGAAAAAAATGATCTCAGACCAAAGAATAAAACAAACGTCCATGAATGAAACAGATCTTGTTTAGATTTTCTTCGTATACCACCAAATGAAACAGAGATTTTGTTTAAGATTTTCTTCATATACCACTTAATTAACTTTTTTGTTTCTTTAAAAGAAGAGTGAAAGAAGATGAAAAAGAAGGAGCAGCAGCATTGTTTACCAAGCAATAATTTCTGACAATACTGATAGGGCAAATTTAGGCAATTTACACATAGTCCATGATTTAAGCTAAATGGAATTAGTATCACTCTCTTGTTAAGGAGCAAGTCTTGCTGGTTTCAATTATAGCTAGGAGTAAAAGTAACATATTCAACTGATCAATTTACCCTTGTTCAAATTCTATAGGACAAAAGAAAAAAATCCAACATATTTCCCAAATTAGTGTATTTTAGCAGTTCTCAGGATACCATTGTAGAAAACAACTTAAGACGTCACTCAACTTTGTATACTTATTATACTCTCTACATTCTCTCTGTATTTTCAGGTAGGTTTAAAAATTAAAGAATTTTTGGTGCAAATATCACTCACACTTTCCTCACTGACAAGAGTAGCTATCTCTAGGATATCTCTAGAAAAGGTATTTCCAGGATATCTCTTAAAGAGTCCTTTGGACTACAAAGAGATCAAGCCAGTCAATCTTAAAGGAAATCAACCTTGAATATTCATTGGAAGGACTGCTGCTGAAGCTGAAAAAGACTTTGGCCACCTGATGTGAAGAGCCGACTCATTGGAAAAAATCCTGATGCTAGGAAAGAGTGAAGGCAAAGGAGAAGCGGGCGGCACAGGATAAGATGGTTAGATAGCATCACCAACGCAATGGACATAAGTTTGAGCAAACTCCAGGAGACAGTGGAGGACAGAGGAGTCTGGCATGCTACAGCTTATGGGGTCGCAAAGAGTTGGACACGACTTAACAACTGAATAAAAACAACTAGGATAATTAACACTCTTGGGAGGTACTAAGGGAAGAGCTTTCTCTTGTTTAACAACCCTAAAGACCTAGCTGAATAAAAGGACAATTTGGAATATTTATATGGTATCAAGTGTGCGTTTTTGGTTTTTTTTTTAAGAACTAAACACTATTTTCAGTAAATAAAGACAATTTAAAAATTTCCATGTACTTTTCAAGAAAAGTTCAAAAGAATTTAGGACAAGATTTATTCAAATTTTAAAAGAGAAATAAGCCCATTTTATCTAAGACTAATTTTAAACAAAAATTTCCAATTTGAAGAATATTTATAAGTTTAAGTTCTATTTTATATTACCTGAGATTGATCTTGAGAAGGTGGGGTAAGCTGAGACACATCTGTGGTAGGAACTGACAGAACATTGTTTGGATAATCCAAAAGATAAGAAACAACATTAGTATGACCACCTTTTGCAGCTTCAATGAGCATTGTTGAGCCATCCTGAGAAAAATTGATATTGTAATTAATTATTTGTCAATTTCTTTTAATAACACGATTACTAAACACATTTAGTTTCTTAGCTCATATAAAATCAAAACTTATTTAAACAGTAATGAATATTAATAATATTAAGCACTAACATATCTGAAATATATTTTAATAATGATATATAATTTCCTTATTTTGAAGTAGAATACCTTGAGACGATGAGTAGGGTCAGCCCCATGAGCCAAGAGTAGCTCCACCACTGCCAGGTGACCCCCTGCACATGCCAGTGACACTACTGTATGATCATTATTGGCTGTAGCCCTATTCACATTAGCACCTTCAAAGAAAAATAAAAAGCAATCTTAGCAAAGCCAGCTCAGACAATATGGTTTTTGAAACATTTCTTTAGTACAACATAAACATAAAAAAGTACAAATATCATAGGTGTATAGTATGAAATATTTCTCAAAGTAAACACACTTGTGTAACCAGCACCCAAATCAAGAAACAGATTATCCACATTGAAGAAGAGCCACTTTGTATACTCTTTCAGTCACTACCCACACCTCCAATGATAAGTACTATCCTGACTTCCAAACTGATTTTAGGTTTTGAACTCTATATGAATGGAATCATATAGTGAACTCTTTTTGTGCCTGGCTTCTTTCACTCAATATAATATTTGTGAGACTCATCTACATTGTTGCAGTCCATTCATTCAATACCACTTCTAAGATGAAAAATCTAGATTAATAAATATATATAGTTTAATATATATACGAGCACCAAATAATACCATTGTATGTAACTCTAAAGACATTTTTGATCTACTTCTAAAATGTGGCAGTATAGCCAGGTCTCAAGGTAGAGAACTTTTGAAACAATATTTAAGAGAAATATAATTCTTCATATTGTGTATTTTAAGAGTTAGAGACCTGGATATGAAGAGAAGACATAAGATCATCTGAATATATTGAAAGGCAATTTAGTAAGTTGCTCAATAGCTCTGTACAATATAACCTAAAAAAAGTCTAAATGCAAAATCTTTTCTTAGCCTCTTTTTTTGGTAAATTAATTTTGATCCCCAGGAAAAAAAGACATTATTTTTAGTTCAACTACCTTTTAAAATCCCAAATGGATCCAATTAGATAGTTAAGACTACAGCAATGTTTGGTCTTCCTTCTTCCTTAATACCAGATTTATTTTATGAAAGAAAAATAAGCCTATGGAAAACTATTATTTATTTAATTTTCAAAACTACCCAGCTGAACCTAATCCTAACTTACATTAAAGTACATTTTGGGGGGTGGGAAGTACATTTGGGAAAGGCAAGGTACACCAATAAACATCCTTACATTAGCAACATGAGATTATTTTTAAGTTGTTAATACGGCTGACTTAACTGTACCATAAACATTGGTAGTAGACTTTCCCCCCTCTATCCTTCCCTATTTCCAGCAGAACTGCCCTAAGTGCTGAACAATACTGTATCTACTATATATAGCTGGACATTTCACATTTGACTTTTCCAACTTTTGGGAGTAAGTATATACTGTTTGGTTGATGAAAACTCAAACTTGAAACTAATAAAGATTCCAGCAAAGTACCTTATGAACGCTGCTTCCTAAGAATATACAGCAATAAAAGACTAGAATACAATACTCAGACTACAGGTAAAGTAGTTTTAACATGAATTGCAACAGTTTAGGAACTTTTTACAGAAGTTGCATCTTCTTGAAAATTCTCATTTGTACTTTCTTTACCTTTGCTAATAAGAAACTGCACGGTACACAAATGACCAGCTCTTGCAGCTTTCATTAAAGGTGTTCTTCCACCTTCAGATTCATGTTCCTAAAGAAACATAAAATAATCCGTTAGTGCCAATTCATTAACCATCTGTTTTAAACACTTAGTAGCAACGACCTAAGAAATAATGAAGATTTAATACTTACTCAATGCAATCACTTAGGCTACCTACCTCAATTCCTTGAAAATACAGGATTAATTTCAGTCCACACTAGTTGGTGTAACTTTCTAAGAGCAAGTTCAGTTTTGCACACCAAACAGTAACCATTAAAAATCAGACTTATGTTTAGTTTGGTCCCCAAAGAGAAATAACTGCATTTTTTTCTAATACTAAGTTTCCCTAATTATTCATCTGAACTCTGAAAAAGGAACCTTAATTTTACAAGGTGGTTATGAGGACAACAACATATCAGAAGCCAGTAAGAGTTCTATCACAGGTGAGAAACCAGTCTGAAGAAAAACTGTGGTATTTCAGGAGTAAAGGGAAAAGGAAAAAGAAAAACACAAATGAGCAGAATTTTTTAGAGTAAAATTAAATGCTTGAACAGTCAAGACAAAAGAAGCAGTCTTACAATAGTAGAAAGATAGTGTTCTTCCTAGAAAGTTTACCAGCAAGAAGAATGAATGATAAAACAGCTTCCAACCATTCTTTATTAACTCTAAGGGCCCATGGACAGAGGAGCCTGGAGGGCTGCAGTCCATGGTGTTGCAAAGAGTTGGACATGACTGAGCGACTAACACACACACACACACACACACACACACACACACACACGAAGAATGAATAACTATAGACAATGCCAAAATAATGTGGTTTTAGAATGGATTTTGAACTTAAAATTCAAATGTAGATAAATGTAATATTCTGGCCATTAAGTTCAAACAAAACAGAATACACATCATGAAGAGCATACTCAGAAAGACACAGAAAGTCATATCAATACAATATACACTGGAATTCTATCAGCTAAACATTGGAAAAGAAATTGCTCCTTTAACAACTGCTATTTACCCTCTGTCTCAGGGCCCTTTTCCTTAAGCTGCTATCTCTTCCCGGTAACACTGCTTTGTTAGCTCCTTTTCATCCTTGTTTCAAGCGTTATTTCCTCAAAGAGGATCATCCTGAACCTTCCTGACTAGATCAATTTTCCTACTATCAACTTATAAAGAGTTCTATGAATTGCTTCTTCATAAGTTCCAAACACATATTAGTTTGTGTAACTATTTGGGTAACATGTCTACCACTAAAATGCAAGCTTCATAAGAACAGCAATCATGTCCATTTCTGTTTACCATTATATACCTAATATCTAAAACAATTAAGTACTTGAATACTGTTTACCAAGAAGGTACCTAAGCATAGCTGACCTCTCAAATCTTCCCTCTCACAGAAATGAAGGTTGAAGTTTAAATTTTCTACTAGGTAAATAAGAGAAAGAGAAGTTAACAATAAACTATAAGTAGTAGCTAAAATTAGATTAAGAAATTGATTATCTACATCAGATGATACATTATTACTAGATCATGGGTGGGCAACACTAGTGTCATTTTTCCTTTTTTTTGGCTTTCTTATCTCTTAAGCCTGGCAGTGACACCCATCAATGCAACTAGATCCCATGAATAGTGACAAAGACAAAAGATTCTGAAAGCCCTGTTTAGAACAAACTTTTAATTAACTGTTAATTCTGTATATTTAAAATATTCCCATAGCTGTTAAAAATAAGAAATCAAAGAGTATAATCCCAAGAGCCTCACCTCAATTTTGAAATTTCAAAATTCAACATACTAATAAAATTTTGGAAATAAAAGGTGTTAAAAGCTTCCTATTTTCCTCCCTATAAATATACATTCATTCCTTTGGTTTTGAATAATTATGTTTGAGGAAACAGCTGATAAGACGATCCTGCAATTTTATAATGGATTTACATTTCTTGTCCTAAAATTAAAAATGTATATTCCACAACATATATCACTTGACCCAAAATATCTGATCACTAAGTCCTTCTTTTAGGATAGGAATCAAATTTGTTTGTAAAGTTGACCCTTGAATAACATGGGGCTTGAACTGTGTGGGTCCATTTATATGTTGATAACTAAGTACTACACTACATGATCTGTGGTTGGTTGATCACAGGGATGCAGAACCCAGGACAACATGGGTAAAGTTACATGCAAATTTTCCACTACACAGGTGGGCATCCCTAACCCCCATGTTGTTAGAAGGTCTGCTGGCTACTTAATGAATAGTACTACTATTCACTTATGAATGTTGGGTTTATTATTTCAGCCAATATTTGTTCAGTATCAATAAAATTTTAGAAAAAAAATCATGATTTTTCCCTGCATAAATATACAAAATTACTTTTTAAAGCTACAAAATTACTTTTCAAGGCTACAAAGTTAGGTATTGTGCAGTTTAACTTTTCTTCCTCTACAAAGTTAGGTATTGTGCAGTTTAACTTTTCTTCCTCTACAAAGTTAGGTATTGTGCAGTTTAACTTTTCTCTTTTTTGAAGAGTAACTAGAAAAATTAAGGGATTATCTATTCTTTGAACATTTGGTAAAGCTCACTGATAAATCCTTCTGGGATGCTCTTACGCTTTTAGGAGATGAGTGGTTTTGAACTATTGACTCAATTTGTTTTATTGAGGTATGTGATTCTAGAACTTCCTTTTTTTGCGCTGCACAATGTAGCTTGCGCGATCCTAGTTCATCAACCAAGGACTGAACCTGGGAACTCAGCAGTGAAAGTGCAAAGTCCTAACCACTTGATCACCAGGGAATTTCCTGGAATCATTTTTGACAATTTATAGAAAAAATCAATGTTAATTTACTTCATCTAAGTATTCAAACTGATTGTTTATACTGCCCTATAAATTTAGTTCTCTACTATATTAAAGTTAAAACTCCGCTTAAGCTTATACCATGGATCTGTGCCTTTTGCCCCTTTGAAAAAAGCTGGTCTTATTTTATCTATTTAAGAATTTTTTAAAAATCATCTTTTATTTTGCTGTTTACCCCTATTTTTTAAACTCTTTTTTTGTTTACTACTCAATATTAACTTTTTTTAACCTTATGTCCTTCCTTCTTTGTGCTGCTGTTCTTTGAGTAGTTTCACTTCCTTTCATTACAGACATACATACACACATACAATTTTCCTTCTAGGGTCCACTTTAGCTGTATCCTCTCTCCCAAGTTTTAATGTGTAGTTTTGGTGATAACAACTAGTTTGTAGTTTTTACTGTGATTGCCTTTTAAACTCATGAATCATGTAAAAGTATTTTTCCTCATTTTCTAAGTGTACGGGATTTTTTTTTAAAAGTTTTATTGTCAATTTGTAATTTTAAAACTACAAAAGATCAGAGAATGTAGTTCATAGGATGAAGAAGTTTGTTTTAAAAACATTTTTTGTGGCCTATCATGTATCATTTTTATATTCAATGCATTGGAAAATAACATATTCCATATTTATCGGAAACAAAATTATAGCTCTCTTTAAGAACAAACTTGATTTTTCTATTCTTACCAATTGTTTTATCTGTCAGTTTCATGGAGAAGTGTGGGAAAAAAATCCTATGAGTAGAAATGTAGAACTAATTTTCTTGTAACTGTAATTTTCTATTTTAATTGGAGGGTAGATGTTAGATACTGATAAGTGACTGATTGTTATACTAATGGGGGAAGCATTTATTTATCTCTAAGAATAATTTTGGCTTAAAATTCCATTTTGATATTAATACTGTCTTACATAACGTTTTCCATTATTTTGTCAATCTTTCCCTGTTATTTTGCTTTAGTTCTTTCCCCTGAAAACAGAACTCGCTAGATTTTGATTTTGAATCTAATTCAAAATTCTCTGCCCTTTTAACAAATGAGTTGAACAGGTTTGTATTTGTTCTGATTAATAATATATTTTTCTTAGAAAAAAAAAGATTCTTTAAAGTTATTCAGTACCTGATTATTCTCTCCTGAACAACACAAGAACTCTAACATGGTTTTTGAACTTTCTAACATATCCTGCTGAATTACATACTATTTCTGTCTAGATTTTAGCATTACTTTGTTTTTAAGCATAAAAATTTAGGTTTTACACTCACAAATTTGTATTTATAGTTTACCAGCTTCTGTGCTTACCAAGGTTTCTTGCATCCCACACCTTCCTCCGGGGTTCTTTTTTCTTCTTACTGATGTGCATATATTTTAGTATTTCTTTTGGCAAGGGTCTGAGGTGGTAAACTCTTTTATTCTTTGTACATCTGAAAATATCTACATCTGAAAATATAAGTATGTCTTCTTCTTTGGAATGCTAGCAGAGTACAGAATTCTGTATCATGTTATTATCTTCTGATATTTTGAGGATATTACCCTCTGCTGTTTTCTGTAATTATTATTGTTGATGAGGATCTATTGCCAAAAATGTAACTGTTCTTCGAGAATAATTCATTTTTCCTGTAATAGCTTTTAAGATTTTTTTTCTTTATCCTTAAAATTCTACAGTTTCATTTGTTCTTCTTAGTGATTTTTTTCAACCAAGGATTCCTGTCAGCCTTCAGTTCTAGAAAAATTCTCCATCAGTATCTCTTCAAGCATTTCTTAGTAATTTTTTTCAAAGACTCACGTCAGGTTTCAATTCTAGAAAATTCTCCATCATTATCTCTTCAAGCATTGCCTTTGCTTGTTATTTCTATTTTCTCCTTCAGCAACTTCAAATATATATATATGGTAGAGTCTATTTCCTTTCTCTCAATTTCTCTTTTATATTTTCCATCTCTTTATTTTTGTGCTGTATTGTATTTATTTATCATTTGATTCATTAATTCCTTATTCAACTGTCCAACATACTGTTTATCCTATACATTTTTATTTCCACAATTTTTTTTACCTGAAAGTTCAAGTATTTCATATCTACTTGACCTTAATTCATAATTATCAGCTCCTGTTTCACTGCCTCTCATTATTTTATGGCTATTGTTCTAGCTTAAGCATGTTTAAAATCTGATTAAAGTCTTTTATTCAATTTTATTGGGCCTATATTCTCCCAGTTTGCTGTTTGCTTGCATTTTGACTCTCTCTCTTGATGTAGATTTGCTCTTGAGCTTTATAATTTTTCTTATTTGAAAAAGTTCATTTTGCATGGGAGTTAGGGTTTTTTCTTTTATTTCCATTTATAAACTTAGCCCTTCTCATCAGATGGTCTGAAAGTTACCTTAGTCTGGTCTGTTTCAGAAATAGACCTTTACCTGGCAACTTAAGCTTCTTATCCCATGAAGTTATTTCTGTTCTTCTTTCTTCTTACTATATCAAATAATTACGTCCTCCAAGTTCTCAGCTACACTGCTGTCTTTGCATCTTCCCTCTATGAAGAACAATCTGCTAATTTCTAACGGTAATCCTGGGCAGTTGCTTTGAGTTTTTTTTCCACCCTGCTTCATAGGCTGGGTAATAATAAGGTACCAGTTTCATGCTTCAATCAAGTAGACTAAATCTACTGGCCTGCTCTATGTGAGATATATTCAGTTCTTATTCCCTTAAAGAAGGCGAAATTCAAGCCCCCAGTGCCCAACTTTTTAGGTTCGTTCTCCTTGAGCCTATAGCTTCAACTGTAGATCGAGTCCATTTTTAGGCCACAGAGTTCTTTAACCTTGTTTCTGAGTATAGCTACATATTTTTAGTTTAGTTTGTTTCTCTCCCGTATTTTATTTACTGTATCTATGTACTTGACAGAACAGAGAGGTTTCAAAATATATTAAGAGACTTTACCCTCTCGAAGGGAAGTTATTTATTATTTGTATTTAAACAAATTTGAGACAGGATTCATTCAATATACAATAACCTAGAAGGAAAGAACCTGGCCTTTAAAAAAAAATTATAAGTTTTGTGTATTGCACATAGTTTAGAGATCAAGAAAAAATTGATAAAAGCTTTCCAGCTTTAAGTAGTAAAATCTTAAAATATGTATATGTTATTCCTTAATGAAAAGTTATTTAAAAACTGGGAGTCCTATTTAGTTTATTAAGGTAAACTAATCACTAATAGTTAAAATATATTGATATGTAGATAATTAGAACTTACAAGTCTGCTATACTTTTGTTCATAAAAAATGTACTGCAAAGTTCTGGTTCTGATGCATAAATACTATGAGAAAAAAGGTATAAGTTTTTTCTACTTGGCTTTAGGTAACAAAATTTAGATTAAGGTTCTTTTTCTTTAAAATAAGTCAATTTCCTTTAAAACCACAATCCGGGGAACCCAAGGTATTTGTTAAAGATTGTCACTATATCACAGAGGCAGTGCTTCTTGGAGTTGAAGGAGGACAATGTCTTGGGGTAAGGACCAGAATCAGAGGGGTGGAGAAGGAAACTGTTTTATACTATGTATGTACTAAAGGCTTCTTACATCTCCCTTAGTGAATATGCTCTTCCAACCCACTACTCTGTATATTAATCATTACCTTAGCAATTTGTTACTGATCAGATTCACATCCCTCAATAGAACTGAGATGGAGAAAGATTAAGAGGCACCATATTAGGGTTTGTATTTAGCTCAGTTTCTAAATATAAGTAACGAAGACCAAAACCAAGTTCACTCAGTTTGGATGGAGGAAGGATGATGATGATAAAGCAAAGATGAGAACAGAACTCAACAATGATGCAGAATAATCTACAGACTCTACAGTATAGACAGCAGAGTCTCTACAATACAGACAGCAGTGTCTCAAAGTATGGAATATAAAGGACTTATGAGAATCTCCTGGTATATCATCTAAAGTGCAGACTTCCCATTTCAGATCTGCTGAATCTGAACCTCTAAAAGGAGGGCTGCAAACCTAATTTTAAAAATTATCTTCCAATAAATAATAACAATAAAAATCCCAGGTCTTAAGACTTATAGCTAGAGATATATTTATAATCACATTTCCTTTAACAAATACAGGGAGAAAGAAATAACTTTATGTGAACTAACACTCAGTTTTACATTCTTGACAGGAGCCAGAGTTACTACATAAACTGAGCAAAAGTTTACGTTTTCGTGTAATATTTTGTGAAAGAAATTTATTTACTTTATTCCAAACAGAATGACTATATAACAACTTCTTGTTCCAAAGCCAATAAAGGTGATCCTTAATAAGCATTATGATCAAAAGTGGCTTGATACTGAAAATTTTATTTTAGATGGCCTAAACTGTGATGTAATCACAACTTATTCTTAATTTAAAATTAAGCACTGCTCCTGAGTATAAACAAATCTCCCTGAATTATAATGTTTATTAGATTTGCTTGACTTTTAAAACCATTAGGGCAAAAATTCCACACATTTTTTTTTTCAAAAGAAAAGAAATGTCTGTTTATAAACAACAATTTTAGAATAAGGCTACATGAGAGGTTATTAAGAAGAAAATTTTAATTTTACAGAAATTAGGGCATCAGCTAGTAAATGTGTCACTATTTTTTCTTGTTGTTTGAGGATTATATAACAAATAATCCACTGTATCACTCTAAATCTGAGTTTCAGACTTTTGTTGAACAAAGTTGAATACAAAGGGCTTTATGACTGAGGGGTATCTTAACTCTCTCCATAAAGGAGAATGCAAAAGAACTATCTGAATAGGAAAAACTATTTTCACCTAAGAGGTTTTTTAGGAATACCACATAAAAGAATACTAAGGAAGCAAACTACTAGTAATATAAATCTCTTTTTATTGGAATTTCATAATCTTTTTCAATCAAAGAGTATTTCCTTTGTCACCCAGCAGGGTCCTGGAACTTCTTGGCTGGAATTCAGATATCCAGAGTTCTGGTTACCTACGTCATCTATTCTTTATGTAGTAGCTTACAAGCATCAAAGGCCACCCTCACCTGATGCTTGGCCGGATCTATGCCCTCCAAAATAGTCTTCATGTCCTCCTGCTTGTCCTGTGAAAGGAAAAAGAAGAACTCACGGATCTTATTCCAAAAATGAAAATCACATTTGGCCATGAAGACCTTGTGACTGGTACTTCAGGTGCTGGGCTTTGTTAACTCAGCATCTTCAACTAAAAAGATTCCCATCTGTAGAGACCATAATCTCATGAACAGAGTATGATTTCTTTAAGAGCATGATAATATGGTCTCTACCAATATAATTTCAACATAAACCTTAACATATGCAGACATAATTCTGCTAAATGTTTAGAACTCATGCCTTTGTCTCCAAATACAACTGAAACCACAGGAAAAAAGAGCAGTATCTTAATATCTAACCAAGGAAAGTAATTAAATTGAAAGATCTGTGAGTATCAGAAACTGAGAGAAAGAGTAGGGAAAATATTGTAAGATGATTAAATAGTTCTGTAGTACCTCCTCTTCCCATTATAAATGCAGTTAGTGCTCACACTTCAACTAAAACAGGAGACTTGAAAGAACCTGAGAGACGGAATATCTGTATTTTCTCTAGATCTAGACCCCAGATAGGGAGAAAGTTCTTGCAGATGAGACAGGAAGATAGCTGAAGAAACAGCAAGGAGCACTGCAATCACTGACCAGGGTCAACTATATCCCCAAATAAAAGAAATGTGGCCTAGAGAAATCTTCACTCTAAGTTACTCCTACCTCCTACCCGGAAAGATATGCTTACCTAAGAAGGTGCAAGCTCCTACGGCAAAGATTTAGTGAGAAAATATTCTGAGACAACTATATGATATGAAGAAGTTGACTATTAAAGCTCACTTGTTCTTCCTTTCTCATCCCCATATGAGTTTCAACAAAAACAAGTCCCATTCAAATATGAATAGATAAGCACAAAGTATCCAACACAGAACATATTAAGAAGTTCCTATAAAAACAGAAAGAAAATTTAAGCCAAATATTCCTTTACACTTTCAAAAAATTAAAGGGAATACAAATGCTTTAAATAATGGAACGAAGTGATATAACAGCAAGAGGAAATTTAAAAGTGAGTTGGAAGAGCAGAAGATACAAAGTAGTGAGGAAACCATGAAAATCACATTAGAAGCAGCAACAACTTTACAGAAAAAATAGGGCCCTGATGGATGATCCCAATTAAGAAAGAATACAGAGGGAGAAAAAAAAAGAAGCGAAAAGAATCAGACATAAGAATAATACAAATAAGATTCAATATATGGATAATAAATGTCCCAGGAGAAAAAAGAATATAAAAAGAAATGTTCAAGGTTGTACTAGAGGAAAACTGGAGAAGGATGATAAGGAGGAGAAACAAAGAAAAGGAGAAAGGAAAGAGGATGAACAAAAATCTTCAAATAGAAAGCATTCACGGTTTTCCAGGAAAAACTATTATAAAATAATATACACTAGGATACATCCTGGGGAAATCATAAAGGTTTAATATAATGAAAGAATCTTATGAATAATCCAAGCAGAAAAGAAGTCGCTTACACACACTTACATACACTGGGGAATATTCTAGCAGGCTTTTGCAATATTTAGTACCAGAAGATAATAGAAAAGAGGGCTTAGAATTTTGAGAGGAAAAAAACCAGTGATTCAATAATTCTATATATGGCTACATGGTGGCTCAGTGGTAAAGAATTCGCCTGCCAATGCAGGAGACACACAAGACGCGAGTATGAACCCTGGATTGGGAAGAGATTCCCTGGAGGAGGAAATGGCAACCCACTCTAGTATTCTTGCCTGGGAAATTCCATTGGACAGAGAAGCCTGGTGGGCAATAATCCATGGGGTCACAAAGAGTCAGATACAACTTAGTGACTGAGCATGCACACACACAAGTTCATTTATAAATACAACAAACAGTAGTCTTAAAAATGCAAGCACCTGTAAACTCCTTTTTTTGGTGGAGGAGAGTAAATTCAAAACAAAATACCAATATCAGCTAGCCAAAACTTGAGTCAAGTTCAGGAAATCAGGATTTCAGAATCTATATAACATGAAAGACTAGTAAAGTAAACACTGAATCCACCTAAATATACAATTAAACAAATTTGAGAAATAGGGTCATAAAATATAACATAAATGTTGTAAGATCATAACAATGTAAAAATAAAATAACTCATGAAAATTCTATGATGTTAAGCCACAATCTCCTCTTCAGAATGGAGTTAATAAACATTATCTAAATATTAGATTTTTTAAAAAGCATTTTTTAAAAAGTAACAAAAAATTTCAAAATTTGCATTTGTACATGATGTCTGAATACTTCTCCAGGAAGTAACTTTATAACTGTGTTTTATATAGTTCACCAAAACTTTGGGAGCAATTAATGAGCAGCTAATATGGCTACTTGGAACACTGATTTTTTAAGATAAAAGAAACATGGGGGCTATGATCAGAGATTAGAAAATTAAATTATAAAAAAAGGAAGGAAGGAAGACAGAAGATATGTAACTCATTTTAATGAGAATTAAGAATCAGGAGACCTCGATTGCTAATTGAAGTGCAGATTGGTTCAGCATTTTTGAACAATTTAGCAGCAGCTATCAAATTTCTAGATGTGGACCCTCTGGTAACCAGCAATTCTACTTCCAGGAATTTATCCCTATAGATAAACTCACAAAAGTAGCAAAGATAAATAAATGTGCATAACAATATTTGGTGTAGCACCATTTGTAATATTTAAAAATTATAATAACCCAAATGTTTATGAATAAATATGTGAGTAATCAATTCTACAGAACACAGGAAACCTGTGAAAAAGAGTGAGAAATCTTAGGGATTGATAGAAAAAATATTATATTAAAAAGAAAAAAGTTTCATAACAGTATATGTGATAACAAATCTATTCATATAAAAAAGAGATACAGCCCACAAACACAGGATATATACATGCTTGGGTGTACAGAAATATCTAGAAAGACACACAACATACTGCTTAAGTTAAAAAAAATTTTTTATGAAGATTTCTATTTTGTAAGATTTAATATAGATAACAAACTGATTTTTCAAAATTTTTGTCTTTTAAGATAAGTCCATATCAAATCTTAATTTCCAGAAGTAAGAACCAGAGGGTGCCAATATATCCACATTCAAAATACCCAGTTTCCATTAGTTCAACTATTCTAGGAAAACCTCCCTCACAGTTCATCTGGCTGGTAGAATACAGTCTAAGAAAAGCCAACAGAGGTCAGAGAGTTTACTTTCTATGGTTAGGGAGGAAAATAAGTGACAGATCACTACAATATATTCAAGGGGCCCAATTTACTCAGTGCAAAAGTGCTTCAATTTTTATTCCAATGTTAAAAATAATAAATCTTAAAAGCTATGATCAACTCTACAGAGAAAATTAGTACAGTAAAAACCAAAATTCTATTCAAGTCAGGAATTATACAAAGCACTAAGCATTAGAGTATGTATTTCTTTCAATATGTGACTTTTCATCATATCTATATAAAATATCTCCAGAAGAATAGAAGGAAAGAACAACACTGATTGCCAATAGAGAGGAAAACTGGGTGCCCATGGGACACTTTAAAACTTTATGAATTTTGAACCACGTAAAGGCATTACCTATTTAAAAAATAAGAAAAACTACAACTGATTTGCATAGGACCACTATTATTCAATATGGCAAAGATGCAGAATTAGCAACACTGTGTACCTATTACACTTCTTTAGGTTGGTTCTACTTATTTTCTTTGATACTGCACCTACAGCAGATTATGAACATAAAGAAAGAAACCACGTCCTATCTTGTCCCTGGAAAAACTTGTCTTCCACCCTTACTTTCAAGATGGTAAACATCTTGAAGCAAAACAGTATTTCTAAATTCCTAGCCACTGAATATTATCTGTGTATACTTGAAAGCCAAAGCTGAAAAAACCATCTTAAAGAAATTTTGAAAAGTTTGAAGCCATATAAAGATAAGAAGAGGATATAACAAAAGTTTATTCTGCTACTTAAAATAAAATTTAACTGAAGGAAAAGAAGAGTAAATTCGTAATTGAACAATTCCAAAGATAACTGGAGAGATTTTATTCTTAAGGAAACAATTCACTTAAAAATTCATGTCAAGGAAACTCTTCCTACTTCTTTGACAGTATTTAAATAGGAAAAAATATTGATAGTAAAAAGATACGGTGGAAGACATAATGATTTAGCATTGTATTGCCAAATAATCTTTACTGGGGTGGTCTTGCTGAGTTACTGTATTTTCTGGGGATTGGTAACTTTCATCTACTAAAATATTTTATAATAAGCTAAATCTGCTAATTATTAATTATAAATACCATCCAAAATTAAGTAATTTAATACATTTAATATACACAAAGATTTCAAGAGATAGAATCATTTGTGTAACACATCACTGCTATTAATGATGAGTCACAACTAAAATTTCATTTTCTTCAAGAATCCCATATCACTTTACACATTCTTGGGCTAAGCACTCATCTAGTCCATTCAATACCTCCATACAAGTAGCTGCTTAACTTGTTCTTTAAAAAACATAAAATAAAATTTCTTAACACACACCATTAAAGATCTTCTGGTCCAAACCCCTCATAAAAAATAGGAAAAGGGGGAGAAGAGGAGAAAAAAGAAAAAAAGCCTAGGGAGTCTCAGTGATTTGCTAGCACATTCAGCAGAACCAAAGAAAGAATATTTACATGACTTGGGTAAAATAGTCCAGAAAATAATACTAGATTTCATTTTACAGATGAAATTATTGAGGCAACTATTTACTTAAAGATCAGTGGTTTGATGGCTGTAATGAAAATTTAGGTCTTGTCTAATGTTCAGTAGCATCTCTAACATAGAGTTCTTTCTAAATAACCTAAGTGTAGTCTTTGTCACTCATTAGTTCTCCATTCAGATATAGGATTACAGGGTGCTTTCTGCAGGTACTTCTACCTTTTAGTTGATTTACTTTCAAATAGCAATTAAGGCCTGTAACATGCTAAAACAGATCATAAAAAATCTTTATATGAATACAACTAGAATGT